TAAAAGAAAAACATTATATTTGAGGAACCTATGCTGAAAGCCGAGCTGTTGGAGATTTCCCGGAAAGAGAAGAGTAATTATGAATGATACGTCGTGGACTGATGGCTGCTAAAAGGGGGGTCACTATTTTGCGGTTGCCTCCTTACTATTGTGATTTTAACCCGACTGGGTTAGTATGAGCACAGGAAGGTACCAGAGAGAGTAGCTAAAAATAATAAAGCTTTTAAAATGCACGAAGTCCAGAATTTATTTTCGATCTTTCGGTCAATGCCGGTCGCTGGACTTCACTATTTATGAAATGGAAAAAACTTGCAACACTCGAAATGTCAAATCGTTGTCTCTAATTATGGAACGAACTATAGTTAATTTTAGCGTTGACAAGCCTTTTCAGAAACCGGGTGTTACTGACTAAAAATCCCCGTTCCTTCTCCTAATTTAAGTGCTTGCTCCGCAACCCCAGCTGTTTGAGAAGCCTACTGCGATCAAACTATTATAGTATATATTTTGTAGGTGCAATAAAAATAAAACTATTGAGTTAAGAAAAAAAAGTTTCTTCGGTAAAGTTGCTTGTTTGCGACCGATATTATATTATTCTACCCGTGCCGATAAAAATGAGATTAGAAAATGGCGGCGCATCTATTCACTTCTCGCTCGCAAACTATTTCCGTGGGTGGTTAAAGTGGGGAAGAAAAACCGAATGTCTGCAAATATGCTCAAGTGGGGTATCAAATGAAAGGTTATGATTTGTACGTCACAAAAAACAAAAACTTTAATAAGTTTGACGTGTCTGTCTGTGTGTCTGTGGCATCATAGCTCCTGAACGGATGAAACGATTTCAATATTTTTGTTTGTATTATATACTTTTTAAAGGTAGCTTATGTGTCGGGTTTTTTTTTTTAATTTTTATATTTCTTTCTTCCAGGCGACAGTTTACGCCTTTTTCTACTCTTTTTTGCACAGAACACCAATAATTTCTGCGTATGGTGATTCGTTTGTTTTCAGAGGCACCGGAGCATCATTCTTTGTTTTCAAATCCAATTCGACGTATAGAACCTTTTCGGTTGTGTCCTGAAAGCAGAAAAATATGGCTTTTAAATGTTTTAGGTCGGTAAACGAGCAGACGGATTACCTGATGGTAAGCAATCAGCGCCGCCCATGGAAACAACGAGTTTTTTTTTGTAAGGGGAAAGTCATCAATTGTCTTCTCCCGTCTATGGTCTGGCGAGAGGGAGTGTCAGACTCTTACTGACTAAAAATACCCTCGTTCCTTCTCCTGCTCTGGGCCGAGGTCACGGTGCCTCATTGTGCTTACCCTGCAACCCCGGCTGAACAACGGACGAGTTACGAGGGCGTTGCCTTATAGGGATTAGGTATTTGAAGATTTTGGGATTGGAGAAGGATTGGGCCTCCGGTAACCTCACTCACTCGGCAAAGGAAAATTATCAAATGACTTCTCCCGACCAGGCTAAGGCGAGAGAGAGTGTCAGACTCTTACTGACTAAAAACCCCCCGTTCCTTCTCTTGCTTTAGGCCGTGGCCTCGTTGCGCTTGCCCCGCAACCCCGGCTGAACATCAGCCCTGTAGCACCCTGTCTATGGTGGTCTCTTTGAGGCGCGCGCGGAACGCTACGCGCCGTACGCTCGGGTCTGGTTCTGGTCGGGCGGCGACCTACCCTCTCGCCGTCCGCAGACCCGTGCTTATGGTGACCGGAGATCATCTCTCAATCCCCGCTTTGAATGTCGCCTACTGCGGCGGCTGGGGCGTGAGGCTGTTGACGCCCCGGAGACGTTTACTGACTTAAAATATTTGGTCTTATCATGGTTGCATCAATTGTAGATGCTGGTGTTTAGGAGTTGTAGGTGCGGAAGATACAAGAAGGTGTGGCGTACTTGTAAAAAAATAAACTTTTGGGCTACTTACATAAGTGTCTAGTTGCAGCATTCGTTGCGATTCTCGCGGGTTTTGGCGTTTTTTGAAGCAAAAACGAAGTACTAGTATAACCAAAATAACGATGACGATTACTATTATTGGTAGGACCACATATAGTGCTAAATTTTCTGTAGATCTCTCCGTGTCGTCCTGCTTATCAGGGCCTGGTTCTTGAGACCCGGTTGTCATCTCTGGAGTATCTGTTCGAACAGTAAAAAAATAAATAAACACATTTCTCAAAGAGTAAACTTAAAAAGGCGACCAAGGCCGGAAGATGTAGCGAGACCTCTTTCTAGGTTCATCATAATCATCATCACCATCAGCCTATAAGTGCCCACTGCTGGGCAAAGGCCTCTTCTCATACGGAGAAGGAAGGAAAGAAGGTTAGAGCATTAATCACCACGCTTGCTCAATGTGGGTTGGCGATTTCAAACTTATAATTATAATTATAGAATTCTAAGTATTATTACAAAACTTTTTTTCCAAACAAACATTACCTGAATTTTCGATTTTTCTAAATAAATTACGCATTTGAAGTTACGAACAGTAATGTACGTAATAAATAAATGCAGACCCGCACAAAAAACATCGTGCATCTCAGTAGGATTATTATTTTACAGTATTGTTTTGTTGTTGCGAAGTAAAACGTCGACCTACGTTCTTATCACAGAGTTTTAATGCTAAGCTGTGAACCTACGCACACAATGACACGAAGCCTGTTTGCTTTACATTGCGCGCAATATTTTTTTTATACCTAAAAATAAAAGTCGTTTCCCAGTGATAATTTTAGCGTAAAGCTACTTAGTTAGAACTGCAGTATGCGTAGTTAACGGCTTCGTTAAGTGTCTTTTTACATCCTGTATATATAATGGATGACGAGAAAATTCGTTTTATTTGCAGCTGTTATTCAAAATGACGAGCAACCAGTAAAAGATCCATTAGAAGTGCCACAGTCAGCTATCAAGAAGAAACCAAAACAGGTATGTTAATTATTATTAACTAGCTTCCGCCCGCGGCTTCACCCGCCAAGTACGTTGATAAAAAGTAGCCTACGTCCTATTCCGGAATGTATCCTATGCCTGTGCCAAATTTAATCCAGATCCGTCTAGCCGTTTTGGCGTGATTGAGGAACAAACATCCAAACATCGTAATTTTCGCGTTTGTAATATTAGTAAGATAATATGTATAACTTTCGTGGGACATTTTAAATAAAAATTATGGTTGATGACTAATGTATCTATTTGACGAGTTAACCAGACTACTTTCAAGCAACCTCAACCAAGGGATTTAATTAATTTATTTATATTTATAAAATCTTCCTACACTTAAACTATACTGGATGCAATGGATACTTTTTCTATGTATGTGGACCATAGACAGGACTATGGTTTGAGCCCCCAGTATTTTAAGTTTTTTTTCTATATTTTTTTCTTTTTACCTTCGCTTTTCATATTAATTTATTATAGTATTTAAGTTTGTCTGTTCTACACAGAAATATATATGTTATAGGTCGGCAAACGAGCAAATGTATTACCTGATGGTAAGCAATCAGCGCCGCCCATGGATACCCGCAACCACAGAAAAGTTACGAGTCCGTTGCCGACCTTTTGGGGATTAGGGATTTCGGAGAGGAAGGATTGGGCCTCCGGTAACCTTCACTCACACGACGAAACAAAACGCTGTGGTTGTTTCATGCCGGTTTCCTATGAGACCGTGGTATCACTCCGTTCGAGCCCACCCATTCGTGCCGAAGCTTGGCTCTCCCACGCTTGAATGATGTGTGTGTGAGAAATGGTTTTTCTTTCATTCTTTTCGTTAAATATATTGGCAGGTGGTGATCCGACCTTCAGAAGACGACTGGTCTTCCTACGTGACCTCTCGCAATGGAAATAACGGTCAGATACAGTTGTGGCAGTTTCTTCTAGAACTGCTGACGAGCGCTGAATACTATGACGTCATTAGGTGGCACGGTAAGCAGACAGGGTTATTTTTTGAAACGAGTAGACGGATTACCTGATGGTAAGCAATCCGCGCCGCCCATGGACATACAAAGGATGTTACGAGTGCGTTTCTGGCATTTTGGGGGTTTTGGAGATTTGGAGATTGGTTTAGAATGGGATAGGGGAATTATATATAAGTCAGAAAACGAGCAGACGGATTATCTGATGGTAAGCAATCCGCGCCGCCCATGACATGACCCGCCATGGACACTTGTAGTACCAAAGGACTTACTAGTTACTAAAGTCCGGTCGCGGAGCAGGAAGAAATTCGTACAATGGCCTGTTATTACCTGTCTCTGTCACTCTCGCGTAAATATGATGCGTCTCGCTCGCACAAATCCAATGACCGCGGCACTCAGGGATTGTGAACCTTTTACCTACTAATGTAAGGTCTGTTTTTGTTTGTTTGTGGTTGTGGTTTTTGGTTGGCCTTGACTCATGACATGGCTTACTTGATATAATAATTCATAATTTTTTAACGAACGACATTCCATCTCGGGATGCGTTAGTGATCGCTCAGTTTTCGGACAGTAATCTCAGTTATCTTAGTTTGTTGTTATTTGTTTGTTTCTCTTTTGTTATTTAAATTAACAATAAAGAAATAATTTATTTAATAAGCTAGTATTTTTTTTCTCCTTCAAATATTATAAACTGCACTTTATACAAAAATGTTTGTGACCACTGTCAGTAGGTAAAGAGGTCATTGTACGAATTTCTTCCTGCTCCGCGACCGGACTTTAGTTAGTGCGTTGCTGGACTCTTGTGGGTTATAAGAGGATTTGACAGATGAGGATGAGGGTATTCCTTCAGTTATCTCACTCACACGGCGAAACACAAGACTGGTTGTTTCACGTCGGATTTCAGTGAGGCCGTGGTATCACTCCGGTCTTCCTGGACTTATAATTAGAAATTATAAGTCCAGGTTTCCTCACGATGTTTTCCTTCACCGTATGTCAGTGGTGTCTAAATAATCATAGCAAGTAAATATAACTCGGAAAAAGTCGCATTTATACTTGCCAGGTTTCGGACCCTCAAAAAAAAGGCTCAATTGATTTTGAAAACTTTTTTCAGGCACCGAAGGCGAGTTCAAGTTGTTGGAACCTGAAAGGGTCGCTACTCTATGGGGCGCTCGGAAGCACAAGCCGGCTATGAACTATGAGAAGCTGTCCCGAGCCCTACGCTACTATTATGACGGGGATATGATCGCTAAAGTATCAGGAAAGAGGTAAGGGCATATTTTTTCTTACTTGCTATAAACTAGTGCTTGACTGCGATCCCACCTGATGGTAAGCAGTGATGCAATCGTTGATGGTAAGGCGCACTAGTAGTGTGTCGTGGTGGCTCCGAGGTTAAGCGCCCGCTTCTCATGCATGAGGTGTGGGTTCGAAACCAGGCAAGTACCAATGTGACTTTTTTCTAGTTATATGTACTTTCTATGATTATTTAGACACCACTGACATGCGGTGAAGGTAAACATCGTGAGGAAACCTGGACTTATAATGTCTAATTATAAGTTTGAAATCGCCAACCCGCATTGAGCAAGCGTGGTGATTAATGCCCAAACCTTCTCCATGTGAGAAGAGGCCTTTGCTCAGCAGTGGGCACTTATAGGCTGATGATGAGGCGCACTAGTTAATTAAGAGCCTATTCACTCTAGCCTTGAAGACACCTAAATTATATTTGGACGGAAAGACTGCAGCCGGCAAACTGTTCCAAACCCTCGATGTACGCGGTATAAATGACGAGGCAAAGCGCTTAGTCCGGGCCTCAACAACGGTGTCTCAACAACGTGAGGGTGGATATTTGCCGTACGCCGGGATGTCCGAAGGTGAAATTGGGATGGGAAACTGGTAGACCGATCACCTCATATTAAGCAATCGGCGGCGACAAGTGCGTTGCCGGCCTTTTAGGGATAAGGGTTTTGTATTTTTAAGGATTGGGGGAGGGGAAGGATTGGGCCTCCGGTAACCTCACTCACACGGCGAAACACAACGCTGTGGTTGTTTCACGCCGATTTTCTGTGAGGCCGTGGTATCACTCCGGCCGAGCCGATTCATTCGTGCCGAAGCATGGCTCTCCCACACGTAACGTTTATAAATATAGAATTTATATACACATCACATACAGACCCGGAACAACAATTTTTGTGACCCACAAATTGTTGTTCCGGGTCTGGGTCATGTGGGTCATCAGGGTGGTGTGGGAATCGAAGCATCGAGCAGTCAGAGCTATTGTTGGAAACTAGTTTTTTTTTATGGAATAGGTGGCAAACGAGCAGACGGATCACCTGATGGTAAGCGATTGGCGCCGCCCATGGACACCCGCAACACCAGAGGGGTCACAGGTGCGTTACCGGCCTTTTAAGAAGGAATATGCTCGTTTCTTGAAGGTTTGAAGGTCGTATCGGTTCGGCCGCCGTGAATAGTTTGTCTTACATTAAGTTTTATAACAATATTTGTATGTTTGTTTGTTACAGATTTGTATACAAATTCGTATGCGATCTACGCCAGTTACTCGGCTACGGCGCCGGCGAGCTCGCCGAATTAGTTAAAGAGGTACACGATACGGAAATCCAAAATGGCAACACGAATTACTCGGACAAATACAGAATGTATGACCTTGACGACTCCAGCTTACATTCAGAAAGAAAATAAAGGATGTGTCTTCATGTGCGGTTATCGGAAGCCCAACACTTTCCCCCCATCTCTAATCCTCCCCCCTATCCAAAATCCTTCCCCATATCCCCAATAGCTTCTATTACCATGTTTTTCCCTCATCCCCCATCCCTTATCCCTAGTCCTTTCCCTTTCGTCAATTTCCCCTTCCTTAGTCAATCCCCCCATATCCCCAATCCACCCCCGTCACCAATTCTTGCCCCCATCCCCAAATCCTTCACCAATCCCCAATCAAGCGTTGTCATGGGACAATGGGATGGCCCTAATCCTAGTCTCAATTATTATGTAACTGTTTGGCGGTAGTAACTCGACTAGTTTCAAGCCTTGATGGGAGCTCATATTCTTGGGCAGAATTACTCGACACACAACGTATCCAACCAAGCGCCGCTAACAGACTTTGGCACAGTTTTTATAAGAAAAAGAGTAAATCTATTTTTATATAGGTACTCTAAGGGTTGATTTTTCAATGGTTATATAAAAGTTACCTGCGGAATAATAATGATGCTGTCGCGTCAAAATGTTTGTATAAGACAGTGACAGCAACAATTTTATTCCTCAGATAACATTTTATCCGACTATTGAAAAGTCAGCCCTAAATGATATATAAGTTGGAATAATTAATTTTTAACTAACAGAAATCTTCTCATTATTGTTTCGTTTCCACCTGGCCTGTGTATCATCAGCCTATAAGTGCCCACTGCTGAGCAAAGGCCTCTTCTCACACGGAGAAGGTTTGAGCATTAACCACCACGCTTGCTCAATGCGGATTGTCGATTTCAAACTTATAATAAGAAATTATAAGTCCAGGTTTCCTCACGATGTTTTCCTTCACCGTATGTCAGTGGTGTCTAAATATAGTTAGATGACAAATCTTATCTTTCCAATATTATAAATGCGAAAGTTACCATGTTTGGATGTTTGTTATTCAATCACGCCGAAACGGCTGGACGGATTTGGATGAAATTTGGCAAAAGCGTAGAATACACTCCGGAATAGGACATAGGCTACTTTTATCGACGTACCATGCGGGCGAAGCCGCGGGCGGAAACTAGTACACTTATATATAAAGGTTTGAAACTAATACCCGGTTTCCTGAAAGGCTTGTCAATGCTAAAATTAAGTAATCTCCTGTTAAATCTCTTGTCAAGTCATCTGATTGGTCGTTGATAATTCAGTCAACCAATCAGATGACTTGACAAGAGATTAAATTGATTTTAACATTGATCGGCCTTTCGGAAACCGGGTGTAAGTTTCTCATGAAAGATGTGAAGATGTCTTAACCCGCAGTACACTTCGGTCCAAGGTATTGGCCCAACGTATAGAGGGCTACTTGGCGACATATTGGTAGCGATGTTCTGGTTGGCGCCAATATTGGCTAGCAAACCGAATGTTGCAGTTTTTTGTCCACACATTAAAGGATATTGGCGCGCCGCTTTTCCAAAATACCGCCAAGTAGCCCTCTACACGTTGGGCCAATATGTTGGCCCAATATTTTGGACCAATGTGTACTGCGTTCTTATCATTTTGGACCAGCATGTTGGCCCAATACCTTGGGCCCAAGTGTACAGCCGGCATTATATACAGGCTGTAAAAAGACACTTAACGAAGCCGTTAACTACGCATACTGCAGTTCTAACTAAGTAGCTTTACGCTAAAATTATCATTGGGAAAGATATCAAAAAAAAAAAAATTTTATTGCGCGCAATGTAAAGCAAACGGGCTTCGTGTCATTGTGTGCGTAGGTTCACAGCTTAGCATTAAAACGCTGTGATAAGTACGTAGGTCGACGTTTTACTTCGCAACAACAAAACAATTCTGTAAAATAAAAATCCTACTGAGATGCACGATGTTTTTTGTGCGGGTCTGCATTTATTTATTACGAACATTACTGTTCGTAACTTCAAATGCGTAATTTATTTAGAAAAATCGAAAATTCAGGTAATGTTTGTTTGGAAAAAAGTTTTGTAATAATAATTAGAATTCGATTGCGCAAAAAATGCATCTTAGACCTTCAATATCTTGAGAACCCGTGGAGTCCCAGCTATGGTCTTAAAGAAAAAAATGATCCAAATAATGAGTAGAATACGTGGCTTTCGGCTTCGTTAAGTGTCTTTTTACACCTGTATAAAAGAATTTTGATTTTTTATTATAGAGTATGAAAAAAGTTAAATGTGCCAGCAGTTCGTTGATTTATTATATATGCAGTAGATAAGGATTGGATTTCCGTACTTTCTAGTCTAAAATTCTAAATTATTGTTAAAGCGATCATATTGTTTGAAAACACTTTTTACGTTTATTAATTTACGTTAATTAACTGAGAACATCTCTTCTAGTTTCGATGAATAAAAGTATAGTTATTTTTCAATATTTTATTGTATTGTAACGTCGAATTAAATTATTTTTTACCCATTTGTGTCCATGTGCGGCGCTGATTGCTTACCATCAGGTAATCCGTCTGCTCGATTGCATACTTAAAAAACTACATACCGACGGCAGCGCGGCTGCGCGGCTGATGGCGGTAAAATGAACTATTAATTTATAAAAATATTTAGGGCAGGCAGGCAATGCTTAAAGAGTAACGATGGAGTTTCTTGCTCGTTCTTCTCCATTCGAATCTACAATTTGAAACGAGCACTTAGCTTCACTGACGAGCAGACTGACAGACTACTATTCTATTTTGACGTTTCAAAATTCCTATTAATGGTTTAGGGCTGATTTTTCAATGGTTAGATAAAAGTTACCTGGGAATAATCATGATGCTGTCGCGTCAGAATGTTTGTATAAGACAGTGACAGCAACAATTTTATTCCTCAGATAACATTTATCTGACTATTGAAAAATCTGCCCTAAGTTGTAAAATTATTTTGACTTTGACTTTAACACAATAGCGATCGTTCTCCTTTCTAAGCTCTAGGAATCTTTAGCTTAATACGGTAGTTTCCAACTAGTCAAATTCAATACTTTTATCCAAACGTCAAAAACGATACTTTTCTATGAAATTTGTATGAAAAACTGAGCTATGACGTCATAACTTTTTTTTGCGTCAAATAGCTTACTTATTTCTTAATAATTAGCTAAAAAAATCTAAAAATTGGTATATCGATCGATCGATGAATAAAAGTATAGTTATTTTTCAATATTTTATTGTATTGAAACGTCGAAATAATTAATTTTTGACCTAGGAAACTACCCAATTAAATCAAAGAATGTTTTTTTATGTTTATGTAAAGTGAGTCGGAAATCCCATACCTACCTATTAAAAAGTGATATTGTAAATACATTTATAACTAGGTGTAAGTTTTTGTAAAAATAAAGTTTATTCTGTTTTTTTGTTACAATATTTGGAGTTTTATTTCAACAATTTTTATTAACTTTGGCATCATAAGTGTCTACTTCTGAATAAAGGACTCGCTCAATGTGGATTGATTTCAAACTTATATTAATGACAACATTATGAGGATTTTTATCGCTGACTAGCTACTCTCACCCCCTGCTCGGCTCCATTGGATCGTAGCGTGATGTTTTATAGCCTATAGCACTCAGGAACATTGTAGCTATCTATCAGTGAAAGTTTTTGGCAATCCGATCAGCGGTTCCAAAGATTACCCCCTACATACAAACTAACAAATTTTACTCTTTATAATATTAGTATAGATTAGGTTTCTTTTTTGCAATATGCGAGAGTTTGATATCCCTACTTTTTTATAAGGGGAAAATCATCCAATGACTTCTCCCGCTCAGGGTGACGCGGGAGGGAGTGTCAGACTCTAACGCCCGGTTTCCGAAAGGCCGATCAACGTTAAAATCAGTCAGGTCATCTGATTGGTTGACTGAATTATCAACAACCAATCAGAGGACTTGACAACTTGGTCATCTGATTGGTTGACTGAATTATCAACAACCAATCAGAGGACTTGACAAGAGATTTTAAGGAGACTATTTAATTTTAGCGTTGACAAGCCTTTCAGAAACCGGGTGTTACTGACTAAAATCCCCGTTCCTTCTCCTAATTTAGATGCTTGCTCCGCAACTACAGCTGTTTGAGAAGCCTACTGCGATCAAACTAGTATATATTTTGTAGGTACAACAAAAATAAAACCCTACGTCCCTAGTCACACATTACCTTCACTACAATTTAGTACACGCTTCCTTTTTATTTTAGTTATATATCTACCCCCATTTCAGCATTTTCTTTCTTTATTTTTTTTTTATTGATTATGTATCTAATCTACCTACATTTTTAATGTTTATGGTAAAGCTGGTTTACATCCGTAGTACGTCATGCACAAAGGTCCAGCTGAAAACCAGCGTCAGGCCCAAGTGGTCTGGCATTTATGCTGAAATGGACCTGTTTGGCGCAGCCGTGAGGCACACAGTTATGTAGTTTTCTTTATTTTTTCTTTTATATTAAATAACCTTTTTGTATGTGTGCACATGGTTTGTGTCAATGAAATTTTTCTTTCTTTCTTTCTTTAAAACTATTGAGGATAGAAAAAAAAAGTTTCTTTGGTAAAGTTGTTTGTTTGCGACCGATATTATATTATACTACCCGTGCCGATAAAAATGAGATTAGAAATGGCGGCGCATCTATTCATTTCTCGCTCGCAAACTTTTTCCGTCTAAAGTGGGGAAGAAAAACCGAATGTCTGCAAATATCCTCAAGTGGGGGTATCAAATGAAAGGTTTTGACACTTGTACGTCACATAAAACAAAAACTTTAATAAGTTTGACGTGTCTGTCTGTGTGTCTGTGGCATCATAGCTCCTGAACGGATGAAACGATTTCAATATTTTTTTTTGTATTATATACTTTTTAAAGGTAGCTTATGTGTCGGATTTTTTTTAATTTTTATATTTCTTCCTTCCAGGCGACAGTTTACGCCTTTTTCTACTCTTTTTTGCACAGAACACCAATAATTTCTGCGTATGGAGATTCGTTTGTTTTCAGAAGCACCGGAGCATCATTCTTTGTTTTCAAATCCAATTCGACGTATAGAACCTTTTCGCTTGTGCCCTGAAAGCAGAAAAAATAGTATTGCTTCTTTATGTGTTAGGTCGGTAAACGAGCAGACGGATTACCTGATGGTAAGCAATCAGCGCCGCCCATGGTAACAACGAAACGGTTTTTTTTTGTGAGGGGAAAATCTTCAATTGTATTTTCCCGCCTATGGTCTGGCGGGAGGGAGTGTCAGACTCTTACTGAATAAAAACCCCCTTTCATTCTCCTGCTCTAAGCCGAGGCCGCGATGCCTCATTGCGCTTATCCCGCAACCCCGGCTAAACAACGGACGAGTTACGAGTGCGTTGCCGACCTTATAGGGATTAGGTATTTGAAGATTTTGGGATTGGAGAAGGATTGGGCCTCCGGTAACCTCACTCACACGGCAAAACACAACGCTGTGGTTGTTTCACGCCGATTTTCTGTGAGGCCGTGGTATAACTCCGCGTTCCTCCTCTTGCTTGAAGCCATGGCCTCATTGCGCTTGTCCCGCAACCCCGCCTGAACATCAGCTCTATAGGGTCTATAGGCTCTTTGAGGCGCGCGCGGAACGCTACGCGCCGTACGCTCGGGTCTGCTTCTAGACGGGCGGCGAGCAATCCTTACTCGCCGTCCGCAGACCCGTGCTTACGATGGCCGGAGATCATCTCTCAATCCCCGCTTTGAATGTCGCCTACTGCGGGGGCTGGGGCGTGAGGCTGTTGACGTCCCGGAGACGTTTACTGAGACTTAAAATATTCGGTGTTTTCATGGTTGCATCAATTGTAGATGCTGGTGTATAGGAGTTGTAGGTGCGGAAGATACAGGAAGGTGTGGCGTACTTGTAAAATAAACTTTTGGGCTACTTACATAAGTGTCCAGTTGCAGCATTCGCTGCGATTCTCGCGGATTTTGTCGCTTTTTGAAGCAAAAACGAAGTACAAGTGTAACCAAAATAATAATGACGATTACTATTATTGGTAGGACCACATATAGTGCTAAATTTTCTGTAGATCTCTCCGTGTCGTCCTGCTTATCAGGGCCTGGTTCTTGAGGCCCGGTTGTCGTCTCCGAAGTATCTGTTCGAACAGTAAAAAAATAAATAAACACATTTCTCAAAGAGTAAACTTAAAAAGGCGACCAAGGCCCGGAAGATGTAGCGAGACCTCTTTCTAGGTTCATCATCATCATCATCACCATCAGCCTATAAGTGCCCACTGCTGAGCAAAGGCCTCTTCTCATACGGAGAAGGAAGGAAAGAAGGTTAGAGCATTAATCACCACGCTTGCTCAATGTGGGTTGGCGATTTCAAACTTATAATTATAATTATAGAATTCTAAGTATTATTACAAAACTTTTTTTCCAAACAAACATTACCTGAATTTTCGATTTTTCTAAATAAATTACGCATTTGAAGTTACGAACAGTAATGTACGTAATAAATAAATGCAGACCCGCACAAAAAACATCGTGCATCTCAGTAGGATTTTTATTTTACAGAATTGTTTTGTTGTTGCGAAGTAAAACGTCGACCTACGTACTTATCACAGCGTTTTAATGCTAAGCTGTGAACCTACGCACACAATGACACGAAGCCTGTTTGCTTTACATTGCGCGCAATAATTTTTTTTTTTGATACCTAAAAATAAATGTCGTTTCCCAGTGATAATTTTAGCATAAAGCTACTTAGTTAGAACTGCAGTATGCGTAGTTAATGGCTTCGTTAAGTGTCTTTTTACACCCTGTATGTATACTTTTCTACAATTGCGAAGCAGCGGGCAGAAGGCATCCTATAAAATACCTACACAATGTGCGAACTAATCTTGATAAAATCTTATTATAGATCGTGCAATGTATTATAATTTCGTACCTTCAACGTTGGCTGACTCGTGTACAAGTAGGGATACATTTCTCACATCTCTAATCAAAGCGTCGGCTGAATTTTCAAAATAAATGCAGCAAGTCCGGTACACATTGAAGTCAGCTTTGAGATGGATAGTTGTAGAACTCTGTTGTTCAATAACTTTTTCCTTATTATAAATTAATGCGATCAATGCGTCTGAAAAACGATGTTAACGATACAAATATAAATAATAATAATAAAAATGTGGATGGATGGAGAGGGAGAGGGAGACCAAAGAAAATATGGATGGATTGTGTGAGAAGTGATATGGAAGACAGAGGAGTTAGTGATAGCGTGACGGGTGACAGGACAGAATGGAAGAAAAAAACATATTGCGCCGACCCCAAATAAAACGGGACAAGGGCAGGAAGATGATGAATAACCATTTTGCACAATAGTCCTGCATCAACCGGGATTGTCCTTGGGTGCACTTTTATCGTGCTTACAGGGATAATTGCCGGCTGATGTCCCATCACATTTAGATTAAAACTGTTCAACGGGACTTCGCGAGTTGGCTTCGGCTGCTCGTACGCCTTCCAAAGGTCCGGGACCCTGTGGTCCCGTGAAAGGCAAGCACAAACAAAATAATAATAACATGGTTTTTTTTGAGTCATCATAATGAAATGACATCTCCCAACGGTAGAGAGTTTCAGACTCTTACTGACTAAAAACCTCCCGTTCCTTCTCCTGCTCAGGGAAGCTATATGGAGTCAGTTTTTGTATTTCGAATTGAAGGTGGGGAGAACAGGATTCAAAATTCAATACCATAAAAATAAATTAAAATAATGGCTCTCCCACACTAACTAGTTGGAAACTACCGTATTGCTGATTTAAAGGATTTGAATGGGCTAGGTGGCTCTTCGAAGTCACCAGTCTACTGCAGATGTGGCTAAACAGGGCTGATGTTCAGCCCGAGGTCCGACCCGGAACAGAAGAACGAACGGGATGGTTTTCAGTCAGTGAGTCTGACACTCTCTCTCGCCACCCTGGGCGGGAGAAGTCATTTGATGAATTTTACTTGTTTATGAATGAGAATTTTGGGAAACAAGATATTAATATTAAAAAAAGTGTGGGAGAGCTAAGCTTCGGCACGAATGGGTCGGCTCGACCGGAGTGATACCACGGCCTCAGAGAAAACCGCCGTGAAGCAACCACAGCGTTGTATTTCCTACTACTATTGTAGATCCTTATATCCGCAACCCCTATCCCCAAAAGGCCGGCAACGCACTCGGTTACTCCTTTGGTGTTGCGGGTGTCCAAGGGCAGCGCCGATTGCTTACCATTAGGAAATCCGTCTGCTCGTTTGCAGACTTAGGTAGACAGAAGACATAAAAAAAAACTTTGAAACCTGAAATGGAAGTAGCGAAATAGGTACTTACTTCCTGAGCAGTTAAGATTCAGTTTTCTTGAATCAGAGTAGGGTATCGTATGACTGATCTCTGTCATTGTATCTGAAATATTGACAAAAATATTTATAATATAAAAGAACATGCTTGACCGGAGTTAGGTATTATCTATACTAATATTATAAAGAGGTAAAGTAAGTTTGTATGTAGCGGGTAATCTTTGGAACCACTGGTCCGATTCCCATAATTCTTTCACTTATTGATAGCTACAATGTTCTCGAGTGCTATATACAAAATGTAAGAATCAAGTGATGGCAACAAATCGTCTACATAGGTACCAATTTATATTTCACAATTCTGTAGAATGCCATAAAAATCCCTCCCCAATCCCTAAATCTCCGAAACCCTAATTCCGAAAAGGCAGGCAACGCCAAACTCAACCATATCGTTGAGTTGTGCGGTGTTTATAAACTTGAGCTGGCGTTGCTTTAAGTGTGGGAGAGCCAAGCTTCGGCACGAATGGGTTGGCTCGCCCGGTGTGATACGTAAAACAACCACAGCGTTGTGTTTTGCCATATGAGTAAGGTTACCGGAGGCCCCATACCTTCCCCTATCTCCATCCATCATCATCATCATCAGCCGGAAGACGTCCACTGCTGGATAAAGGCCTCTTCTTTATCCCAATCCTTCCCAATTCTTAAATATCCGAAACACTTATACCTAAAAGGCTAGCAACGCACTCCTTTGGTGTTGCGGTTGTCCATGGGCGGCGCCGATTGCTTACCATCAGGTAATCCGTCTGCTCGTTTGCCGTACCTAATCTATATATATAAAATAAAGTCGTGTTAGTTACTCCACTTATAGATCAAGAACGGTTGAACCGATTTAGCTGAAAATTGGCAGGGAGGTAGTTTCGAGCCAGGAGAAGGACATAGGTAGAGTAGGTAGAGTAGGTAGTGTAGGGTAGGTAGTGAAGGGTAGGTAGTGTAGGGTAGGTAGAGTAAGGTAGGTAGAGTAGGGTAGGTAGTGAAAGGTAGGTAGTGTGGGGTAGGTAGTGAAAGGTAGGTAGTGTAGGGTAGGTACAGTAAGGTAGATAGAGTAGGGTAGGTAAAGTAGGGTAGGTAGAGTAGGGTAGGGTAGGTAGAGTAGGATAGGCAGAGTAGGGTAGGTAGAGTAGGGTAGTTAGAGAAGGGTAGGGTAGGTAGAGTAGGGTAGGGTAGGTAGAGTAGGGTAGGGTAGGTAGAGTAGGGTAGGTGGAGTAGCGTAGATAGAGTAGGGTAGGTAGAGTAGGGTAGGTAGAGTAGGGTAGATAGAGTAGGGTAGGTAGAGTAGGGTAGGTAGAGTAGGGTAGATAGAGTAGGGTAGGTAGAGTAGGGTAGATAGAGTAGGGTAGGTAGAGTAGGGTAGATAGAGTAGGGTAGGTAGAGTAGGGTAGGTAGGGTAGGGTAGGTAGGGTAGATAGTCAAATGACGGGAGCGACGCCGCGGGTAAGAGCTAGTATCACATAAAAAAAACTTACTATATTTATTTATATCATCAGGTATTTTTATAAGAAATGTTTGAATAATATCTGGCGCGTTTCTCTGGTTACCGTCTTCGAATTTTATTATGCTGTTATTATCGAATATATAAATTGGCATTTTTAGAATCCGCGACGTTGTCTCATAAGACCATAATTGTTTTTCTTTTCTTCCATTTTCATCGTCTGAAATAGTTTTAATGTTAAATTATATAAATACACTTTTTTTAAGTGTGGGAGAGCCATGCTTCGGCACGAATGGGTCGCCTCATCCGGAACGACACTACGGCCTGACAGAAAACCGGCGTGGAAACAACCACAGCGTTGTGTTTCGCCGTGTTAGTGAGGTTACCGGAGGTCCAATACTACCCCTCCCCAGATCCCTCCAGAATGCCAAATTCCTAATCCCCAACAGGGTGGCAACGCTTCGTAACTCTTCTTTTGTTGCGGATGTCCATGAGCGGCGCTGATTGCTTACCATCAGGTAATCCATTGGCTCGTTTGCCGGCCTATATCATATTATAATAAAAAATGTGATATTTTTCAATATTCTTCTCCTGCCCTGGGTCGGTTGAAAGGTAGTGTCAGACTCTTACTGACTAAAAACCATCTCATTCTTCTGCTCTAGGCCGAAATAGAGAAGAGAGATAAATTTAATATATTCTTAATATTTAAAGCCTTACACGTTACTTCAGTAACTCCGTTTCTATTAAGTTCTATAGGCGGCGAGCAAGTGTAGCTCGCCGTCCGACCCAAACGTATCTATTGGTTGGCGTGTTCCTCGCGTCAAAGGACTATCAGCCCACCTCAGATCCCCATCTGAGGTGGGCTGATAGTCCACTATTTCAATTATTTACCGCGGCCCTGTTGCGAAGCAGGCGATGGAACTGGGTGGTCACTCCACCCAGGACCGGCATCGTACTAACTTGTAGCTTTTGTGGAGTTACCCATGTTGGCCATGTGTTGGCCATTGCTGTTTGCTTACCACCAGACCACCCGTCTGCTGCATACACACACACACATATATGAATATGGAAGAAAGAAGTGTTAGTAATTCCAACACTTCTTTCTTCTTTTTTATAGCTCAAGAACGGCTGAACCGATTTGGCTGAAAATCTGTTGGGAGGTAGCTAAGAACTGGGAGAAAGACATAGTACAGTAGGTAGGATAGGATAGGGTAAGAGGATAGGTAGCGTAGGGTGGAAGCGTAGGTTGGGTGGTGTAGGTAGCCAAAGACAGGAGCAAAGCCGCGGATAAAAGCAAGTAAAAACTAGAGGATAAAGATAACTCACCTACTACAATTATTTGAGACCATTTATATTTCTCTAATCGGTTTTGTGTTTCCCCATACTGGCAATGCAAAGTTGGGCCTTTTTTAAATTCGCACATAGGTTTTTCTGAAACCATTAATACAATAATAAGTATGATAATAAATGGGCGAGGCCCAACCACCTTTAAAGGCTGACCTTATGCGGGTAGATCAAGGGCCTTAATCAGAAGTCAGTCCTCCTTGAAACAGCAGTGTGATTCTGTAAGACTTCATTCTAAACTTCGAATCTGAATCCGCTGTGAGTAGTAGCACACTAGCGCTACACTTGCGAGTTGAACTAAATTGACAGCATCATTTTGAAAGATAAAGTATGAAATAACGTTAAAAGTGACATTCTAAAATTTAATTTCCACGTCACTTCGACGCTCACTTCACACTCGAAAAAGATTTATAATCAAACAAATTTTATAGAATCGACGTGTAGCACGTATTGTGAGGTGGTTTCTCTCCCTAGAGCCCTAACCACCGGTAGCTTGGACTCTGTTCCCGCGGCCAGCTGGCTCTTACTTTTATATTTTGAAATATTGACAAAAGCCACCCGTATTTTGAACGAGGGAGATAGTCACGGACCCGATTCTGGCGCTCAAATAAGCCAACCTTTTCCATAAGACCAATATGGAAATCCAAAAAAAGTCTTATGGAAAAAGTTATTGTAATTGAGGATTATTATTGCTCGGAGGATTATTGTGGATCTTCGGCTCCTTGAAGCCGATTTTGGTGCAACATATTCAAGTATATCTTTCTCGTTCACCATGTAGGTATACTTATTTTCTAGCAGTATTTAGAAATTTTGTTTTAGAGTTATTTAACTAAATATGTGGAATTACAATAATAATCCGCGACGCAGCTTGCTGTAGAGAGCTGTTAGGCAGTAGGAATCCCTAGGAATCCCTAGGACCTGACTCCCGGAAGGGGTCTTGTTCTTCATCTATGAAGTTCATTGTGAAAAGCTGGAGTGAGCACTGAGGACCAACTAGACCTTCCACCTCATTTTCACATGCTTGGCTGCCTAGAGTCGGGGATCTTTATCCTTATGTCAGTTTGATGCTGGTAGGGGTCTTGACCTTGCGTCCGTAATTGCTCTGATAGCCTTCGGATGCCTCTCCTCCTCCAAGCAGCTCAACGAAGGTTGCTTCCGCATCGCTACTGGCTGGAGGCCGTTTCCAAGGTTCCATTGATAAAGTATGCCAGTCACTCCCTGCCTGTTTATTCTCATCATTAGAGTTTAGTTTAGTTCTTCAGGTCGAACGACAACTGGCCACCTGCATCCATTGCCTCCCTCCGACTCTGGCAATGTCCTCGGTCCACCTAAACGGATACCACGCTAGGTTTTTCAGCTCTTGGTCGCCACTTGAGTACTTTTCGGGCCCATCGGCCGTCCGTCCTTCGAGCGACAAGGCCTTCCCATTGCCACTTTAGCCTGCAGATTTTACGAGCTATGTCGGTGACTTTGGTTCTTTGGCGATTTTCCACATTTCGGATTTTGTCGCGCAAATAGACCCCAAGCATAGCCTGTTCCATCGCTCGCTGAGCGATTCTACATTAACTAGTTTATAAAAAAGTTTTTATACTTACCATTTACTTGGGATGGCGTTGGTTTGTCAACTATTTTGGTGAATTGGCTTAGTATTCTTTCTGTGATAGTTATGCCTTTGCCTTTTTTGTAGGTTTTAATTTGTACACAACATGCAAGTAGGTTTATCATACTATTATATTCTCTTTGCCAGCTCAAATGGGACATTGTGTATACCTTTATCTTCGAACTATCATCATACAAGACCGCCACTTGACTGTCATCTGTAATTGTAACCTATCTTTAAATAAACTAGCTTTTGCCAGCGACTCCGTTCGCGTGGAATAGTGACTTCCTGCAGATTTTTGGTATACCTAAAAACTATTCTATGTCCTTTCTCGAGTCTGTGTCTGTACCAAATTTCACAGAAATTGGTTCAGTAGTTTAGGCGTGAAGAAAAGACAGACAGGCAAACAGACAGAGTTTTTTCGCATTTATATTATTGGTTTGGATTTAGACTGTCTGTATTTCATATTGGAATAACTGAATGTTACTGCATGCATATAACGTTCCAGTGGATTTTGCTTGAACGGGACTTCTCCATTTTAGTGAAATTGCATTACATTGTATAACTATAACTTGATAAATTTGTAAATGTGAGTGCCTGTAACCTATTACAATTGTTTAGACTAGCAGAATGTCGGTCCTTATAACAGCTTGGAGTTGTCATGCTCACTGAAAGGTCACACTAGCGGTAGCATGGGCGCTGGATCGCTTAATTCCCTATAATATGGTTGAGTTGGGCGATGCTGGTGTACGTGTCATGTTCGTGAACGGGCGCCGTCAGTTGGGACTGGTCAGCTTCGGACTGTCTATTGTCCTTAAGGTTATCTACTTTATTTTTATACTTGAATAAATATTAGTGTTACACTGTTCTCACATAATTGAACCAACTGTTTGTAAAAGGAATCTGTATGTGAAACTGATTTAAAAAGAGTAACCATGGAGTTTCTTGCTCGTTCTTCTCCATCGGAATCTGCACTTTGGAACGAGCAAATAGCTTCACTAATCTTCAAATTTTTTTTTGACGTTCAAATGTGCCTGTACCTAACTGTCTAATTGGAATAAATGATTTTTGACTTTTGACTTTGACTTATACAATATGTAACGTACCTAATTAACGGACAACACACCCAATGTTATGTTATTTTTATATATAAAAAATGGATCGCAAAATATGTTGGTAAGCGCATAACTCAACAACGCCTGGACCAATTTTGCTAATTCTTTTTTTGTTGTGTTTGTTATTGTCAGGAGAAGGTTCTTATCAAAAAAAATATAAGAATAGAAGAGGGGAATATTAGGAACAAATGACCCTTCGATAGCGAGATATTGGACCCGTGCGAAGCGGGGGCGAGCGGCTAGTGTTATTATAATCATAATATGTACACCCACTTTTTTATTAAATTTTTTTTAAACATTATTACTCATTTAATTCTAATTTGGTTTTATTTAGATTCAAAATTGATTTTTTCATTTTTAAATATTAAAATAAAGATAAACATTTAAAAATATAAAAAGGGTTCCAAGCACCACTTAATTAGTTATATAAGGTATTATATATAATAAAAGGTTTTTTTTTTTTTGTATTGTCGTGGTGGCCCGTAGGTTAAGGCGCCCGCTTCTCATGCATGAGGGTGCTGGCTCAAAATCTGTGACTTTTTCCGAGTTATATGTACTTTCTATGATTATTTAGACACCACTGACATACAGTTAAGGAAAACATCGTGAGGAAACCTGAACTTATAAAATTCCAATTATAAGTTTGAAATCGCCAATCTGCCTTGAGCAAGCGTGGTGGTTAATGCTCAAACCTTTGCTCAACAGTGGACACTTGTTGGCTGATGATGTTATAAATTATACATCAAAGTCAAAGTCAAAATCATTTATACCAACTAAATCATAAATAGGTACTTTTGAAACGTCCAAATAGAATAGTAGTCTGTCAGTCAGTTCGTCAGCGAAGCTAGGTGCTCGTTCCAAATTGTAGATTCGAATGGAGAAGAACGAACAAGAAACACAATCGTTACTCTTTTTTAAAAAAAATGGTATGGTGTTTAAAGAAGCCATATCTGAATTCGTGCCAAAACGGCGTCAGGATTTTATATTCCCGAGGCAAGGACACGCGGTGGGTCAGCGCTGAAAACCAGCGCTGTTGTTTCGTGCCTGCGTGCGCGCATTTACACACAGCATTTATGCTGAGCGCTGCCCCTTTTCACGCATGAGTTACGCAATTGCAGCGCTTTTCTTTCTTACTTTCTTTCTTTCTTTCTTTCTTTCTTTCTTTCTTTCTTTCTTTCTTTCTTTCTTTCTTTCTTTCTTTCTTTCTTTCTTTCTTTCTTTTTTTTCTTTCCTTCATTCTTTCGTTCTTTCTTTCTTTCTTTCTATTGTTACCATTGATCAGATCACTAGCGTTATAAGTACATTGATTTCATCTTACCATGTTTACAGATGAATTCGTAAGACTTATCTTCTTTATTGACGTACATTGTTTCTGTTACTGGGTATTCTGTAACAAAGTACCAATTCAAAGATGTAAAGAGACACACCACAGAACATGTTAAATTTGATTACCTGATGGTAAGCAATCAGCGCCGCCCATGGACACGCTAACGGACGGCGAGAAATAACCTCAGCGTTGTGTTTCGCCGTGTGAGTGAGGTCGCCGGAGGCCCAAACCCTCGCTCGTAACTTCTTTGGTGTTGCGTGTGACCATGGGCGGCGCTGATTGCTTACCATCAGGTAATCCGTCTGCACGTTGCTCACCAATGTCATAAAAAAATCTTGTTAAAGTAATCTCGAGCAGGCGGATTACCTGATAGTAAGCAATCGGCGTAGCCCATGGACACCCACAACAACGGAGGAGCTACAAGTGCGTTGCCGACCTTCTGGGAAATAGGGATTTGGAGATAGGATTGGGGATGAGGAAGGATTAGGCCTCGGGTAACCTCATTCACACGGCGAAACACAACGCTGTGATTCTTTCACGCCGACTTTCTGTGAGGCCGTGGTATCACTCCGGTCGAGCCGACCCATTCGTGCCGAAGTATGTCTCTCCCACACTCGAAAGTACAAAATTTCCCTAAAATCGGTTGAGTTATCCAGGATTTTTGATTTTCGAAGTAGGTATGTAGCAAATCTAATGTTACAAGTGTGTGTTTAAGTGTGGGAGAGCCATGCTTCGGCACGAATGGGTCGGCTCGGCGGCGGCAGAAAACCGGCGTGAAACAACCACAGCGTTGTTTTTCGCCGTGTGAGTGAGGTTACCGGAGGCCCAATCCGTCCCACTCCCCTCTTCCGCGCACGTAACTCACTTTGGTGTTGTGATGTGTTGTGTCCATGGGCGGCGCTGATTGCTTACCATCAGGTAATCCGTCAGCTCGTTTGCCGATCGTTTACATGAAAAAAAGACATAAATGTAGAAAATTTTCTGAACAATATTCACTTACCATAATATTCCAAGGATGAGGGATCTATAGTAAAATATTTCGTCTTCAATGATTCTTTTTCCATAGTTATCTGGCTGTTGATATCAAATTTATAAAGTCTCATTTTGAAGAGACTCGTTGGTTGCGTAATCTGATATACGGGTTTTCCTGTAAAGTATTTCTCTATTAATTTTTGTTTGCTAAACAGACTTGTGGCGTCAAAACGAATCTGAACAGAATTCTTTTTTCTTTTCTTTCACGGGACTACAGAATCCCGGACCTTTGGAAGGCGTACGAGGGGCCGAAGCCAACTCGCAGAGGACCTTTGACCAGTTTTAATCTAAATGTGATGGGACATCAGCCGTCAATTATCCCTGTATGCACTATAAAAGTGCACCCAAGGACAATCCCCGGTTGATGCAGGACTATTGTGCAATATGGTAGAAATTTATATGGTTATGGATGTGTGTGGCTATGGACTGGTAGGTAGATGATAACTGTGGAAATACTATGACCACTGCCCCTGACCAATATTTATACATACGGATGAACAGGCAGGGGGTGACTGACGAACAATACTGATCAAAAGAACATTTGAGTGGATCGTGCAAGTACTCAACCTGTCAGAACGCAGATAACTAGTAGTCGAAAAGCGCGGCAAAGTCTCACACGGTCTTTAAACTAACAATTAAGTATAGCAAAATAGTAAAAATGTAAATATTACTAACGTTCTTGACTATTTACGTATCTCTGAGACCATGTCACCGTGTCTGGTCCAATGTAACCTGAATAACAAGTCAGCGTCTGACCAATCATATTACATTCCAAATGAGAACCTGTAATTGCAGAAAAAAACATTTTTTATGATATAGGTCAGCAAACGAGCATATACAGTATACCTGATGGTAAGCAATCAGCGACGCCCATGGACAACGGAGTTACAAGTGCGTTGCAGACCTTTTGGCTATTAGGGATTTGGAGATTTTGAAGATGTAGTTCTAGGTGTGGAGGAACAATGCTTCGGCACAAATTGGTCGGCTCGACTGGACCTCAATCCTCAAACCCCCTATCCTTAAATCTATACTTACTAATATTATAAAGAGGTAAAATTTGTAAGTTTGTATGTTTGTAAGTTTGTATGTAGGTATGTAGTACCTATAAACGAGTGCCTGTGGGCGGCGCTGATTGCTTACCATCAGGCAATCCGTCTGATCGTTTGCCTAACTATGACAAAAAAAACCCCATTCCTCCAATCTCCCAAAAAAGGACTGCTAGTACCTATCTTAAAACTTTCACTTGTCGGTGTTGCAGATGACCATTGGTGGCGCTACCACCGATTGCTTACCATCAGATAATCCATTAGTTCCTTTCAAAATAAGGTTTTGCAACCACAGAAAGGGTTGTAAATAATAATACAAAATTCGTTAAGTGTGGGAGAGCCATGCTTCGGCACGAATGGGTCGGCTCGACAGGAGAGATACCACGGCCTCACAGAAAACCGGCGTGAAATATCCACCGGGTAGTGTTTCGCCATGTGAGTTACCGGAGCCTCAATCCTTCCCCTTCCCGAATCCCTAAATCTCCAAATCCCTAATCCCCAAAAGGTCGGCGAAGCACTCGTAACTCCTCTATTGCGGGTGTCCATGGGCGACGCTGATTGCTTACCATCAGTTAATCCGTCTGCTCGTTTGCCGACCTATCACATAAAAACCAATACGTACCGTCACATCTGTTTTCGAAATTCACTAATATAGAACAGAGGTTGCCCTTGTCAACGTTTCTTAGGCATTTGTCTTCAAAACTAGATCTACCTGAAATCATAACACGTATTTAGAATCATCATCATCATCATCATGAGCCCATAAGTGCTTACTGATAAGCAAAGGTGTGGGAGAGCCATGCTTCGGCACGAATGGGTCGGCTCGACCGGAGTGATACCACGGCCTCACAGAAGACCGACGAGAAACAACCACAGCGTTGTGTTTCAGCGTGTGAGTGAGGTTACCGGAGGCCCAATCCTTCCCCGACCCCAATCCCTCCTCAATCCCGAAATCTCCAAATCCCTAATCCCTAAAAGGACGGAAACGCACTCGTAACTCCTCCGTTGCGGGTGTCCATGGGCGGCGCTGATTGCTTACCATCAGATAATCCGTCAGCTTGTTTGACGACCAATTACATAAAAAAAGGCCTCTTCTCACACGGACAATGTTTGAGCATTAATCACCGCGCTTGCTCAAGGCGGATTGGCGGTTTCAAACTTATAATTAGAAATTATAAGTCCAGGTTTCCTCGCGATATTTTCCTTCACTGTATGTCAGTGGTGTCTAAATAATCATAGAAAGTACATTTATCTCGGAAAATATCAAATTGGTTGAGTCTTAGAACCTGCCCCTCATACTTGAAAAGAGGACGCCTTAACCTCCAGGCTACCACTTTTTTGCTCATTTTCATGGTTCTATTTTTTCAATGGTTAGATAAAAGTTACCTGGGGAATAATTAGATGCTGTCGCGTCACAATGTTTGTATAAGACAGTGACAGCAACAATTTTATTCCTCAGATAACATTTATCTGACTATTGAAAAATCAGTCCTTAATAAATTATTATATCTAGACTAATATTATAAAGAGGTAAAATTTGAAAGTTTGTAAGTTTGTATGTGGGGGGTAATCTTTGGAACCGCTGGTCGGATTGCCAAAATTCTTTCACTGATAGATAGCTACATTTTTTTTTAAAACGTTGCCCCACACTTGGATTTTCTCCTGTGTCGTTTACAAACATACAATTTCACATGCACATCACACCCAGACCCGGAACAACAGTCTGTGGATCACACAAAGAGTTGTTCCGTGCGGGAATCGAACCCGCGACACGTTGCGCGGCAGCCAGTTGCCCAGCCACCGCGCCAACCGTGCAGTCAAACAATGTTCCTTACGATCAAATGGAGCCGAGCAGCGGGTGAAACCGCAAAAGAGTAGCTAGTATATTATATATTCATTCTTAAATGACCTTCTGCTATAAAAAATACATATTTGTACATACCATTGCCTTCTTCCGTCTTTTTGCCATTAAGGACGTTACGTATACCGCAAGATTCTTGATTACTATCTTTGATCTCTAAATAGACTAAAAAATAGTTTACATTTAGTCTCGATTTTTGGTTAAGCATTCCATTCTTTGGCGTAACAGTCGATACGTTTGGCTGGTGTCGATCTGTAAATGATAAAACTTGATCTTTATCCATTTGTCAAGTACTAGCTTGTGGAATAGTGACTTCCTGCAGATTTTTGGTTTAAAAACTATCCTATGTCCTTTCTCGAGTTCCAAACTACGTCTGTACCAAATTTCACAGAAATCGGTTCAGTGGTTTAGGCGTGGAGAAAAGACAGACAGACAGAGTTACTTTCGCATTTATAATATTACGAGTAGCTTGGATTAATACAAAGGCGGACTTAATGCCCGACGGTATTCTCTACCAGTCAATCTCAAGGGTGATGCAGAGAAGTGTTAACAATAGGTTCTAAACAAGCACACAAATTATTGATAAGCATAGGTAATATAAACATATAATGCAAAATCATATATATGAATACTATAATAAATATAGCCTTTTTTGTCAGGGGAAAATCATCAAATGACTTCTCCCGCCCAGGGTAAGGCGAGAAAGACTGTCAGACTCTTACTGACTAAAACCCCCCGTTCCTTCTCCTGCTCTGTGCCGAGGCCGCGGTGCCTCATTGCGCTTACCCCGCAACCTCGGCTGAACATCAGCCCTATAGTGCCCCATCTGTGTTGGTCTATTGGAAAAGAAAAAAAATTTAAAGGATCAAGAAGCTTATAATAGCGATAGTGTTTCTACAAACCTGTGCGCACGTGAAGAAGATACTCGGTGATGCCAGGTGGAACATTCATTAGTTTAATATCAATATCTAAGTGTTCACCCTTGCCGTATGTAAATATGATAGGACTCGACATGGTAGGACCACCTGTAAGAAAATAAAAATTTAAAACGTTCAGCCGGCGTTTTTGGTATTCTGTATAAGATTTTATTTACACCATGTGAAAAAGAGGGATGAAACGCATGTTACAAAAAAAGCCATGAGTATAAATGTGGATGAATTAAGAGGGAGAGGGACACCCGGTTTCTGAAAGGCTTGTCAACGCTAAAATTAACTAATCTCCTGTTAAATCTCTTGTCAAGTCATCTGATTGGTTGTTGATAATTCAGTCAACCAATAAGATGACTTGACAAGAGATTAAATTGATTTTAACATTGATCGGCCTTTCGGAAACCGGGGGGGAGACCAAAGAAAATATGGATGGATTGCGTGAGAAGTGATATGGAAGACAGAGGAGTCAGTGATAGCGTGACGGTCGACAGAACAGGATGGAAGAAAACAAACATATTGAGCCGACCTCAAATAAAACGGGACAAGGGTAGGAAGATGATGATGATGATTTATAAGATTTTATTTCAGATAGAGCCATGCTTCGACCTGACCGGAGTGTTTTTACCGGCTAACGAGCAGACGGATTACCTGAGACCGCCCATGGACGGCCGCAACAATGGAAGAGTTACGAGTGCGTTGCCGACCTTTTGGTAATAAGGGTTTCTGGTATTTTCGGATTGGAAAGGTATGGGGTAGGGGGAGGGATTGGGCATCCAATAACCTCACGAAACACAACGCTATGTTTGCTTCACGCTGGTTTTCTGTGAGGCCGTGGTATCACTCCGGTCGAGAATTTTACTGTGATGTTGCTATAGTAATAAAAATAAAACTTTTAAGTACTTTGAAGTGTGGGAGAGCCATGCTTGCGCACGAATTGGTCGGCTCAACCGGAGCGATACAACGTCCTCACAGAATACAGGCGTGAAACAACCCACAGCGTTGTGTTTCGCCGTGTGAGTGAGGTTACCGGAGGCCCAATCCCTTCCCTTCCCCTATCCCTTCCCAATCCTTATATCCGCAACCCCTATCCCCAAAAGGCCGGCAACTCACTCAACTCCTTTGGCGTTGCGGGTGGACATGGGCGGCGCCGATTGCTTACCATCAGGTAATCCGTCTACTCGTTTGCCGACTTATACCATAAAAAAAGTATAGTAGTAAAGAAAAAAAGTTTCTTTGTGAAACTTGTTTGTTATAATGAGAACAATCACTTTTTAAATATCGGTCACTGATTTCCAGTCATCATATATGTTTGAAAAAGTTTTTGTATTAGAAGCACATATACTTACTGCAATAAACATCAACCGCCAGCGTTGTAAACAAAAAAAGATGAAAACTGATCATCATTGATGCCTTCCCTTGTCTCAACCCGTCCTAGTTATGTCAGCAATATCTGCAGGCAAAAAAGTCATCGTAAACAGCAGCTCATGTAGTGTAGATGTCCAGTCAACAAGGATGTAGCGAGGTTGACTATCCAGGCGACACACGTACTTAGGTATCGTCATGAGCTAATGTTCACATGTAAACAGCAGCCCATGTAGTGTAGATGTCCAGTCAACAAGGACGTAGCGAGGTTGACAGTCCAGGCGACACACGTTCTTAGATATCGTCATGAGCTAATGTTCACATGTAAACAGCAGCTCATGTAGTGTAGATGTCCAGTCAACAAGGATGTAGCGAGGTTGACTGTCCAGGCGACACACGTACTGAGGTATCGTCATGAGCTAATGTTCACATGTAAACAGCAGCTCATGTAGTGTAGATGTCCAGTCAACAAGGATGTAGCGAGGTTGACTATCCAGGCGACACACGTACTTAGGTATCGTCATGAGCTAATGTTCACATGTAAACAGCAGCCCATGTAGTGTAGATGTCCAGTCAACAAGGACGTAGCGAGGTTGATTGTTTGGGCGTCACACACACAGGAAAAAGTTTATAAAATTAGGGAAAATATAGTTATCAGTTACAGGAATTTGTATTACAAATTCGAAGTCATGAGTCATAGTCCGTAACTGCTGGAGTAATACCACGGCCTCTCAAAAAACGGGCGTGATAAATATCTTGCGCTGTGTTTCGCTTTGTGAGTGAAGTTACTGCAGGCATGATTGGGGACTACGTACGGCGCAAGCGCCAGCATCGCACGTATCACCCGTGCTCCGGCCATCATAAAAGCTCCTCCTTAGTAGGGGAGAATTGAGGGGCCTGCCATGAGGCGGGCAGTCGCCGTTGGGGGACTGGACGACATGGATTCCCAGACCCCCTCCACTCAGACGAGGCCGGAGTGCCACTGAGTTTTTTAGTGGGAACGTCTTTACCGGGGAGTCCCACATAACCCTCTTCCGTCCCCCGACGGGAAGGGTATGCGTAACAGCATTTTTCCCAGTGTCGTAAAAAAAAAGCAGGTTTGGAGGAGCGGAAGGATTGAACCTCCGGTAACCTCACTTACACGGTGAAACACAACGCTGTGGTTGTTGCACGCCGGTTTTCTGTGAGGCCGTGGTATCACTCCGGTCGAGCTGACCCATTCGTGCCGAAGCATGGTTCTCCCATACTTAAAGACACAACTTTTTCTGGGTTGTCGGTTGGCGACCCATTCGGATTGGGCAAGTCTACGAACCCTGATTAGTACTTTTCATTATTATTATTAGTCTGTTTAACTATTGTTAATTTTCCTTATTTTTGTGTTTTTTTTCCTGCCTCGTTATTGTTGTGATTCTGATTCCGAATAAACGCGATTTTCCTTCTTCCTTTTCTTTCTTTTGTTTGTATAATAATATTTGGTTTGCAGGTCACAATTACGATATCATCATCATCATCATCATCATCATCATCATCATCAGCCTATACCTAAGTGTCCACTGCTGAGCAAAGGCCTCTTCTCACACGGAGAAGGTTAGAGCATTAATCACCACGCTTGCTCAATGCGGGTTGACGATTTCAAACCCTCATGTATGAGAAGCGGGCTCCTTAACCTCCGGGCCACCACGACATTACGATATGAACTTTGGTATTTCAGAACCGACAAGATTTCGAAACCTTCGTGAAAGGTACTAACTCCTTCTAAGAGACCTGGAAACGTACATACTTGTGACTTCTTTAATATTGCTTACTATCAGGTGATCCGTCTGTACTAAAAACGATACCAGAATTGTTTCCAATAATTTGCAAATAAATGTTACTTTTGGGCTGACATTTTAATAATAAGAACACATAATTTTCGTCACTATTGAAAGTGAAATCAATAAACAAACAAAGGGCTGATTTTTCAATGGTCAGATAAATGTTATATGTGACATAGTTTGCAACTCGAGAAAGGACAAAATTCTGTAGTAAGTCACTATTGCACGCGAACAAAGTCGCGGACAAAAGCTAGTTTGCGAAAAAATCTATCTTTATCTTTATTTTAAGAGGAACTTACCTCTCCATCGTTGAATTAAATCACTTATTAATTGTTAACCAATTTGAACACTTGGTACAATGTAATATACACTTTAAGAAACTAAAAAACCACGAGCGAAGAACGTTATTTTGAAATTATTTTATAAAAAACAGCATATAAATGTTGTGTGTATTAGGATATACGTCAAATAGTGATTGTTATAAACTTTTGTTTAATTTAAACTGCATTAGTTTGGTAGGATTTAAAACTATATTGGTCTATTTTTGCTTTGTTACGTATTGTAAACGGATTTTCGTAATAAATTTTCCTGTTTCGTCAACTGTCTGATTCATTGCGGTTTGAAACACGATACGGCTGACGTTGTAGCTAGGGAACTGGCTGTTGTGCAACGTATCGCGGGTTCGATTACTGCTCGGAACAACTCTTTGTAAATAAAATAAATAGAAAAAAAAATACACTTTTTGTTTATTGCATTCCAAAGTACAGTTTCATTAACAGTGTGCATGGTAAACAAATTTAATATAATCTGATTATGATTAACAAATACTTAATTCGATTGTAATAATAATATATTATTTAAAATCTATTTTTGTAGTTTGTAATAAAAAAATTTTGTAATGTATAAGTACTTAGTTTATAAATTATTTAGTTTTTGATTTGATTTGTAGTTAATGTTGTAATTGGTATATGATAATAACAATATTCAATTCTAAAATATCCTTAACCAAGAACCCTCTCCGTGAAAGGCGAAGGCTCTGTATTCTCTGCCCCTTGTAACCAATGAGTACCTGATACTTTTGTGTTCACGTCTGCCCAGCGTGCATTTGGTCTTCTTCTCCTTCTCTGTTATAATAAATACCTATTTTTGTACATAAAATCCGAGAGAAAAATATATATTCCTGATATATCCAATAAAGAGTAATGGGCCCAATACGCTACCCTGTGGTATCCCAAACGGACATTAGTGAACTTGAATTAGTAAACTTTTTCTTGTTTCGACATTGGGCATAGTCAATTTACATATTTGAGTAGCTTGGTGTCTATTGCTTAAATAGGATTTGTAACTTTATTAAGTACCCCTAATACCACAGTCATTTTATTTTTGAAGCACAATGTCTTGACGATCGTGGTCGAACGCTTTTGACAAGTCTAAGTACATGGCTACAGCTGGTTTACTATTATCTAAATTGGTCATGACTATGTATAATATTATAAATCGCAATATTTACGGCGGCCGTATTGTTCACTGGCTAAAACATGATTGGCTTCAAGTAACAAGTACAACGATGCATAATATAACATTAACATATAAGTGTGGGAGAGGCATGCTACGGCACGAATGGATCGGCTCGACCGGAGTGATACCACGGCCTCACAGAAAACCGGGGTGAAAATAATAACCACAGCATTGTGTCTCGCCCGTGTGAGTGAGGTTACCGGAGGCCCAATCCTTCCCCTCCCCCGATCTATCCTATATCCTAGATCCTATCCTCAATCCCTAAAACTCTAAATCCCTAATCCCTAAAAGGTCGGCAACGCACTCGTAACTCCTCAGTTGCGAGTGACCATGGGCGGCGCTGATTGCTTACCATCAGGTTATCCGTCTGCTCGTTTGCCGACCTATTACATAAAAAAATTCATACTATTAAAAAATTGGTATTTTTTTATAGTATGAATTTCAGACCTAGCTTGTGACGAACAGACTGAGGGACTATTATACTATTTTGACGTTTCAAAAGTACCTATTTATGGTTTAGTTGGAATAAATGATTTTGACTTTGATCAGAATACTTAAACCTGCTACAAACAAAATGAAAAGTATTAAAATACACATATTATAAATAAATACTGCGAAATAAATTCACACAATTTTATATGAAACAGTATGATGTAATGTCATAATGTATTTTTGTTAAATTGCATGTTACATTTTCCTCTTAAATTGTCTAAAAAGCTACATAATGTTAAATATATTGTTAAATTAACATATTAAGGCTAGATTATTTTTAATTATTATAATCCTCCTTGGAATCGTGGTGGTTAATGCTCAAACCTTCTCCGTGTGAGAAGAGGCCCTTACTTAGCAATGGACACTTATAGGCTGATGACGTCTTGTGATATAAATTGGTTTATAATTGATCAGCTTTCGCCCGTGACTCTGTCCGCGTGGAATAGTGACTTCCTGCAGATTTTTGATGTAAAAACTATCCTATGTCCTTTCTCGAGTTCCAAACTATGCTGTGCCAAATTTCACAGAAATCGGTTCAGTAATTTAGGCGTGAAGAAAAGACAGACAGAGTTACTTTCACATTTATAATGTATCATTACTTTTTGACTCAGGAAACTAGCCCATGCCTATTCTTTGTTTCATATTCGTGTCCAGAAATATCGTCATGGAAATCACTCCAGATCTCCAACAATGTCCTCACTGTTGGAGATCTGGAAAATGGCTTCCTAGCCATTGTAGCCATTTCTAGGATATTTCTTCATAATGATGCTCTTCTTCAGTATAATTAATTTGCTCATTGCACTCTTTCCGAAACAAGAGATTTAAGTAGAAGGGCAATGACAGGTCCACCTGGAAATATACAAAGTTTAAATGTATAACTTGGTAATTTTCAATACTATTACAATTATTCAATATTTATTACTGCTTTTTTTGTGAGAGGAAAATCATCAAATGACTTCTCCGCCCAGGGTAAGGCGAGAGAGAGTGTCAGACTCTTAATGACTAAAAACCATAGGCTCCGTCTGTAGTGGTCTATTAAATCTTAAGGGTGCGCGCACAACGCTACGCGCCGTACGCTCGGGCCTGTTTTTGGTCGGGGTGCGAGCTGTTCTTACTTGCCGTCCGCAGACCCATGCTTTGGCACGAATAGGTCTGCTCGACCGGAGTAATACCACGGCCTCACAGAAAACCGGTGTAAAACAACCACAGCGTTGTGTTTCGTCGTGTGAGTGAGGTTACCGGAGGCCCAATCCTTCCCCTTCCCCGATCCCTCCCCAATCCCTAAATCTTAAAAACCCTAATTCCTAAAAGGTCGGCAACGCACTCGAAACTCCTCCGTCGCGGGTGTGTGTGGGCGGCGCTGATTGCTTACCATCAGGTAATCCGTCTGCTCGTTTGCCGAACTATTACATAAAAAAACGCACTCGTAACTCGTCTATTATTGCTAGTGTCCATGGGTGGCGCTGCTTGCTTACCATCAGGTAATGCAACCGCTCGTTAACCGACCCTTTACATAATAGAAAGAATTAACTAACGTGATTTTGATCCATTTGTGGTCTTCCAGAGTTACTGCTGCGTTTTCTGATCACCATCATCACAGCTACAGCAATTATAACCACCAGTATGACTGCAGCAATGACACCTAATATCAGAGAGTTATTAGCTGTAACAGAGAAACGTTCATATAAACATTATTATTCTATTATATACATATACTAGCTTTTACCCGCGGCGTTGCTCCCGTCATTTACCCTACTCTACCTACCCTACTCTACCTACCCTACTCTACCTATCTTACTCTACCAACCCTACTTTACCTACCCTACTATTTGCACCCTACACTACCTACCCTACTCAATGTACCCCTCTCATACACTACCTACTCAATGTACTCTACCTACTCTATCCTATCATATATTATGTTCTTCTCCTGGCTCTAATCTACCTCTCTGCCAATTTTCAGCTAAATTGGTTCAGCCGTTCTTGATCTATAAGTGGAGTAACTAACACGACTTTCTTTTATATAATTATATATGTCGGAGCGACGATTATTTAAATTGAATTTTGAAGGAGATTTTATCACAATTCATCGGACGAGGGTACCATAAATCGTACTCTGGCGGAACGTCAAACTGACAGTTCTGCGTGCGCATTATGGTGGAGAGCGAGCGCTGCGACTGTCATAGGAGACGGATCGCCGACGTCCGTTATTTTTGTAATTTATTCGGTCTGATTATAAAATCCTACGCCCTGTGATGGACTGTGAAGACGATGATCGGGATGTTGATGTTTGTACCAACCCCCCGGTGCCTTCATATAGATATGTCGGCGCCCTGGCCATCAGCACACGTGAAACCTCTTTGTTATACGTCAATGTCAAACTTCACTGTCAAATGTCATAATTAAGTCCATAGCGAACACCGAGCTCTGGTGAGGCGGCTATCTTGTAAAACAATTAGTGTTGGATCTTCGTAGAATACACACGCAGCCACCTGTTCGGTGGACGTTAAGTTCAAATCCAACGTAATCTTAATTATCCTTAGTTAAATTGTAATAGTTTTGATTGCATTTTTCCCATTCACAATATCTCCGAATCCCTAATCCGCATAAGGTCGGCAATGCAGTCGTAACTCCTCCGTCGTTGCAGGTGTCCATGGTGTCCATGATTGCTTACCATCAGGTCAAGTTTGCTCGTTTGCTGACATATAACATAAAAAAACCGAAAATAATACTAACCTTTACTTTCGTGAGTATCAACGTCTGTAGTGAAGTCATTTGTTGCTAGTGCAGGTCCTATCCGAGTAGCGTTTAGTTTAACAGGGATAATATACTTCAGCAAATCTGAAATGTCTGTGATAGCTTCATCTCCAGAATCTTGTTTTGCCTCTATTGAATGTTCAGGAAAAAAAATTTTGACGCTTTGTCCTTTGTTAATTGGTGTTTGAATGCCAAGCTCCAGGTGTGTTGCTGGTGGTCTTGACTAATAAAAGACTTCGATATATGCGAAATAGACTGTATTTAATATATAGGTACTGATTGTAGTCAGCCGTTATGTGCGCACGGTGTAGTGTCGGGCGAGCAAGCGAGCGAGTGAATGAATGACCGCCGATCGCAGCGGTCGCGGACCACGACGTATGATGGTGAGCCCGATGTGACGTCAGGAACATACTCCCCGGGTTGAAGAGAAGGCTTCAAGTTGATGTTACGACACCGGGAGAGGGCAAATGTTGTTGTAGGCACGTGTGATGATGCCTTTCTTCGTGCGGACGTCAGCGACTCGACAATGTCCGTCCGAGCCAGTTTTAACAGCGACTACTCTGCCCAGCAGCCAGAGAAGAGGAGGGAGATTGGCGTCCCTCACTAAAACCATGGTGCCAGTCTTCAGGTCCTGGCCAGCTGTCTGCCATTTGGTTTTCTGCTGCAGGAGAGACACATACTCATGAGAAAAGCGCTGCCAAAAATGTTGCCGCAGTTTCTCAACGCGATCGAAACGCTGCAGTCGCTGGATGTTCGCGTCGGTCAATAATGGACGAGGGACTGAAGTGAGTGGGCGTCCGATAAGGAAATGTGAAGGAGAAAGATAAGATAGATCAGAAGGATCAGAGGATAAAGGAGTTAAGGGTCTGGAATTTAATATAGCCTCTATCTGAATCAAACAAGTAGAGAGCTCCTCATAAGTAAGGTGAGTTAAGCTCATGACTCTACGAAGTAAATGTTTTGTGGATTTTACTGCTGCCTCCCAAATGCCACCGAAATGGGGGCTGTAGGCTGGTATAAATTTGAATTCTATGCCTTTGTTTGCAAGATCTGACTCTATATCTTTGGATGAAACCTCAAAGAAACGTGACAGCTCATTGAAAGCTCCCACAAATGTTGTGCCGTTGTCGGAGTACACGCGCTGAGGCTTCCCACGACGGCTAATGAATCGGCTGAAGGCCGCAAGGAAAGCCTCCTTGGTCAGGTCCGAAACCAGCTCCAAGTGAACGGCTCTGACTGCAAAACACACAAACACACAAATATAAGATTTAAGTAATTGACATCCTCTACCCCTACGATTGGCTATCAGCACTGGCCCGGCATAGTCAAGCCCTGTCTTTAAGAAAGGATACTCGAGATGGGTTCTATCCTGTGGCAGGTCGCCCATGACAATCTGTACAGGCTGAGCCTTGATTCGAGTGCAACGAATGCACTTACGCACTATATGTTTGGCTAAGTTCCTGCCTGCCAGAGGCCAGTAAGACAATCTTATGTGAGCTAACAGTAATTGAGGCCCTGCATGAAACAGTAAAATATGTTCTTTTTCAAATATAAGTTTTGTTATATGATGTTTGCTACATAATAGTATGGGATGTTTAACATCGTAGCTGTAATGAGAATTGCTAAGACGTCCACCAACGCGTATTAGATTGTCTGAATCAATAAATGGAGAAAGACTTATTAATCGATTCTTTTTATGTAAGGGCTGATTAGATTTAAGACACGTATATTCCTCAGGGAACATTTCCTGCTGGGAAATATGTAATAAAAGATTTTGTGATGATTTCAACTCTGATACTGTTAGGTAAGATGATTGTTTATTATTCGGTTTTTTACAATTATTTATAAATCTTTTTATATAGGCTACTACTCTGATCAACAACGTAAATGAAGATTTGTTATGAATTAAACTGGAAATTAGGTTCACGTTAGTTATGTTATTTATGTCAGCTGTTGTGTGTAAAGTTAATTCTGGTAATAAATGCGTATTTTCATTTTGTAAAGTAGGAAATTGAATCTCACTATGATTAATAAAATCAGGACCCGACCACCAGAGAGTGGACGAGCTGATGCAATCAGCCTTCACCCCCCGAGAAGCGAGGTCGGCGGGATTGCTCCTAGAAGGCACATAACTCCATGTCTGGCCTTTCGTAGCTTCTTGGATTTCACTCACTCTATTGCGAACAAATTGGTCGAGGCGACTTGGCAATGTTTTCAGCCATCCTAGAACGATTGTTGAATCGCACCAAAAATAACAATAATTAAATTTTAGAGTGAGTGATTTACGTACCTTCAGAAAAAGTCTTGTACCCAACAAAGCACCACACAACTCTAATCTGGGTATAGTTGTGGGTTTTATCGGGGCAACCCGGTTCTTTGAAGCTAACAGGCGAACGCAAACTCCTCCATCGACTGTTATCGTTCTTACGTAGATACATGCACCATAAGCACGCTCGGAGGCGTCTGTGAACGTATGTAATTCTAATGATGAAGCATGAATACACGACACCCAGCGAGGAATGTAAAGAGAGTTAAGTGCTGAAAGTGATTGTATAAATTCAAGGAATTGTGATTTTATTTCTGGAGGAACTTCATCATCCCAGTTACATTTAAGTATCCAAAGCTGCTGTAATATAAGTTTGACCTGGACTATGCATGGTCCAACTAGACCTAGAGGATCAAACACTTGGCTGATTAAAGATAAAATATTACGCTTTGTGATTTTTGTAGTTGGTTTTACATCGATCAGATAAAATAATTTGTCTGTATTGCAGTTCCAATATAACCCAAGTGTCTTGTGGCAAGTATCACTTAAGATTAATTTTTTATCACTGTTGTATGTGTTGATGTTTGTGACGGATTTTAATATTTCGGGATTATTTGATTGCCATTTCCTAAGATGAAAGCCAGCGGATTGAAGAGCATTTACCACTCCTCGACATACACGTATAACTGCTTCGATTGAATCCGCGCCACTAAGAAAATCATCGACATAAAAATCGCGTCTGATGGACTGACTAACTTCTAGATTTGAACATTGATCTGCGAGTGACACAAGACATTTAGTAGCCAAGTATGGGGCTGATGCTGTACCATACGTCACGGTATTAAGTGCATACGTTTTTAAAGGGTCTGATGAATTTGATCTGAAAACAATTTGTTGCAACGGGCGTTGAGATGGTTCGACTAAAATAGCTCGATACATTTTTTCTATGTCGCCCGTGATGACATACTTGTGTTGCCTGTATCTTAAGAGTATGGATAGTAGATCTTCCTGTACGGTTGGACCCACCATCTGAATATCATTAAAAGACTTGCCCGAGGTACTGGAGGCAGAAGCATCAAAGACGACACGAAGCTTTGTCGTAGTACTTGACTCCCGTACGACCCCGTGATGAGGCAAAAAGTAATGAGTTTCTGAATGAATTGGTTTTGTGTATTCTGTCATATGATGAAGATCTATATATTCTTGCACGAATGCTAAGTATCTGGTTTTAAAGGTCGAGTCGCGCTCGAATCTACGCTCTAGGGAAAGGAAACGACGCTTGGCCATCGCATAAGAGTCACCTAAGCACTCGGGCGAGTCCTTTAAAGGTATAGTGACCACGAATTGGCCATTGGTATCCCTACGTGTGGTTTCAGAAAAGAGCTTTTCACAAGCTTGTTCTTCTGCAGAGAGGCAGCTAGCAGACGACACAGTATCAAGTTCCCAGAAGCGAGTCAGCTGGTCAGACTCCTCACGTGAAAGGAAGTGGCAAACAGATAGCTGACTAACGTAGCCCGAAATAAGCCAACCAAGTTTGGAAGATTGTAATTTAGGTTGTTTATTGCCTAAATTTATAGTATTGGAACCTAGGACGTCCCAAAATACCTCAGCGCCAACGAGGATGTCAATAGCAGCGGGAATATTATAAGTGGGATCTGCTAGTTGAATGCCTGGCGGTATGGTAATATATCTTTTATCGACGTAAGAACTTGGCAGCGATTGCGTTATCTTTGGTAGAATGTAACAGCTTACCCTCGCCTGATAACTACCGTAACAAGATTGCAAAATAATATTGCAGCTTTCTGAAGTACTAGAAACTTGACCGTTAATACCTGAGACAGTGGAGTTAGTGCTGTACGTTACCAGGCCAAGTTTCTCACAGAGCTCTCGGGTCACGAAGTTTGAGGTGAGCCCGATGTGACGTCAGGAACAATTGGTTCCGTTATAATTCCAGTGTTTTTTTTACTGAACGTCTTATGGGTTGATATTGCAAAATCATTATTCTCTGAAATAATATCAATTTTAAACATTAGCTCATGACGATACTTTACGTGTGTCGCCTGGACAGTCAACCTCGCTACATCCTTGTTGACTGGACATCTACACTACATGAGCTGCTGTTTACATGTGAACATTAGCTCATGACGATACCTAAGTACGTGAGTCACCTGGACAGTCAACCTCGCTACATCCTTGTTGACTGGACATCTACAGTACATGAGCTGCTGTTTACATGTGAACCTTAGCTCATGACGATACCTAAGTACGTGTGCGCCTGGACAGTCAACCTCGCTACATCCTTGTTGACTGGACATCTACACTACATGAGCTGCTGTTTACATGTAAACATTAGCTCATAACGATACCTAAGTACGTGTGTCGCCTGGACAGTCAACCTCGCTACATCCTTGTTGACTGGACATCTACACTACATGAGCTGCTGTTTACATGTAAACATTATTATCGAATTATTTATGTGAAAGAAATGAAAAATTAAAGAGCGAGAAGGAGAATAAATAAAAATGAATTACGAAATTATTGGAAGGTTCTGGAGGCATGACGATCAAAAAGAATAACGAAATTGAATGTTCCAGAACTTGACCGGGGGTATATAAGCGGAACTGCGGCTCACCGCTGGCAGTTGAGTTCTAAGTCTAAAGCGATTCGGAAGAATAGGAAGAAGTGAAAAAGAAGAAAAGTGAGTGAAATAGTGAAGTGCAGTTAAATAGTGAAGTGCAGTCAGTTAAGTGAGTTAAGTCAGCGTGAACGGCAAAGTTGTGTCAGTCGGCCGGACTCTGCTGGAGAGGAACGCCGATAACTTAACTCCGTGGACGCTGTAACTTAAGTGCAATAGAAAGTCTGAAAACCGGTATTAGTGTTTCATTTCATCCAATCCCGTAACCCAAGCCCGCATAGTCAGGAACGTGACGAGGCACGTAACATTTGGTGTCAGAAGTGGGATTGGAGAAAAATGCCGCTAGTGCCGCAGGACGTAAGAGGAGTGAGTACCCGTTCAATGTCAGAAGCGCAGCGTGTGAGGGAAGTGGGTGCTGCAGCTCAAACCAGCGATGCAGAAGCCAAGCCTGTGCAGGTGGATCTTCTGCTACAGCTGCAGCAAATGATGGCAGAGCAAGCGCGCCGCCAAGACGAGCAAGCGCGCCGCCAAGAAGAGCAAGCGCGCCGCCAAGAAGAGCAAGCGCGCTGTCAGGCAGAACAGTTTCGGGAGCAAGCACGCTGTCAGGCGGAACAGCTACGGGAGCTGAAAGAAGATCAAGCTCGCCGCCAAGAGGAGCAAGCGCGTCGCTTGGAAAAGATGCATAAGGATTTCACGAAGGGACTGCAAAAGGCTGTCGAACGGGTACAAGAAGTGGAGGAAGGGTTAGGCAAGTTGGAACATCGCGTCATGGCGATAGAGGAGAGAGTGAAAGAAGAGATCTCCAAAATCAAGCAGGAAGTGACAAGCCCAAGCCCTTTGAAGAGCCGAAGCCGTCTTGCAGCCGTTTTTGACGCCCCAAATGTGGCCTCAAGCGCAACGAAAGGGCTCAAGATTCCCCATTACGACGGAACAACATCCTGGAACGCGTTCAAGCTACAGTTTGAGACACTTATGGAGGCTTATGGTTGGACTCAGAAGGAAGCACAGTCAGCCCTCACCCTGGCCCTCCGTGATCAAGCGCTCTCAGTGCTGGAAGCTATCGGCGCAAGTGGGGATCTCAGCTTTAGTGCCCTCCTCGACGCACTTGAGGCACGTTTTGGAGACAGCCACCTCGAACACGTGTACAGAGCGCAATTAAAAGAGCATACTCAGCGTGCTAATGAGAGTCTACAGCAATGGTCCGTGGAAATCGAGAAACTTGTGCGTCGAGCTTTCCGGTCGATTCCGTCAATGATTGAAGGCACGCTTCTCCAAGCGTTCATTGACGGTATTCGGGACCCCGAAGTACGAGCTACTGTTCATCTGGGCCATCACAAGAACATGAAAGAAGCTCTGACCCATGCATTGGAAGTGGAAGCCGTCCGTGGCAACTCCCGTACCTTACGTCTGCGGGAAATGACGACAACGGAGCAGGTACCTCCACGCCGTCGGAACTTCATGTGCTATGGATGTGGAGAGCGTGGTCACATACGGAGCGACTGCCCGAGGAAGATGAACCGCCAGGACGCGGCGGTCTCAACTTCTGACCAGCAGGGAAACTTAAATCCAGCCAAGGCTGCGGGGTGGGCGCTGGCTGGTAGTGGAACAACCCCAACAATCTACATCAAGCAAACCAACGATGGAAATACTCTGGTGATAGACGGTCAAGTAAATGGGAAAAACAGTCAGCTAACATTAGATACTGGAGCTTCAAGGACGGTGATAAATGTTCGGCTGCTCGAGCAAAACATCAGGAAACACCTTAAACCAATTGTTGGCCTACAAATGAAATCAGCTACCGGCCAGTGCATACCGATAAGTGGAAAACTGCATGTAACAATCAAAATTGGGGAACGTGTTTATCGACATGAGGTTATTGTGGCCAAAATTCTGGATGACTGCATCCTGGGACTTGACTTCCTGCAAGGGCACCAGTGTAACATCGACTTACAATCTGGAGTTTTACTATGTGGAACTGAGGAAATTCCGATGAAGGGTGGAACCCTGGGAAAAGTTTGCTGTTTAAGAAGAACTGTTCTTGCACCAAAATCACAGACTCTCGTACCAACCGCATTACCTAGGAGGAAGGAAGGAAGTTTACCTCGAAGGTGCGCTGTGATTGATAAATCGGAACACGTAAGCTCATGGCTACCGGCAAGAACTGTCGTGGGGTCATCTGATGTCAACCGCATTCCGGTATTCAACTTCAGTGATTCAAAAATTACGATTGAAGAAGGAGAGCCTGTGGGCGTATTGGAAGAAGTGGCCTGGATAAGAAAATGCTCGGAGAATCTTGTGAAGAAGGACAGTACGGGAATTGACTTTGTAACGAAAATCTTAGACGAAAACAAAAGTCTGACAAAAGTGGAGACTATGAAAGCTAGAAATTTACTTCTTCGATTCTCTGATGTGTTTTCAAGAAGCGATGGTGATATTGGCCGAACTGGTTTGGTGAAGCATAAAATAAACACAGGTGATACAATGCCAATTCGTCAAAGGCCCAGACGTATACCATTCGCTCGTGAGAAAGAGGTTGAACTAATGATTGACGATATGAGGAAAAATGACGTGATAGAGCCCTCTTCTAGCCCTTGGTGTTCACCTGTCGTGCTTGTCAAGAAGAAAGATGGTTCAACGAGGTTTTGCGTAGACTATCGACGATTGAATGATGTAACCAAGAAGGATAGCTACCCGTTACCAAGAATCGATGACACACTTGACACATTGAGTGGCATGAAATGGTTTTCAACGCTCGATCTGAAAAGCGGCTATTGGCAGGTGGATTTGGATCCCAAGGACAAGGAAAAGACCGCATTCTCAACTGGGAAGGGACTCTGGCAATTTAAGGTGATGCCATTTGGATTATGCAATGCACCGGCAACCTTTGAGCGTTTGATGGAACAGGTGCTGGCGGGACTGCTGGGCGAAACCTGCCTAGTTTACCTCGATGACATCATCATTGTTGGACGGGATTTTGACGATCATCTAAGGAAATTGGAAAAGGTACTCGACAAGCTGCGTGGAGCAAATTTAAAGTTGAGTCCAAAGAAATGCTCTTTCTTCAAGCGCGAAGTGAATTATCTAGGACATGTTATTTCTGAGAGAGGAATTGAGACTGATCCAGCCAAGACTGTCGCTGTTAAGGAATGGCCAACACCTAAAGACAAAACGCAAGTTCGAAGATTGGTGCCGGAAATGCACTAGTTGTGCAGCTGTCAAGGGTCCACAAACAAGAAGCAGAGGGGCGATGAAAATCTACAATGTTGGTATGCCTTGGGAGAGAATAGCCTTAGACATCGCTGGACCATTTCCAATCACTGATTCGGGCAATCGCTACGTTTTAGTGGTTATGGATTATTTTACAAAATGGCCGGAGGTCTTTGCCATACCGAATCAAGAGGCAGTAACTGTAGCCACGAAGTTGGTAAATGAGGTATTCACCCGATTCGGAGTGCCCTTGGAGATGCACAGTGATCAAGGGCGGAACTTTGAATCCCAAGTTTTTCAGGAAACTTGTAAACTTTTGGGAATCCATAAGACTCGAACGACCCCTTATCATCCACAGTCAGATGGAATGGTCGAACGTTTCAACCAAACATTGGAGCGACACTTAGCAAAGGTGGTTGACAGCCATCAGAGAGATTGGGACACTTACATACCTCTCTTCTTGCTTGCCTATCGGACTGCTGTACATGAAAGTACCGCAAGGACGCCTGCATTTGCAAATTTTGGAAGGGAATTGAGATTACCGGCAGATCTTGTATCGGGCTGTCCACCTGGCGACACTCGCACCGAGTTTAGCGATTACATAAGCGAGTTAAGGGCAAAAATGTTGGACATTTACGAGCAGATCAGGGAGGCCGGTCTTCAAGCTAGTGATCGCGCTAAAACGCGCTATGATCGACGAGCCAATTCTGTTGGGTTTGAAGAGGGGTCATTGGTCTGGCTTCATAATCCAGTCAGAAGTAAGGGAAAATCTCCGAAGCTGCAACCGAGTTGGGAAGGTCCTTATGAGATAGTCACGAAGATCAATGACATTACTTACAGAATTCGGAAGACTTCAAGGAGCCCTTTGAAAGTTGTCCATATAGACAGGTTGGCGAGGTATTACGGCAGCAAGGATGCTCGGGACGAGCGAATCTAAGAGGGGGGCAGTGTGACGGAAAAGTGGTTCAAACTCTTTGACATCATGACGTCAATGGATGGTTGTCAAACGTTGCCTAGAGATTGTAAATTTCGTCGTGAATTGTCAACACGAGTTGGTGTAATCGGTAAGGCGTGTGGATTACACCACAAAGACCCCGAGTTCGAGTCCCGCCGTAAACATGAAGTTTTTTAGTTGATGGAAGTTTTGTCGAAATTTCTGGAATTATTTGTGTGAAAGAAATGAAAAATTAAAGAGCGAGAAGGAGAATAAATAAAACTGAATTACGAAATTATTGGAAGGTTCTGGAGGCATGACGATCAAAAAGAATAACGAAATTGAATGTTCCAGAACTTGACCGGGGGTATATAAGCGGAACTGCGGCTCACCGCTGGCAGTTGAGTTCTAAGTCTAAAGCGATTCGGAAGAAAAGGAAGAAGTGAAAAAGAAGAAAAGTGAGTGAAATAGTGAAGTGCAGTGAAATAGTGAAGTGCAGTCAGTTAAGTGAGTTAAGTCAGCGTGAACGGCAAAGTTGTGTCAGTCGGCCGGACTCTGCTGGAGAGGAACGCCGATAACTTAACTCCGTGGACGCTGTAACTTAAGTGCAATAGAAAGTCTGAAAACCGGTATTAGTGTTTCATTTCATCCAATCCCGTAACCCAAGCCCGCATAGTCAGGAACGTGACGAGGCACGTAACAATACTTAAAAATACCCAAGACCTACTTGAACTAAAGGCGGCGAAAGGATGCTTCCGGCACTCAAGTGCCAACTCTTTGTTTTCGCGATATTCAATTCTGAGATATACTGGTTTCTCATCTGGAAACAAAAAAAAACAATATTAATCCCGTAAAGGGGTAGCAAATGAAATGCCACTTTAGATTCGTTTCCAAATTTTATTTATGTGATAGGAAAACGAGCCTACGGATTACCTGGTAAGCAATCAGCGCCATCCACGAAGCCCCGCAATAAAAGATGGATTACTGATTATAGACTTTATATACATATACATTTATATAAATAATATATATATATTATATATATAATAATAATATATATATATATATATATATATATATATATTATATATATATATTTATATATATTTTATATATATTCTACATAGTCTGGTCATAAATACTGTTACAATTAAAAATAAACAAAATATTACATTTGAATTTGGAATCTGTCATTTTTATATAATTTTTCATTGTGTTTTCTTATTTTGGCGCCAATAAATTGTTCAATATTTTGCGATATTAAAATGGAGTGGGGTGATAAAGAGAACCGAATCGCTGTGATTGCATTACACAAAGTGGGTATGGAGCCAAATGCAATTTTTAAAACTCTCTACACGCTTGGCATTAGTCAAATGTTTGTGTACCGGGCTATTAATAGGTACAATGAGACCTCCTCTGTTTGTGACAGAAAAAGATCTGGCCGTCCACGTAGTGTTCGTACGAAAAATGTGGTCAAAACAGTAAGGGAAAGAATTCGAAGAAATCCTGTCCGAAAGCAAAAGATTTTATCTCGGGAGATGAAGATAGCACCTAGAACCATGTCGCGTATTTTAAAAGACGACTCAGGACTTGCAGCCTATAAGAGACGCACTGGACATTTTTTAAATGATAATTTAAAAAAGAATAGGGTGATAAAATCTAAACAACTACTGAAGCGCAAAGGGTGGTCACAGAAAAATTTTGTTTACGGATAAGAAAGTTTTTACAATTGAGCAACATTTTAACAAACAAAATGACCGTATTTATGCTCAAAGCTCTAAGGAAGCTTCTCAATTAGTCGACAGAGTGCAACGTGGGCATTATTCGACTTCGGTGATGGTTTGGTGGGGTGTTAGCTATGAAGGAGTGACTGAGCCATACTTTTCCGAAAAAGGTATCAAAACATCGGCAGAAGTGTATCAAAATACCATTCTTGAGAAGGTAGTTAAGCCCCTTAACAACACCATGTTCAATAACCAACAATGGTCCTTGAGCAAGACTCGGCGCCGGGTCATAAAGCTCGGTCCACGCAGTCTTGGTTGGAAACGAACGTTTCCGACTTCATCAGAGCTGAAGACTGGCCGTCGTCTAGTCCCGATCTTAATCCGCTGGATTATGATTTATGGTCAGTTTTAGAGAGTAGGGCTTGCTCTAAACGTCATGATAATTTGGACTCCCTAAAACAATCCATACTTATGTAATATTTTGTTTATTTTTAATTGTAACAGTATTTATGGCCAGACTATGTATAGACACCACTGACATACGGTGAAGGAAAACATCGTGAGGAAACCTGGACTTATAATTTCAAACTAAAAGTTTGAAATCGCCAATCCGCATTGAGCAATCGTGGTGATTAATGCTCAAACCTTCTGTGTGAGAAGGGGCCTTTGCTCAGCAGTAAGCACTTATAGGCTGATGATGATGATGATGATGCATGAGAAGCGGGCGCCTTTACCTCCGGCTAATTACGATGTCATCCGGCAAATAAGAATACCGTATCCTATTAAACATTGTAATATAGCTCTGAAAACTTACAAAAACCGTCGTCGACTAAGTTAAGTTTCACTGGTTGCATGCCACAGTTAATTACGAGATTATATTCTACATTGACGTATCGAGTCGTGCTGTCGTTGACGTGTTTGCAGAACACAGTCGATCCGTTGTCGAATTTCTCGATATCGAATTTAAACAAACTCTTCGAAGCATTAACTACTGGCATAGTTACACTGGCGTTATCTAGAACAAAAACAATGTTTGTAAACTTAAGTATTATAGCTGAAAATAATCCTTTTTTTATTTATGTGTAAGAGTCGGAGAGCCATGCTTCGGCACGAATGGGTCGGCTCGACCGTAGTGATACCACGGCCTCACAGAAAACCGGCGTGAAACAACCACAGCGTTGTGTTTCGCCGTGTGAGTGAGGTTACCAGAGGCCCAATCCTTCCCTTCCTCAATCCCTAAATCTCCCAAATCCCTAATCCCCAAAAGGTCGGCAACACATTGTAACTCCTCTGTTGTTTCGGGTGTCCATGGGCGGCGCTGATTGCTTACCATCAGGTAATCCGTCTGCTCGTTTGCCGATCTATTACATAAAAAAAAGGGTAGCTCGCCGCCCGACCAGAACCAGGCCCGAGCGTACGGCGCGTAGCGTTCAGCGCGCGCCTCAAAGAGCCAATGGACCACCACAGACGGGGCCCGACAGGGCTAATGTTCAACCGGGGTTGCGGGTTAAGCGCAATGAGTCACCGCGGCCTCGGCCCAGAGCAGGAGAAGGAACGGGGGGGTTTTGAGTCAGTAAGAGTCTGACACCTCCTCCCGACCATCTCCACCATCACACCCCTCTACACTGTATTTTTACATATTTATGAATCAAAACCTTATTCGTTCATATTTTGTCAGCTAAATGTAGACAAACAAGACCTAATGCTACATGAGCGCCATCTGTCACATAATTTCCTATTTACTAAAGCGTTTGCTTACCTGCGTAATCGTGATGCCATTGGTGATTTCCGACTGTTTCTACTTTGGAAGTCAATGAGACTTCTCTGGTAACAATTATGGTTGAGTTAGGACCTGAAAAATAAGAATACCTATGTATTTAAATTGACTGGTTGGGTACAATAATGTGTAGTAAATTATGTACATACAGGGTGTAAAAAGACACTTAACGAAGCCGAAAGCCACGTATTGTACCCATTATTTTTTTTTTTTTTTTTTTTTTTTTTTTTTTTTTTTTTTTTCTTAAAAAAAAACGTTGCCCCACTTTAGGATTTTCTCCTGTGTTGTGGGTGCGTTTACAAACATACAATGTCACATACACATGACACCCAGACCCGAAACAACAATTTGTGAATCACACAAAGTGTTGTTCCGTGCGGGAATCGAACCCGCGACACGTTGCACGGCAGCCAGTTGCCCAGCCACCGCACCAACCGTGCAGTCAAAAATTATTTGGAGATGCATTTTTAATTTTTTTTTGCGCAATCGAATTCTATGTATTATTACAATTTTTGTTTTCAAACAAACATTACCTGAATTTTTCTAAATAAATTACGCATTTGTAGTTACGAACAGTAATGTACGTAATAAATAAATGCAGACCCGCACAAAAAACATCGTGCATCTCAGTAGGATTTTTATTTTACAGAATTGTTTTGTTGTTGCGAAGTAAAACGTCGACCTACGTACTTATCACAGCGTTTTCATGCTAAGCTGTGAACCTACGCACACAATGACACGAAGCCCGTTTGCTTTATATAGCACGCAATAATTTTTTTTTTATTCCTTAAAATAAAAGTCGTTTCCCAGTGATAATTTTAGCGTAAAGTTACTTAGTTAGAGCTGCAGTATGCGTAGTTAACGGCTTCGTTAAGTGTCTTTTTACACCCTGTATGTAAGTGAAATTATAAATATTTTTTTTAAAGAGTAACGACGGGGTTTCTTTTTCGGGTTTCTCCATTCAAATCTACAATGTGGAACGAGCACTTAGCTTCACTGACGAACAGACTGACAGACTACTTTTCTAGTGTGTCGTTTCAAAAATACCTATTTATAGGTTAGTTGGAATAAATGATGTTGATTTGATTTGATTTGATTTCGACATTTAGGGGATTAGGAGTTTGGAGATTTTGGGAAAGGGAACGGATTGGGGTAGGGGAAGGATTGGGCCTCCGGTAACCTCACTCACACGGCGAAACACAACTATTTGGTTATTTATTTTACGCCGGTTGTCTATGAGGCCGTGGTATATTCCGATCGAGCCGACCCATTCGTGCCGAAGCTTGGCTCTCCTACACTTAGCATGATATCTGCCAACAACTTTGTACGACTGAGAAAAACATCGCAGTGTGGGAACGCCATGCTTCGGCACGAATGGGCCGGCTCGACCTGAGTATACCACGGCCTCATAGAGAACCGGCGTAACATATTATAACCAAAAAATTGTGTTTCGCCGCGTGGTGTGTATAGGTTACATTTACATTAACAAAATTCAATTTTCAAAAACGACACACTGATACACACGTGGACAATTCGTGTGTTTAGACGTCAAAGTGGGATGGCATGATTCAATAATGGCAAGTGAAAAAGAGACAAATATGAAAAAAGTGTGTCTAGTTAGCCACATTTTAATGTATCGAATTGAATATGAATACAGCAGTAAAATAACACTTACGTGATGTTACCGGAGGCCCAATTCTCCCCCCCCCCTCCTAATCCTTAATCCTACAATTCTCTTAATGCCCCACATGAGATCGGCAACGCACTTGTATTAACTCCTTTGGTATTACGTATGCCCATGGGCGGCGCTGATTGCTTGACATCAGGTTGACGTCTGCTCGTTTCATCATCATCATCAGCCTATAAGTGCCCACTGCTGAGCAAAGGCCTCTTCTCGTACGGAGAAGGTTAGAGCGTTAATCACCACGCTTGCTCAATGCGGGTTGGCGATTTCAAACTTATAATTAGAAATTATAAGTCCAGGTTTCCTCACGATGTTTACCTTCACCGTTTGTCAGTGGTGTCTAAATAATCATAGAAAGTACATATAACTCGGAAAAAGTTACATTGGTACTTGCCAGGTTTCGAACCCACACCCTCATGCATGAGAAACGGGCTCCTTAACCTCCGGGCCACCACGACATCTGCTCGTTTGCCGTATGACAAAAAAAGAGTCTGACTCACTCACTCCCTCTCGCCTCGCCCAAGTCAGGAGAAATAATTCAATGACTATCCACACTCAAAAAAAAAAGAAGATAGAGAAGAAGAAGAAGAAGTGTGGGAGAGCCATGCTTCGGCACGAATGGGTCGGCTCGACCGGAGTGATACCACGGCCTCACAGAAAACCGGCGTGAAATAACCACTGCGTTGTGTTTCGCCGTGTGAGTGAGGTTACCGGAGGCCCAATCCTTCCCCTTCCCCAATCCCTCCTCAATCCCTAAATCTCCAAATCCCTAATCCCTAAAAGGTCGGCAACGCACTCGTAACTCCTCCGTTGCGAGTGTCTATGGGCGGCGCTGATTGCTTACCATCAGGTAACCCGTCTGCTCGTTTGCCGAACTATTACATAAAAAAAAAGATACTCACCTTTGACTACCCTAGCGTCCATTTCTATAATTAAAATCAGGAAATAATTAATAAAAGCCAACATAGTGGCATATTCACTTTACTGTAGCGCACTTTATACTAATTGGAAATACTTACATTCATATAATAATTACTAATAAACTGACTTAATATTAATTTAATATTAATATTAGTTAATTGAAATAAGGAAAATACTTTGTTTTCTCGATCTCAACGGAAACATACGCAAATTTTAGGTATCCTTATCATCATTTTCCTGCCCTTGTCCCGTTTTATTTGGGGTCGGCGCAATATGTTTTTTTCTTCCATTCTGTCCTGTCACTCGTCACGCTATCGCTAACTCCTCTGTCTTCCATATCACTTCTCACACAATCCATCCATATTTTCTTTGGTCTCCCCCTCCCTCTCCATCCATCCACATTTATACTCATGACTCTTTTTGTTACATGCTTTTCATCCCTCCTTTTCACATGGCCATACCTAGACAAACGGTTCCCTTTCAACTTTTCAGTCACTGGCGCCACAGGTATCCTTATAAAGTTACTTATTTATCTAACACTACTTACGCGGTTTCATTCGTTGCTCTGCTCCATTTGATCATGAGCAGATGTGCGAGTAATAGGGGCAACGCCTAGCCATGAGGCTGGTGACATTGGGAGGTGGAACGTATAATATGCGTTTAGAGCGAAGAATGTGGTAATCAGGTCTATGTTTTACAGCTGTGTGTGCACGAAGTGTGGCGTTGAGGATGTACAGGTTTCGTGCACGTAGTACAGGAAATTCGTTGTAAAGTGCGTCTGTTGAGTATCTAAATGGTTTCTTGAGCATCACTTTTATCTATCTTTGAGCTCTTTCTATTTCAATCAATGTACTTTTCCCCGCTCCACCTCAGACGGCTATTGCGTATTGGAGGACAGATTGGCATAAGCTAAGGTATAAAGTTCGTAGGATTGGGATAGGAGTACAGTCACGGACTTTCTTCATGAAGTAGATGAATTTTCTCATTCGGCTTGAAAGCGTGCTGATGTGTGCTTTGAAAGATAGGTTTTCGTCTAAAGTTATGCCCAAGTATCTGAGTGTAGAGCTGCGGTCTATTGTTGAACACCTACAGTCTGCAAGTGATGGTAAATTGTGTGCGCGGCTACATGTATGAAATTTAAGTATTAAGGGTCGTGGAGGACTGGTGTCTGATGTCTTTGAAAATGCTATGTGTTTTGTCTTTTTTTATATTAAGTGTAAGGAGATTTTTATCGAGAATACCAGCTACAGTATTGAGGCTTCTCTCAGCAAGCTGATATACATGATCCCAGGTTTTTTCGTGAAGAATAATAGCTGTATCATCTGCATATGAGATGATTTTAGCGTTTGGTATTGAAGCACGTCGTTAATTAAGTACGTCGTTCATATAGGAAGCGAAGAGAGTAGGGCCAAGAGTACCTCCCTGAGGAACGCCGAAATTAATTGATAATAGGCCACTACTTACGTCCCCCACCTTTACTAGTTGCTGACGACTTGTGAGAAAGCTCGTGAACCAACTCAATGCATTACCACGTATTCCTATTCCCGCTAGTTTAGATAAAAGGAGGGTAACAGATATAGGGTCAAAAGCTTTGGCTAGATCTAAGAAAACTCCTATGCCGCGCTCCCCTGATTCAATGTAAGTGGCTATTGAATTAGTAAGTAGTGTTGTAGCATCTTCGGTGGACTTACCTCTTCGGAAACCAAACTGTCTATTTGATATTAAATTGTGTTTTTCAAGAAAGCTAACCAATCGGCAGTTGGCGATTTTCTCTAAAAGTTTTGATAGTATGGGTAATAGGGCTATCGGTATTTTTCTGGTAAATCTTTGGAACCGCTTTTGTGTTTAGGTCGGATGCATGCTATCTTCCAGCAATCCGTAAAAGAATTTTGGCATTCCGACCAGCGGTTCCAACGATTACCCACTACATTCAAACTTACAAACTTACCTCATTATAGTATTAGTATAGATAGTCTTCACCACAGTCGCCGTCTATCTGTGTATGGTTGACGAGCTAAAAACTACTAAATGGTTTTTTATACAATTTGCAGAAAAGAAATCAAAAACTAATAACGAATTAGGGACTGGGCCTAATTTTTTAAAAATTTTGTAGCCTATGGAATCAGAACCGTGTATAAATTTAAGCTAACTCCACTAATAAATCTTCTGCGTATAAAATAAATGACAAAAGACATTTAAAAAATAAATTTGGGTAAAGCTCAATTGACGGCACGGATGGGTCAGCTCGATCGGAGTGATACCACGGCCTCCCAGAAAACCGACGTGAAACAACCACAGCGTTGTGTTTCGCCCTGTGAGTGAGGTTACCGGAGGCCCAATCCTTTTCCCTCCCCCGAACCCAAAATCTCCAAATACCTAATAATCATAGGAGTGGGATTGCATCCTGCAACAAGCCTGGATTTTTGTCGCGGAATTAAACCTAAATATTTTCCCTAACATTTAATGTCACGGATTTCCGCAAAGTAACGCCTGATTCTATAAATAAATTAACCTAATCTAACGTATTCAAGCAGTGGGCATTATCCTAATGTCTCATGACCGGGTCATATTTATTTTTTGCCCACGACTTTGTTCGCGTGGAATAGCGACGATGTCATCTTGCAGATTTTTGGTTTTATAACTATCTTATATCCTCACTCGACTTCCAAACTACTTCTGTACCAAATTTTACAGAAATAGAATCAGTAGTTTATACCTGAAGAAAAGACAGACAGACAGACAAAGTTACTTTCAAAAGTATTAGTTTGGGATTATTCAAATGAAATGAAACCCAATTATAATTAAAAAACTTATTTTATTAAAAAGCGTTTTAAAGAAGTGTGGCGAGACTCAAACATTACGTACACAATTTAAATTCGTCCCTTTCACACAAGTCCTTAACTAACAACAGAATAACTTAAAAACTAGCAAAATCATAAAAAATACATTTCACATAATTTGTACATGTAACAAGAAAACATTTCAAATCGGCGTATTATTAGCACAATTCAAAACGGCGTAGTTCCGACACGGCGTAGTTCCGAAACGGCATAGTTTCGACACGGCGTATGGTTGAAACTAGTTTACGTTAGACTGGTACAGTTAAGAGCTAGTGTGAAAACGACTATAACAAAACAGTCACGTCAGTTCGACGTGACGCATTATTTTTTTGCGTATTTTATACGGCCTGTTATTGAACAGCTACTTTTCGCTACAGTTGGCGTACTAGAGATAAAATCTTAATACATTTTTGTATAGATTTTATCTATTATTATAGCGAGAAATAGGTTATAAAAACTGGCCTGTAGACATCGTTTTCATGTTCATCTATCGCTCATGTTGATTCAGTCTACGTAAACTAGTCACATCCATGCCGTAAATCGAAAACGCCGGTGGTTCCGTGAATTTCACCTGAAAGGACAAGAAATTCTGTGAAAAAAGAGTGGTTAATATAAAATAGTGTAGTTTTCAAGCCTTTTATTTTTCTTATAAAACGTTGCCCAACATTAAGATTTTCTCTCATGTAGTGGGTGCGTTTACAAACATACAATTTCACATACGCATCACACCCAGACCCGGAACAACAATTTGTAAATCACGCAAACAGTTGTTCCGTGCGGGAATCGAAAACGCGACACGTTGCGCGGCAGCCAGTTGCCAAACCACCGCGTCAACCGTGCTGCAGTCAAGCGTATACCAAGGTTTAAATCTTTATATTATATAAAAATGGATCGCAAAATGTGTTGATTAGCGCATAACTCAACAACGCCTGGACCAATTTTGCTAATTCTTTTTTTTGTGTTTGTTTTTGTCAGGAGAAGGTTCTTATCGAAGAAAATATATGAAAAGTAGAGGGGAAGATTAGGAAAAGTGACCCTTTGATAGCGAGATAGTTGGACCCGTGCGAAGCGGGGGCCGCCGCTAGTGTGTAATAAAAATTATGTGTATGTGTATGTTTGTAAACGCACCCACGACACAGGAAAAATACGATGTGGGGCAACACTAATAAAAAAACATCAGATTTTTTTGTATAATCTTACTTAATGGACCTTGAGTAGTAAGTTTTATATTTTGGACCTGAAAATTGTGACAAAAAAAAACGCGCGCAAACGGTCTTAAAGATACAAACCTCTTTGTCGTCTTCGCTTAGAGGCTCCATTTGTTTACTCAATCTTTTTGGCTGTAAATAAAGATAGCAAAGTATTTAATATCATACCTACATACTAGCTTCCGCTCGCGACTTCGCCCACGTGGTAGATAAAAAGTAATCATCATCATCATCATCAGCCTATAAGTGCCCACTGCTGAGCGAAGGCCTCTTCTCATACGGAGAAGGTTAGATTAGATTAATCACCACGCTTGCTCAATGCGGATTAGCGATTTTAAACTTATAATTAGAAATTATAGGTCCAGGTTTCCTCATGATGTTTACCTTCGCCGTATGTCAGTGGTGGCTAAATAATCATAGAAAGTACATATAACTCGGATAAGTCACATTGGTACTTGCCAGGTTTCGAACCCACACCCTCATGCATGAGAAGCGGGCGCCTTAACCTCCGGGCCACCACCACATTGTAATACATTGTAAGATAGAAAGTAACCTATGTGTTAAAACAGGATATCTCAGCCGGGGTTGCGGGGTAAGCGCAATGAAGCACCACGAGAAGTCATTTGATGATTTTCCCCTCACAAAAAAAAACCTATCTACAAACCAAACATCAACCAAATCGGTCCATCCGTTTTTACGTGAAACAATAACAAACATACATCTATACATTCTCTGAAACTTTCACATTTTTGTCATTACCTACTAGCTTCCGCCGGCTGCTTTGCTCGCGTGGTATGTTGATAAAAAGTAGCCTATGTCCTATTCCGGAGTGTATCCTATGCCTGTGCCAAATTACATTCAGATCCGTCTAGCCGTTTTGGCGTGATTGAGTTACAAACATCATAACTTTCTTGCACCTACTGTTATCTCGGCATCGCCCAAAGGTTTGACTGGGAGAGAATGCCTGTGGCATTAAGTCCACCTTGTACACAGATGTATGTGCAAAAGTGTAAATAAATAAATAACTTTCGCATTTATAATAACGTGCCAAACCACTTCTCTGGATTGATACACCGGTGGCATTTCTGAACCGATAAGACCTTCAAACATACAAGAAAAGGGCGTACCTACTTCTTGTATGTTTGAAAAAGTTCGGCAATGGTATGGGGTGTTATGGACGGTGCTAATCGCTTACCATCAGGTAATACACTTGCTCAGGTGCCTTCTTTAACCCTACTTTGATGAAGTAAAGAAGGTGAATGGTATAACTTCGAGAGTCGATATTGTGAGGACCACCCAGAGGACACGGTGGAGCATACGGTTGCGGTATACCCTGCTTGTGCTGAGCCGTGTCTTCAGGGAAGTGATCGGCGGAGACGACCTCTCGCGCCCCGTCTTAGTCGGGGCCATGGTGTGAAGCGAGAGGAACTGGGAAGCCGTCTCTTCATTCTGTCTCGCAAAGAAGACAGAGAGGGAGCTATCCTCTCCTCACGCCCCAGACACCGCAGTATGCGTTACTCCGGGCGTCGGGGATCGAGAGACGATCTCCGACTTCCGTAAGCACGAGTATGTGGACGGTGAGTAAGGGTAGCTCGCCGCCCGACCAGAACCAGACCTGAGCGTATCGCGCGTAGCGTTCCGCGCGCGCCTCAAGAAGCCAATAGACCACCACAGACGGGGCCCTATTGGGGTTGATATTTAACCAAAGTTGCGGGGTATACGCAATGAGGCACCGCATCCTCAGCCTAAAGCAGGAGAAGGAACGGGGGTTTTTGAGTCAGTAAGAGTGACACTGGGCGGGAGAAGTCATTTGATGATTTTTCCCTAATAAAAAAGGGGTTTTATTTGAATTTAACAAACATCGAAAACCAAGCACGCTATGGGAGCGCTTATAGAGTTTGTGCAGGAAATTTGATCACAAGTATAATACTAACACCCGGTTTCCGAAACGCCGATCAATGTTAAAATCGATTTAATCTCTTGTCAAGTCATCTGATTGGTTGACTGAATTATCAACAACCAATCAGATGACTTGACAAGAGATTTAACAGGAGATTAGTTAATTTTAGCGTTGACCAGCCTTTCAGAAACTGGGTGTTAGTCTAATATTAATTAACAGGTAGTATGCTTTTTTGCAACTTACTGTGTCTTCCAATTTGACGACTTCAGGTGAGGGAGGTATGTTAGGGCCGAGCTTCTCAGCTAAGCATTGTACCTGTTAATTACCAAAGCAACAGAAATTAATGTAAAGACCCAGGTTTGGGCACTAATGGGCCATCTCTACTGAAATGATACAACATAGTTGTAACTCCTTTAATATCATTGGGCGAGTTGATTGCTTAACATCAGGTGATCCGGTTTGCTCCTAAACCGCCTTGCCAACGTAACAATGAAGTTTCTTGCTCGTTCTTCTCCATTCGAATCTATATTTCGGTAACGAGCATCTAGCTTCAATGACGGACAGACTCAAAGGGCTATTTTCTTAATTTGACGTTTCAAGAGTACCTGTAGTTTTTGACTTTAGTTTTGACATTGAATTTGACCATGACATTGATATTGACTTTGACTTTGACATTGACATTGTCACTGACTTTGACATTGAAATTGGAATTAACTTTGACATTGAAATTGTAATTGACTTAAAATTTGAAACTGTCTTTGAAATTGACATTGTCTTAGACTTAGACTTTGACATTGGCTTTAACTTTGACATTGACTTCGCCTTTCACATTAACAGATAGGTTATCGAGCTTGGCCGCCTGGGTCCTTACGTTAGGGTATTGTGAGAAGCAGGCTCTCGCCCTGCCGATGCAAGGCGGCGCCACAGCACGCCCGTAACGATCTCGGTCAGCCGGATCAAACATGTAATAGCCTGCAAATGTGAAAAACAAAAGTCTTGTGAAGATGGTAGGGTAGAATAAATATAGCGCCACCTTTTGCGGATTTTTAACGTTATTCAGGATCGACCGAACCAAGCCTTCTCTATAGAATCGCCAACATCAATCAAGGAAAAGATTAACGGAACGGATTACCTGATGGTAATATTACAAAGTGAAGGTGAATCAAGCCTGGGTACAACTCGACCAGATTGATACCATGGCCTCACAGCAAAACCAACCAAACAATTGTGTTTCGCCGTATGAGTGAGGTTACCGGGGGCCTAATCCATCCCCTCCCCCAATCTCTTATCCCTTTCTATAGGGCCAATATCCTAACCTAAAAAAGAAATTTATTGCGCCATACAAATCGAAACGAGATTGCAATATGGAAATCTTAATGGAAAGCGGCTTTGGATTCAGTGGAAAGGCGTGCAAAGAGGCTGATTGGTGATCCGGATTTGGTTGGGTCCAATCTTCAAAGGCTTCAAAGGGTAGTTTCAAAGGGTAGCTACTCTGCGCCAGTGCTCGACACTGGCGCAGAGTAGCTACCCTTACGTTGTTGAGACACCTGTGGCCCGGACTAAGCGTTTTGCCTCGTCATTTATACCGCGTACATCGAGGGATTGGGACAGTTTGCCGGCTGCAGTCTTTCCGTCCAAATTTAATTTAGGTGTCTTCAAGGCTAGAGTGAATAGGCTCTTAATAAACTAGCGCGCCTTACCATCAACGATTGCATCACTGCTTACTATCAGGTGGGATCACAGTCAAGAACTAGTTTACTGCAAGTAAAAAAAAATCTTTGGAGTTTTCTATACCTATATATATGGAAAAAGTTGAAGCACTAGAATCGGTTCCTTCAATATGTACCACCCCATATGTTTATCATTGAAAAAGAGGAGCTCTTACCGCGCGGTGTTCTGAACAGTGCAACGGCAAAGTCTCCATTGCCAGCGACGAAAACTCCCGCTTTCTCTTCCCGGAAGAATTCTCCTAGCTAAGGATATAATTGAAGTCTCTTTACTGTTAGTTGAGAGATAAAAGAACAAGAAAGCCAGCCTTAAATCTAAAACCATGAGAGGAGAGCCATGCTAAGTGTGGGAGAGCCAAGCTTCGGCACGAATGGCTCCGCTTGAAGGGCGTGAAACAACCTCAGCGTTCTCGCCATGTGATGTGGTTAGATGAGGCCCAATCCCTCCCCCTACCCCCATCCCATCCCAATCCTTAAACATCCGAAACCCCTATCTCCCTAAAAGGCCGGCTACGCTTTCGTAAATCCTTTGGTGTTGCTAAATCGTAAAAAAACCCTTAAACCCTAGAATGAACGAATGATTAAGTGTGGGAGAGCCATTAAATGCCTTAATCCCTAATAACCCACAAGAGTTCGGCACCACACTTTGGTATTAGAAGTGTCTATGGGCGGCGCTGATTGTTTACCATCAGGTAATCCGTCTGCTCTCATATGACTGAGGTTTCCGTACTCAATCCCTGTCCTACCCATCCCAAAAATGTCCAATATCCAAATCCCAAAAGGCAGGAAACGCACTCGTAACTCCTTTGATGTTGCAAGTTTCAATGAGTTCTATGAGCGACGCCGATCGCTTACCATCAGGTAAACCACCGTTTTTCGTTTAATCACTTACAAAAATACTTGACTTTTCGAATATTATAGAGGGTTTCATTAAAATACCTTTTCAACGAGGTCGACATCAATGATGCCCTTATGTCTCGACTTGTAGACAACAACTCGACAAACGCAATTGCCTGGCGTGTAGAATTTACGAAGAATCTGCGTGGAAGAGAGACAAATATAACAATTCAAATAATAGTTTGTTTTTATGTTATATAGTATACTTGTTTTTAGTTATATGTTTATGTATAGCGGATCTATAATTGTTGTAGTCATGTTTTGTATTGGATACTTAATGTGAAATGTGATTAAAGACAAAAATGGGATGCAACATTTTTGCAAGTTTGTGTCTGAGATCAGAATGGAGTAACAATACTTTTGGTAAAGATGGGAAAAAAAGATTTTTTAAATGTCCAGTTTTAGCGCGAATAGAGTCTATAGTTTACTGCGCACAGTTCAACGCGTCGTGCGTTAAGCATCAAGTTCATGAGTCCTAGCTCTCCTTGAAACTAATCGAGTCATCACGTCAAGAAGTTCTGTGCCTAAGCCGTTATACAAAAGTTCTAAGCAGCATTTTTGGAATTACGAAATTTTCATGAGCTGCTGTTTACATGTGAACATTAGCTCATGACGATACCTAAGTACGTGTGTCGCCTGGACAGTCAACCTCGCTACATCCTTGTTGACTGGACATCTACACTACATGAGCTGCTTACCTGTCCAATGTTTAAGATCTTCGTGGACGGATGGAAGTGTAGGTAACTGTCCTGGTAGAGCTGGTCTCCGCTTTCCAGGATCTGATCGAGAGTGGACGAGCACCAACGGCACACATCCTCGACTCGGGACATGGCCACTGCCATTACTGAGCATGCTAGGGCCTGAAGGAAATTATATGGAACATACAGAATAGGAAAAGGAATAGGAAGATCCTCCGACCAGGCGAGATGATCTTGCCTGGCTGCCCAAATGTTGAACTTTGGAATGTTTTGTCTCTTGCGAAATAAGAAGACTTTCTGATACCACCTGTTAATAATGGGCGCTGCCATAATATCTTACCATTAGTCAGCCATATTATGTTCCATTCTGCCCTAGTCTATTCTCCCCTATTCCGTCGATTCCACCTGACCTTGCATACTTTCATACCATGCCTTTTACATGATTACCTTCTGGCAATAACAAACACAACAAAAAATGATTTGTGCTTCTTTTGAGGGCGTGAAGTCTCCAAATGACTTTTCGCGCCATGGGCGGGGGGACTATCAATCTCTTACTGACAAAAAACCACCCCTTTCCTTCTTCTTCTGCTGCAGGAAGAAGCCGGTAGAAAGTTATTTCTGCATAGCTTATTTTGTGACACTAAAGTAAGACATTAGGGCACGCAATAGATACATTAAGCATTGAAACGCAATAGAATCTTTACCTGGTGTCCTCTAGAAGCGTACGGGAACTTTCTGCACGCCATCGAGTGCTGGGCTGAAAGGAACTGAGTACCGTCGGTGAGGACCAGCCATCCGCTCGTGTTACGCTGACCTGGGAGGCAAATTGATTACCATCACTACCAACACCATCATCATCATCATCAACTACAGAGCGCCATCTACTCTTTTCATACTTCTTTAGCGCTCATCACTATTCACAATTCATTTTAAGTGTGGAAGAGCCATGTTTTGTTACGAATGGATTGGCTCAACCGCAGTGATACTATCGTCTCAGAGATAACCGGCGTGAAACAACCACAGCGTTTCGACGTGTAATTGAAGTTACCGGAGGCCCATCACTCTCCAACCCTAAAATCTCCTAATTTCTAATGCGAAACAGGTCGTAACTCCTCCGTTGTTGCGGGTGGGTATCCATAAGCAGCGTTAATTGCTTACCATCGGGTAATCCGTTTGCTCGTTTGCCGACCTATACCATTAAATAAATTGGATAAATAATATTTTCTTTACATAATTATGCTGGAAGTGATATCACGGCCTCGGAGAATACTGGCGTAAAACCATCTTAGCGTTGCGTTTCTCGGTGTGAGTGAGGTAATCGAAGACCTTACCATCCTTCCCCTACGCCTGTCTCTCCCCAATCTTTAAATCCCCAAAACCCTTATCCCTAAAGGCAATGGCAAAGTACTTGCAACTTCTCTAGTGTATTCATGTACAGCACCGATAGCTTACCATCAGGCAATACGTCTAAAATAATAACTGAGCTGTCTATTACTTATGTCAAGGCAGTAAACTTTATTGTATCTGATAGGATGTTGAAGGTCATACTAACCTTTCAGTTTGGTTTGTTCCTTATCAGCCTTTTCAGCTGCTCGCTGAGCGTCCATGCAAGTGGTGCTTCCTGGTGGATGCTTGCGATCCTTCTCCTCGGCTCTGCGCTTGCTACCATCTATACCGACCTGTTTTGAACATAATTTATTACTAACTATTCTCGCACGGTTTTACCCGCTGCTCGGCTCCTAAAGGGCGTTTCATCAAATGACTTCTCCCGCTAAGGGTCGGGAGGGATTTTCAGACTGTTACTAACTAAAGACCCCCCGTTCCTTTTCCTGCTTTAGGCCGAGGCCGCAGTGCCTCATTGCGCTTGCCCCGCAACCCCTGCTGAACATCAGCCTTGTAGAAATCCCGTCTGTGGTGGTCTATTGGCTCTTTGAGGCGGGCGAAGAACGCTACGCGCCGTACACTCTGGTCACTCTGCTCCACCTCTATCTTTGAATATAACTGCTTCACAAAAAGAGGAGACCGCTTCTCAATTCGTCCTACAGATTGTAGCGTGATATTTTATAGCCTATAGCCTTCATCGACAAATGGACTAAGGAACACAAAAATAATTCTTCAATTTAAACCAGTAGTGCCGGGATAAGCGCGGTCAAATAAATAAACTCTACTAAATATTACTCTATATATATGATTTTTTGGACGGATGATCAAAAATCCCAACATTTTCAACAATTTAAAGGCTGCACGACTAGGTGTTGCGCAAAATCTCGTCAGTCCTTTGCGAAAAAAATGTGACAGAGCCATGAATTATCTAGAGTTGACCCGGCTCGATTGGAATGATACCACAGCCTCACAGACCACCTGCAGCATGAAATAAGCACAGCGTTTTCATCAATAGCCAACAGCATTGTTTTGTCGTGTGATTGAGATTACCCACTACCCAATTTTTCCCCTCCTCCAGTCCTCCCTAAATATCAAAATGCCTAATGCCTAAAAGTTCGGCAATGCACTCGCAACTCCTCTGTTGTTACAGGTGTCCATGGGCGGCGCCGATTGCTTACCATCAGGTAATCCGTCTGCTCGTTAAAGAAAAATTTGATTGTTATCTCACCTTACTGGTAGCAGGTACTAGCTTGACTCCAGGCGGTGCCCTCACTATAGGCGGCTCAACCCCTCCCATCTTCTTAATAGGCTGCACTGTCACCGACATGGCGTACAGTTGGAAGTCATGCTTCGGACGTTCCGATACGGGGACATTTTGGAGGTATCTACAAACCACAAAAGGTTTTTTATTAATCATCATTAAATTGAAGTGTGAGACAGCCATGCTTCGGCACGGATGGGTCGGTTTAACCGAAGTGATACCACGGCCTCACAGAAAACCGACGTGTAACAACCACAGCGCCAATACTTCCCCTCCCCAATCCTTAAATCGCCAAACCCCTAATCCCCAAAAGTGTTTCCCTTGCCGGAGGACCAATCCCGGCCCCAATCCTTAGATATCCGGAACCCTTATCCCTAAATTACCAGCAACATATTTTTATGTCCTTTGGTGTTGCGATTGTTCATGGACGACACCGATTGCTTACCTTCATCGTCAGATAATGCAACAGCTCGTTGGCCGATCTATAACATAAAAAGTGACAAAATATTGTGTAATATATTTCAATAATGTAACTTATGAGCTAATAATAGTCCAGTCATTTTAGGCATTTTATACCCCAATCTGGGAAAAAATTCCTAGTGAGCTGAATTTTTGTATACACCTTTATTGCGGCGTTATTATGAAGTTGTGAAAAATCGACATCGCTTTCTCAGCGCTACGATCCGAAAACCGTTAATTTTACAGAAAAACTATAAGAGACATTTTTTTGTAGACAATTTTATGAGGAACAATTTTTATAATGACCCCTATTGACGTCCGAGTAATATTTGCAAAAAACTGATTTTCGTGACCTTTTGACCTCTGTAATTTTTTTAGCCGACATGATATCGATGTCGATTTTTCACAACTTCATAATAACGCCGTAATAAAGGTGTATACAAAAATTCAGCTCACTAGGATTTTTTCCCCAGATGAAACCTAAAATGACTGGACTATAATCGGTATGTACTTTTCACATTCTAGCCATCGCTTGCCATAGATTCGTGTTTGTATCTAGCAGTAAAGAAAGATTTTTAATACTAACGCAAAAGCCATCAATTTTGGAGACGTGAACGTCAAGACGCATGCAGCACCATCGTCCTAGGACAAGAAGCTGGTTAGACCTTTTAGAAACTACAATTTAACACAGCCATCTCTATCTCTGTGTCTATTAGCAGATTCAATTATAATTTTACCAACGCTATTCATTTCATAGGTAACACATCAACAGACATTCCACAGAGACCAAATAGTAGTTCTTTCCGGTAAACCTGTAAAATCTAATCCTTCCCCTATCCCCAAGCTTTCTATCCCAAAAGACCCTTAAGTTAAAATATTATTATTGCGAAAAGATGTTGCGTGTGTCTATAAGGGCAGCGTTGATTGCTTACCATCAGGTAATCCGTCGGCTTGTTTGCCTTACCTTCCTACTGCAAAAAATTGTACTGTCGAGAGTGTCAATGGGCGGCACTGATTTTTTTTTATTGATTATAGTTTCACGCTTGACCGCTACCTCACCTGATGGAAAGCGACGATGCGGTCGACGATGGAGCGCGCTTACCTAGAAGTAACCTATTGCGTACTTTCAAGGAATTGTAACAGTTTGCAGGCTGCAGTCTTTCCGTCGGAATACAATTTAGGTGTCTTCAAGGCTAGAGTGAATAGGCTCTTAATACCTACTCAAGCGCGCCTTACCATCAACGATTGCATCACTGCTTACCATCAGGTGGGATTGCAGTCAAGCACTAGTTTATAGCAAATTAAAAAAAACTATCAGGTAATCCGTCTGCACGTTTGCTTAAAAGAAAACATAAGCTACTCGAGGAGTTACTGACCATGGCATCTACCCTCAGTCCTGTGGGTCCGCAGGCGTGGGGCTCGAACATGTAGTAGGAGGGGGCTCCAGCCACCCTCCACACGCACACCGCGTGCGGCACCGACCACAGAATGCCATGAGTGTGCGACTCAAAGAATCGCTCTAAAGCACATCTGTTTCAAACCAATGACGTATTATAATATAGACACGTTGTCTACCAACATATCGGCGCTTGAACAAGGCGACAATACTAGAACTACTTATTCGCGTAAAGAAAAAGCTAACTTTTTGAATCACTTTAAATAAATTATACAACATTGAAACCGATCAACACCAAAAATACCGACGAGAAAAGCCATTTTAAACTTCATTATCTCAAAATTGTCGCTTTGAGGGTTTTTTTGTGAGGGGAAAATCATCAAATGGGTTCTCCCGCCCAGGGTAAGGCGAGAGAGTGTCAGACTCTTACTGACTAACCTCCCCCCCCCATTCCTTCTCCTGCTCTGAGCCGAGTGCCGCCGTGGTACCTCATTGCGTTTACTCCACAAATTTGAAAAGACCCGGATTTTTGCGTATCAACCTTCAATTAAGGGATCGATTGAACCTTTTTGTTGTAAGACCTAACATCAGACCTAGTCTGTGATGGTTTCACAGCTTTTTCCTCCTTTGACCTCACTCCTCACATACCTGACGGTCATTTGCGATGGTTCCTTCTGTTCCAGCTTCCCCGAGTAGACTTCTTCGAGGTCGTAGCGGACGTAGTTCACTCCTAGGACAAAGCGCTTTAGTACCTGCGGATAATATTAAAAATGCATCATTGCCAACATTATAAACTTAAACTTTCAAAAATACCCAATTTAAAACCGACTTCATCTAGATTTTTTTTCTATATTATCTTCATGTAAAAATGCTGTTTTTGAGGCCAAATTACGCATTAATAAGTGTGGGAGAGCCATGCTTCGGCACGAATGGGTCGACTCGACCGGAGTGATACCACGGCCTCACAGAAAACCAAATAACCAAAATATTGTGTTTCACCGTGTGAGTGAGGTTACCGGAGGCCCAATCCTTCCCCTATCCCAAAATCTCTAAATCCTTAATCCCCAAAAGGTCGACAACGCACTCGTAGCTCCTCCGTCGTTGCGGGTGTCCATGGGCGACGCTGATTGCTTACCATCAGGTAAACCGTTTGCTCGTTTGCCGACCTATCACAGAATTTCATGTTTGTGTACCGAAAGAAAATCCAGCGCGTCCCAGAGAAGTGAGCGACTGTTTTGAACCACTCAATTAAAGTCAAAAGTCAAAATCATTTATTTCAATTAGACCCATACAGGCACTTTTGAACGTCAAACCAAATTTTAAAGATATAAAGTGTCAGTCTGTCGGTCAGTCCTCTTAGTGAAGCTATTCGCTCGTTCTAAAGTGTAGATTCCGATGGAGAAGAATGAGCAAGAAACTCTTTTTAAATCAGTGTCACATAAAGATTCTTTGATACATTATTTAGTTGGTTTGAATATGTGAGAACAGTGTAACGTGTGTATACAGAGAAACATAAAAAGAAAATAACCTTAAGGACAATAGACAGTCCGGAGCTGACCAGTCCCAAATAAATATCCGAAGAACAGCAACAAATCCTTAATAAGCAACAAACAACGCCAAAAAAAGCAGTCTACAAACCTGCAATGGCAAAAGCACGTCTTCGCCAGGTCGGAACTCAAATCCGAGGGATCCAAGAGACGCCGTGAAGAGCTGACAAGCCACAGCCATCACTTCATCCACAGTCTTCCTAGTCCAAAGATGTGGGCGACGGATGTGGGACATCGCGGCGCCAACTATGGCTGCACAAGCTGATTGGAGCAGCGCGTCTCTTGTGAATCTGGTCAGGATATAATCAAAGCAACCATTAGTATCAAGCTTAAGTAAGAAATCTACTGCTGAGCAAAGGCCTCTTCACACACGGAGAAGGTTTGAGCATTAATCCTTAGGTCAGATTGGCGATTTCAAACTTAAATTAGAAGGTTTGAGCATTAAAAACCACGCTTGCTCAAGGCGGATTGGTGGTTTCAAACTTATAATTAGAAATTATAAGTCCAGGTTTCCTTCACCGTTTGTCAGTGTTGTCTAAATAATTTTTGACAGTACACACAACTTGGAAATAGTCATATTGGTGTTTTAACCAGGTCTCGAAGTCTTTTTGCAATTAACTCTAAATGGGATTCTTTCCATCACAGAAAATAACCGATGGGAAGAAAGAAGACTCATAACATTTAAAACTTGCACTTTTCGTGAAAGAAATAATTTCTTACACCCTTAACGCCGCAGGTGGAGACACTCTTGGCGTTGGCAATCGGACGACGATATACCACCACAAATGGGGCCCAACAAGGCTGATGTTCAGCCGGGTCAAGCGCAACAAGGTATTGCGGCCTCGGGTCGGAGCAGGGAAAATTACGGGGTGGTTTTTAGCCAGTAAAAATCTGACACTCCCAAATTTTCCCCCACAAAAAAGAAATACGTGCACTTTTACGCAAATTCTTACAGCCTGATCGATGCGGTACACGTGGAGTTTTCATGTATCATGGATGGTGTTTACCAACATACAATTTTACATATACCCAGATACGGAACCACAATTTCTGAATCACACAAGTTGTTCCGTATGGGAATCCAACCAGCTAGGTGCCCACCGCGTCAGCTGTACATCAACAAATGTCTCAAAGTACAGCATTCGCAGAAAAAAAGGTCAAACACTTACTTCAAGAGATCAGGAGGCCTGGTGCCTCTCAATATGGTCCTTCCTCTGGCCGTCTCCACGTAAGCAGTGAGGACTTTCCACTCATAGCCCTCATCAGGCACGGCTCCTTGATGAGTGACTGGTGCCGACAACTTCGAGAACTCCCAGAAAACTTTCACTGCTGATATTGAAAACCTGGTGACAAGGAAAATGTGCTTAACAAACAAGTTTGTCCCGATGGAAAAACGTCATTCATTGATTCATTCATTATCATTCGGAAGACGTCCACTGCTGAACAAAGGGATCCCTCTTCAGATTGAAAAGTTGCCACCTGAATTCATTGGCTCCCCGCGACTCGATGATGTCGTCGGTCCGCCTAGCAGGAGGCCTGTCCATGCTACGTTTTCTGGTCATTGGCAGCCACTCGAGTACTTTTCGGGCCCATCGACAATCGGCCCTTCGAGCGACGTGGCCATACTTATTGCCACTCTAGCTTGCAGATTTTACGCGCTATGTCAGTAACTATGGTTCTTTCGCGACTTTACACATTTCAGATTTTGTCGTGGAAAGAGGCCCTGTGCATAGCCCGTTCCATCGCGCGCTGAGCATTCAGGACCACGTCTCAGTACCATACGTCATCATTGGCAACACAAACCGAAAAAATATACAATTTTATAGACAAATCAGTTCCAAACCCGGAACAATAACCAACAGTAAATCACACAAAGAGTTGTTCCATGCGGGAGGCGAACCATCAATTTTGACTAGTGTCAATTTTGAGAAGTTAATATCACCCCAAATAATGATTAAAATACTGCTTACTTATTATCGCCAGGCTTCATAAGACCTTCGACGTTGCTTCTGAAAGTGTCTGCCAACTCCTCAATATTGGAGAAGACCACCAAAGCTGCTGCACCAACTGGCGATGTCTTTCCAACCGGCCCCACAGCATGAGGTTCCAACATTACGAAGGATTTATCATCAGAACCCTTCCATATGGCTACACAGTAACCTTTAGAACACAAAACGCCGTACTTTTCCTGAAAATAAAAAATAGTATTATTATCACTAGATTTTGCCCGCGACTCCGATCGCGTGGAATAGTGACTTCCTGCAGATTTTTGTTATAAAAACAATCCTATGTTCTTCCTCGAGTTTTAAACTATGTCTGTACCAAATTTCACAGAAATTGGTTCAGTATTTAAGGCGTGAAGAAAAGGCAGACAGACAGATTTACTTTCGCATTTATAATCTTATATATAAAAATTGATCGCAAAATGTTTTGGTAAGCGCATAACTTAACAACGCCTGGACCAATTTTTCTAATTCTTTTTTGTAGTGTTTGATATTGTCAGGAGAAGGTTCTTATCAAAGAAAATATTAGAAAAGTAGAGGGGAAGATTGGGAACAAGTGACCCTTTAATAGCGACATAGTTGGACCCGTGCGAAGCAAGGGCGGGCCGCTAGTATTAGTATAAATAATTTTCATGGTAGTCCCGGGTATAAGCGCAATAATGACCCCTAGCTGGGGCAGGAGAAAGAACGGGAGGTGTGTCTAGAGGAACCACCGGTCTTAGTAAGACTTTGATCCCGGTCTATTTCCTTATTTCATGTAGATGCTTATGTAGTTCAGAGGTTTTTATGAACCACGGACTAATAGAAATAGCTCTGAGCGCCTTAGTTTAAAATGGCTGAAGAATTTCCACATTAGAGTTCTTCGCTGAGCCAAAAAACTGATTATCATGAAATCGATCATCATTTTTTTAGTTACTCTCCTAATCTTAATTTGAATTGACATCGTTTACAAATTATAGGCCTTAGGTTCCACGCTATTAGAATTCATTTTTTCCAAAAGCAAATCATATGACAGTCAATTAAATGTCAATAATAAAACTTGGACGTAATTGTGCAAAAATGACCCAACCCACAGTTTCGTCGAAAATGAACTAAATATGGCAAATCAATCTTTTAAGTGGATATTTCTCATTATTAAAAACACCATATAAAAAATATGATAATTTGACCTTCTTTTATATGGGGTACTGACCACCATCTATGACTGATTTTTATTTAAATTCCACAAAAACGATCCAAGATGTTTGGGTCACTATACATAAATTATACGAAATTGAAAAAGGTCAACAACTAATAGCTTAAAATGAATCCGATTCACTTAGATCGATTTCCAAATCAACAAAACCACAAACTAAAATAACAGTGAGCAAAGACCATATTTTAAACTTTAAACCTCATTATCTCAAAAATGTCACTGAGGGTTGGATCATTTTTGCACAACTATGTCCTCTTGACAGTTAAAAACAGCGATAGTGCAATTTTTCAAAAAGTCAAAAATAAAATTGCTAATTAAATCTTCCCAGCACTACCTCAGGGCCACCAGTACGCCCATTGAAGGTAACGGTTACGAAGTAAATACAGAGAGGAAAAAAACTTACCGTTGTAAAGAAACTAGTAATGGCTTTCTTCAGACTGTTCACACTGCCCGTCTCGCCGGCCTTGATATCACCTCTTATGACATCTCCATCTATATCCAACTTAACCTAAAGAATAACGATCATTGAATAGAGAATGACTATGAAATGATGATGGTGCTGATGATATCGAAGAAAAAAGGAGTTCAATTTTTAAAGCCTTTATCTGGCGCAATTTTTCCTATTCTGGCCTTTTCTGAGCTTTTTCTAAGCCCTTTCTGAGCTTTTTTGGCCTTTTCTGAGCTCTTCTAGCTTTGCCAAGCCGTATGATGATGATAGTTGAGAATAACAGTAACTTATCAAAACTCCCCAAAGAGCCAATAGACCACCATAGATGGAGCCCAACAGAGCTGAAGTTTAGCCGGGGCTGCAGGGCAAGCGCTATAAGAGACCCTGGCCTCGGCCTGGAGCAGGAGAAGGAATAGGGCGGTTTTTAGTTGGTAAGAGTCTGACACTCCCTCTCGCCTTAGTCTTGGCATCACTGTGGGTTCCACAAGAATCGCTTAAAGTACTTAATTATCAGGAACCACATTTCTCAACTTTTTTTATTTACAAAGACTGCCATTATTTTTGTACTCTAAAGTATATATAACCTGGGGTTTATCAAAGCCCGATTGAATCGGTTGCTTATTTTATAGCTTACTAGCTATTGCCCGCGACTCCGTACGCGTGAAATAGTGACTTCCTGCAGATTTTTGGGATAAAAACTAACCTATGTCCTTTCTTGAGTTTCAAACTATGTGTGTACCAAATTTCACAGAAATAATTTAGGTGTGAAGAAAGGACAGACAAACACAGACAAAATAACTTTCGCATTTATAATATTATTTTGGATTGGATTGGATAGTCGGGCGTCCTCCATTGAAGGTTGTATGCACCATACGATCCTGATAACTCATTGAACGAAAAGAGAGGCCCACACCGGAATCAACCAGTGCGCAAAAAATACTTCCATTAATTTATTACTGATAGATTCCATTAGTCTCTCTTATTAAGTACCTATTTATGGTTTAGTTGGAATAAATCATTTTGACTAACTTTATAATGACAATATGACAAACTTACATTGAAATTAGTGACGTGGAACTCTGGCACCATTTCGTCGGGTTTAAGACGAGGCGGTGATTCTGCATTCCCGATCGACATCGTATAGAGCCTGTCTCCGTACTTCAGTACGGCGTCCAAGAGCTCTGGTTTCCAGAACATGTAAGGCTCTATGTGGTCTACCACAATGCCCATTACTGCATTGGCTGCATCCTGGAAGAAATTGTGGGATTTATGCTGTGGGCTGCCTTGCAACGTGTCACGGGTTCGATTCCCGCACGGAACAACATTTGTGTGATCCACAAATTGTTGTTTCGGGTCTGGGTGTCATGTGTATGTGACATTGTATGTTTGTAAACCACAACACAGGAGAAAATCATAAAGTGGGGCAAATTTATCTAAAAAAAATAAAATTAAGTGTGTGAGAGAGCTATGCTTCGGCACAAAAGGGTCGTCGTTGTATGACTGACAGCATGTTGTTGAGGTAACATGTGTAAAATTGGATACACAAGAGAAAATCCTGGTTTAAAAGTCATACAAATATAGTGACTGAAATCACGTCTAGCTATCATCGGTGTCTGAAGGATCGTATTCGAAACGAAGAGATCGGACAGAGAACTAAAGTTATCGACATAGCCCAAAGGATTAGCAAACTGAAGTGGCAGTGGGCAGGTCACATTTGTCGAAGAACTGATGACCGCTGGAGTAGACGTGTTCTAGAGTGGAGACCACGTCTAGGCAAACGTAGTGTAGGGCGCCCTCCAGCCAGGTGCACAGACGATATCCGCAGGTTGGGTGGCAGTGGTTGGATTGGATTGGAGAGGCTCCAACTTTGGACGTCTTCCGGATAATGATGATGATGATGATGATGTGAAGAGTTTTAAACTTTTACACCTTACCGAGCTGTGGCCTGCCCCTTGCCACTTTAGCCTGCAGATTATCCGAGCTATGTAGGTAATTTTGGTTCTTTGGCGAATTTCCACATTTCAGTTACGCAAAGAGACCACATAATATATAAGTAGGTATATATTATAATAGACATGTTAAGATGTTCATTTCCTTACCTGGTTATCCCTATTAGGCTGATCGAGGAAGTAGTTCTCATTCTGTGCCAGTCTGGCCCTCACTGATGCAGTGGACCGAGATTGACGATTCATGTACTTGCCCATCGCAGAGTCTTCCAAAGCTGGGACCAATATTTCTTCAAACACGGCTATATTTAGTAAGAAGATAACATAAATATGTATAGGATTTTGTGGTTCCAACCAACGTCTGAGTGTGGTAATGAAAGAAGAATGACAGGATGAAAGCATACAGAATTATGTTATGGTGGGAGAATCAGGCTTCGGCACGAATAGGCCGGCTCGACTGGAGTGATACCACGGCCTCACAGAAAACCGAGAAGCAACATTGACGTTGTGTTTCACCGTGTGAATGAGGTTTCCGAAGGCCCAGTTCTTCCCCACTCCCAGGTGTCCCCCATCCTTAATCGTCAAATCCCCTATCCTTAGATCCTTAATAACGCACAAGAGTCCGGCAAAGCATTTGCAGTAATTCCTTTAGTACTACGAACGTCTATGGGCGGCGCTGATTGCTTACCATCAGGTCTACTCGTTTGCTTAACTAAAACATAAAAAATATTAAAGATTGGGTACACTGACACACGCCTTTGTCCCATGGTATACAGAAGTAACAGAGCGTCACCTTCTACGCTTCTAAAATACTTCTTATGCCTCATTTTTCAATAGTCAGATAAATGTTATCTGAGGAATATAATTGTTCCTGTTACTGTCTTATACAAACATTCTGACGCGACAGCATCATAATTATTCCCAAGATAACTATTATCTGACTATTGAAAAATCAGCCCTTAAACGCATATCATATTCCTATATTTGGACATACCCAGGTTTTTTTATTGGGTTAAAATCAACTAGTGTCCGAACCGAACCGACTAAATGATGTATCAAAGAAATGTTAAACTGATTGAAAAGGAGTAACCATGGAGTTTCTTGCTCGTTCTTCTCCATAGGAATCTACACTTTGGAACGAGCAAATAGCTTCACTAGAGGACAGACGGATAGACTGACATGCTTAATTTTAAAGGTCTTGATATACTTTTTTTCCTTTTTTGCTTGACGTTCAAAAGTGCCTACTGTGGTCTAATTGAAATAAATGATTTTGACTTGACTTTGACTTGACACCCCCCTAAATGTGGCGAGAAAGAATGTCAAAATACAAAACCTGTGTCAATGGCTTAAAGATAAATCTTGTTTTGTAAAAAGGCTCTTGTAATGGGGAATTTGTACTTACGCAGACCGCCTTCTTCATCACCTTCTGCCTTTTCCTTGGCAGTGCCTCCTCTCTTTTCACGAAGTACTGAGGTCAGCTCATTGATCACCTTAACTGGGTACAGCTTGTATGGTGCTATACACTGCTTCGGGTCCAGGCCACCTTGACGAGCTGTTGGGAATATTATCGTCATCATCGTCATCATAATCAACAACAACCACAACATCATCATTATAAACATTATCATCATTAACAACAACAAAAACATAATCATCAACAACATCATCATCAACAACAACTACAACAACAACATCAGCAATAATCAGCATCATCATATCACAGCTTTGTTTTTCGCCAAGGGAGTGATGTTACCGGAAGCCCAATGCCAATCCCTCTCAATACCCCACCCCTTCCCACTGCTTAACCATTATCCCCAAAAAGGCCGGCAGGGCACTCGTCCCTCGTTTGGTGTTTCGGGTGTCTATGGGCTACGCCGATTGCTTACCATCAGGTAACGTGTCTTCTTATTTATCGACCCTATATAAAAATGGAGCTAATACTCACTGAGTTTGTCGATAAACTCTCCAGGACTGGCGGCTACAATGAGCACCGGACATGACTCCGGTGGCACCGCTTCGATTTCTGGCTCTATCTTCTCTTCACCCTCTGAAATACATTCATAAATACACGCCTTTGGCCTACGGTATACGGAAACTATATGTAGAGCGCTAGCTACTACGCTCCTGTCATTTTTCTGTAGCATATTATATTATCTGGTCAGCATTAGCGATCTTATGCTTCGTCATGGTTCGTGACCACCTTTCTTCGTCACTTCCTCTTACACCATCTTCTTTCATAACGTTTGGTGCGGTGACTGTTCTGACTTTGATTCCCGCACGGAACAGCTATGCTATTTACAAAAGTTAATTTGCAAAATCACAACTGAATTCGCGGTGAAAACATGTTAATTTAAAATTTCATATTCTCGAATGGAGCGGAATCTACATTGGCATATTCTCGAATGGAGCGGAATCTACATTATATAGAAGCATTCTTTTGGATTGTGAGTACGCATATGTGAGCGCCATGTACGAGACAACAAAGGATTAAAATTTTAATGATAGATTAAATAGACCATCATTTGTTCCTTTTTATTAACAACTTGTCTCTGCATTGTTCTCACATAGGGGTACAGTAATGTATAAAAAATGTATTATTGATGAATTGTAAAACAAATATTTTTTTTAAAAGAGTAACGATGGAGTTTCTTGCTCGTTCTTCTCCATTCGAAACTACAATTTGGAACGAGCACCTAGCTTCACTGACGAACAGACTGACAGACTACTATTCTATTTTGACGTTTCAAAAGTACCTATTTATGGTTTATTTGGAATAAATGATTTTGATTTGATTTGATTTGATTTGGCGCCACCACGTGAATAATTGAAAAGAACTAAAACAAGTGAGTATATTGACGTTCGAGATGATTTTCAAGATGAGATTTACCATTACAGAATAGCAGCTATTCAGCTCTTTCTGTGTTCCACGATTATTTGTTCCGGGTCTGGGTGTCATGTGTATGTGAAACTGTATGTTTGTAACCGCACCCACGACGCAGGCGAAAATGAAAGAGTGTGGGAGATCGTTTTAAAAAAACATGTGCTGGCAATATTGAGGGACCATTGTTAAAAAATATGATTTTTTTATTGAAAAACGACCTTTTAAAAACAAATGAATTGAAGACTTTCCGGTTACAATCCCAAACACCTCCTAGCTCTCTTTCCCTTCTATCATTCTTTTGCACTGGATTCTTTCATAATACAGCTAATCTAGACCCAGTAAGCAAATACTAGCATATATTATATCTCTTCCCATATATTGCTGTTCATAATCTTATCCTTTTTTCGACAGTGAGTTCGATCTTCAGCTCTTTGCATCCCAACCACTGCCGTTTATTTTGCGGATATCGTCAGTTCACCTAGCTAGACCGCAGATTTTCACTACGCTTGCTTAGAGCAAGCGTAGTGAAAATCTGCGGTCTCCATTCCACACACACATTCATCATCAGCCTATAAGGGCCCAATGTTGAGCAAATGCCTTGTCTCACACAGAGAAGGTTTGAGTATTAATCACCACGCTTGGTTAGGGTGGTTTGGCAATTTCAAACTTAAAATAAGTCCAGATTGCCTCACGATGTTTTCCTTTTGCGCATGTCAGTGGCATCTAAATAATCATAGAAAGTACATATGACTCAGAAGAAGTCACACTGGTACTTGTCAGGTTTCGAAACTTCACCCTAAGCGAGCAGAGAAGCGGGCGCCTAAACCTCCAGACCACCACGAGGCTCCATTCCAGATCGTGTCTATTCTTATAACTTACTGACTTGACGCTAATTGGCTGTACAGTAGAGCAACCAGATACTGCGCAAGTTTCCCTACCTTCATAGGACCTTCATAGGGTTCGAATTCCACATATAATTGAACTAGATCTCACTGTTGTGTACCTATGTAAATTTGTATGTTTCTCAACGCACAGAAAAAATCTTAGGGGCCACATTTAGTGAACAACTTACCAGCGCCAGCTTCTTCATCTTCCTCTCCTGGTTCTCCAGCACCTTCACCAGTCATCTCATCCATTAGACGCTGCAGTCTTAGCTCATCACCTGTTTACAATAATACAGTCTGTAAATCTCAGATTTTTGGCTACGAGATAACATTTTTTTATGTGTTAGGTCGGCACGGTGTTATCTGATCTGATGGTAAGCAATCGGCGCCACTGAATGCGTTGCCTGCCTTTTGAAGATAAGGGTTTCGGATATTTAAGAATTGGGAAGGGAAGCACACACATGGAATCACAACGCTGTGGCTGTTTAACGCCGAATTTCTATGAGGCCATAATATTGCTCCGGTCGACCGGCCCATTCGTGCCAAAGCTTGGCTCTCCCACATTTATCTTAACGACAACGATAAAACTCTTACTTTGAAAGAGACCTAGTTACGGCATTTCTTCTCAGATTAGTCAGATAGGAAATGCCGGGTCCAACAAAATTTTGATGACCTATTGACAAAACTACAGTAAATGAAAAAATAAACAATGAATGAATCATTGTTTATTTTTTCATTAACTCAAGTTTTAGCCCTATCAACAAGGCGAGTCATACCTTTTCTGATCCTGTGCGAAGTCAGAAGTCCCTTGGTCATGGTAGGTGCAGGGTCGAAGGCCACCACCTTACCACCAGCCGTCATCCAGAGCCCGAGCTGATGGTAATCGCCGACCAGCAACGATATCGTCGTGGGTTTGGTGGTATCGTACCACATTTTGAAAAGCAGATCCTTCATGTCTATGGAGAACAAAAGAATTACACTACTTATATGACTTATAAATTCAACAGTACTCGTAATAAAATTGATTTTCTATGTCAGTATAAATTTGGTAACCGTTTTTTTATTTTGTAATCGGCATTCGGCCATTATCGCGCCTGGTGGTAAACAATCATGCAACCTACGATGGATCACGTCAACCCATAAGCAACCTATTTACTCGGGCCTTGAAGACACCCAGGTTATGTATACCCTTCGAGGAACACAGACTTCGGCTATTTGTGATGGTCATTAGATTTCTGAGCGAGTCGCAATTCTAACATAAGCTGTCAGTCCGCATATTTTCTTAAAAATTCGCTCATCCTTGAACTTATTGCTTGAATGAGAAATTTACAACCGGTTTCGTTAAAATCAATTTAATCTCTTGTCAAGTCATCTGATTGGTTGACTGAATTATCAACAACCAATCAGATGACTTGACAAGAGATTTAACAGGAGATTAGTTAATTTTAGCGTTGACAAGCCTTTCAGAAACCGGGTGTTAGTCATTCAATCAAGCAACTAGTAGTCAGATTGATTGAATGACTAATTAAACTGGTTGCCTGTGACGGATTGAAATCATGTCTCCGTGATGTTGTAAAAAAAGTCACTCACATTTTGGAACGAGCAGCTTCACTTCGACGGACAGACTAATAGAGAAACACCTTAATATGGAATCAGGGAAATAGGGAAAAAGCACTGGAAAATCACATATAAAATAATTGATTATCCAGTAACTCACGTTTCATTTCTACTTTCTCTTCTTCTTCTCCTTCTCCTAAGCCTTCCTTGCCTCCGCCACCACCTTCTCCTTCCTGTCCAAATGCATTTCTTTTATCTATCTGTCAATTTATTCTATCTATTCCGTCAATAGACCTAAAGCTGCGCTAGCGCCGCAAGTGGCGCAAAAATCTTCATTATAGTTTGAGAAGCCAATACGTCACAATATCATGAGCAGCAATTGTTAGCCATGGATTGTAAATAATACTGAGCTGAATAATTGAAATGTGCCTTAGTCCCACCCCCCACCACCAGCCCCGCCAAAGTCCACACTTGGAAATGCTTAGACGGGCGGAAACGTGAGAGGGGGGGATCATCAAATGACTTCTAAGGAAAACTCAAACCCTTAATGACAACAAACCAACCTTTTCTCCTGCTTCGGGCTGGACCCACTGTACATGAATGCGCTTATAACTATGTCTAGGGTATTCATAAGCGATGCTTATTGCTTACCATCAGGTCAATGACGTATTATATATAGACACGTCATGAACCAACATCGCGGCGCTTAAAAACGGCGAAAATAAAGATAACTACTTCTACGAGTAAAGAAAGGGAAAGAAAATATGACATCGTATAGTGGAATGCCTTTGCTAGAGGGAGATAAATATACATCTTCAGTTACATCACAGGATAAGTAATAGTAAAACTACATTTTCATAAGATGGCCGCCATAAGAATGCGGGCGCCGGCGTCGAAAAAAATAAAATAAAAATAGGTTGTTTGGTGAACGTACGCATGAAATGACACATTTTTGTCTTTAACTTTTGGAGTATAATTTGTACATCGTCTGAACACACACGACGGCATGCTTTCTTTATGTTTCGCACAGGTTTACACACACGATATAAATTAAAAACAAACGTAGCGTCGCGCGGCAGGTTGGTGCGTAACTAAGCGCGATGTTGTCAATTGCCTTCATTTCATGTTGTCATTTTAGAGCGCGGACATCAGGTAAGCCGATTTCCCGTCTTTTATTAAAGAGGTGTTATAAGTGACTTACTCCTGTTTTTTTTTTGTGAGCGACTTACTGACTAAAGACCCCCGTGTTCCTTCTCCTGCTCTGGGCCGAGGTCGCGGTGCCTCATTGCGCTTACCCCGCAAACCCGGCTGAACATCAGCCCTTTAGGGCCCCGTCTGTGGTGGTCTTTTGGCTCTTTGAGGCGCGCGCGGAAAGCTACGCGCCGTACGCTCGGGTCTGGTTCTGGTCGGGCGGCGACCTACCCTTACTCGCCGACCGCAGACCCGCGCTTACGGTGGCCGGAGATCGTCCCTTGATCCCTAGTGACTTACGCCTGGAGTCTCATCTGGAAGTCGCAATGGCAGCTTGATAGCTTCACCGAGTTCTATGGAGAACGTGTTGGCTCCCATCTCGAACTTCTCAGTCAAGTCTTCTGGTTCAATAGTCTGCCGTCCCGTCTTCTTCAAGTGGTTCAGATAATAATCAGCTCCAGCGTCTGTGGAAGACACAAGTTCATTGAAGACCAGGTGTATATACTTACCATGTCTTTTGAGTTTTCTGTAGGATTAATTGAACTCACGTGAATTTATTGAGACAACCTCTCTACTTATTACAAGACAGGAAGTCTTCACGTGCGAATTTCGAAAACGCGTTGCTCATGAACAAGAATCCCGCTGTGACTTGAAACTAGTAGATTTTCTCAATTGATTCACGTGAGAAAGTCAGTATTTTCAATGAATACTTGAATCTTTTGGCGGAAACCGTACAAAAATTCGTCTTCAACTTTTGGGTCCAACGCGATCTTAGAGACGAATACGATGAGAAAATTTCTTTATATTCTTTATGTACTTCTACCAAGCACATTTTCCGAATGCAGAGGTCGTAGATTAGAATACTCAAACATCTATCACAATCCCACTCAGTTGATGTTTACCTCGACTATGGGTCTGACCATTTCCACAGAGAAAATCAACCGCAGTTTTTTATAAATAATTAAATCTTCACAGACTGGCCACATCCATGCTCTTATCATTCAGTTCCCAACTGTGACTGTCCATCAAGCGGAGAGAGGAAGCCCACAGCCATTGTTACCCATTATCAGAAGCCGCCAATGGTGACTTACCAAGGAAATTGAACATATGGTCTTGGTGCATGTGAGGCGGCGGTACGGACTCTGTGGCAGCCGCGAAGGCAGCTGCTGCAGGGAGGCCGATAGTCCTTCCAGCCATATCATCCGCCTGTGGAAGAATATGAAAAACGAATCATTCATCGTGGTAGAAAGAAAGAAGGAAAAAGCATTTGTTTGTGTACGTTAGTTTTTATGGAGTTGGAGGCAAACGAGCATTCAAATCACCTGGTGGTTAGGAATCAGAGCCCATTGACACCGCGACACCAGAGAAGACACAGGTGCGTAATTTAATATAATAAATATTATAAAATTATAAAACCACTGGATAATCAAAACATACAAAACAATATGTAAATACAAAGGAACAAAGAATAACAAATATATAAGAAAAATAATTTTGATCATAAATTATGAATGTGCATTCAAAAGTTTTGTATGATCAAAATAATCTTTGTGATAGGCCGGCAAAGGAGCAGTCGGATTAATTGACGGTAAGCAATTCGGGCCAATTAGACTTCCACTATACCAAAAGAGTACGTAGCCGACCTTTTAGGGATATGAGTTTGAGATTTAAGGATTGAGCCTCCGTTAACCTTACTCGCACGACGAAGAATGGCTTTCCTTTGCATTTGAATCAGAAACAGTAGACAAAAGTTCAGGAAAGATACCTATAAAAGAAGTTAATGGCCTGATAGGAGATAATCAGACAAGAAGACACATTGCTCGGATACTGAAGAAAGTGGATAAAAACTAACAATGATGAATCTGGAATAGGTTTTTTTTTTATGTAATAGATCGGCAAACGAGCAGACGGTAATCCGTCTGCTCGTTTGCAGGTTTGTCAGGTAATCCTGATGGCAAGTAATCAGCGCCCCCATGGACACCCGCAACGGAGGAGTTACGAGTGCGTTGCCGACCTTTTAAGGATTTGGAGATTTAGGGATTGGGGGTGGGGAAGGATTGGCCCTCCGGTAACCTCACTCATACGGCGAAACACAACGCTGTGGTTGTTTCATGCCGGTTTTCTGTGAGGCCGTGGTATCACTCCGGTCGAGCCGACCCATTCGTGCCGAAGCATGGCTCTCACACTTAAGCAGGTCGTGCGTTTCCCAAATCCAAGGTCACATCCATCTAAAGTATTTCTATTTGATTAGTAGAGAAGAAAGTTATAATGTTGCTTGGAATCCGATTCCCTAAGCAAACAAATATTCAGCCAAGGCAAAATAGAACGGAGCACGGGTAAAATTTAAACTGATGAAATAGGAATTCCATCTATATTTAAATGCCTCCCATGCATTATGTTACGTTGAGGCACAAGTCTCTCACATCTTTTTGAATCATCATCATCATCAGCCCATAAGTGCCCACTGCTGAGCAAAGGCCTCTTCTCATACGGAGAAGGTTTGAGCACGTCTCGTGCGCGCGCGCTCAACGCACGGTCGTGTGTATCGTTACGTACTAAATTGTGAATTAATAAAAACATTAAAATAAACAAAAATGGTGCAATGTAAGAAGTGCAATCTTTTTGTATCCTTAGTTAAAGACGACATAGTGAAGTGTAAAGGTGAATGTGGAAATGTTTACCACAAAAAATGTGTAAACAAAAAGTTTTTAAATAATGCATTCTGCGACGATTGCACAATGCACAAATTGATTAAACAATGCGCTGAAGATGCTAAAATTACTTTAAATCCGAGGGAAGAATCTGGAGAGAACGTATTAGCCGAGGTCAATAAGAAATTGGCGGTGATTTATAACCTGGAAAAGAAAATAGAAGAACTGGCCAATAGCGTCGAATTTTACGCTGATATGTACCAAACATTAATGGATTTCAAAGAAGAATCGCAGAAGAAAATTAAGGCTCTGGAACAGAAGAACGTGTATCTGGAGAAATGTAATAAAGCTTTAGAGGAAAGAATACAAGATCTGGAGGTAAGAGATAAAGAGAAAAACATCGAAATTCACGGATTAGAGAAACACGGAAACGAAAACACCAAACAAGTAGTTAGAAAACTGGCAGAGAAACTAAAATTGGACCCAAATGATATCGAAGATGCGCAGAGGGTAGGCCAAGAAAAGCCGGATGATACTAAGCCCAAGACTGTGCTGGTCACGCTGAGATCTAAGTCTGCCCGAAATAACTGGATGCTGGTAAAAAAGGAGTCTAAGATATATAATGACAAGGTTTATGATAACGGTAGCGAAAACAGAATCTATATTAACGAAGATTTACCAAAGTATAAGCGACAACTTCTTTGGATGGTAAGGAATAACCTTAAACCAAAAGGTTTTCAGTACATATGGGTTCAAAACTGTAATATCTTGGTTAAAAAGAATAGCGAGGAGAAAAAAATCTATAACATTAGATCGGAAGACGATTTGAAAAAGTTCGACGAAAGTACGTAAACAAACGCGTACTTAACGCGGCGCGTCACACACTAGGTGATATTAAACAGCAACATTCGATCGTATAGATGACATATCCAGTGACTTAAATTTTAAAAGATATTCTGATATAATGGCTTTACAGAAGGACTTATCCCAAGATTCAATCGCCACTAAAATACTACACCTTAATATAAGATCCCTCCGAAAACATTTTAACGAATTAATAGTATTGCTGGATAAAATTAAATATAATATAGACATACTTATATTATGCGAGATAAATATTAAAAAGGAAGAACTACCGCTATACCAAATTGTTGGATATAATACTTATATACATTCGAGGGAAACCAAACGAGGAGGAGGATTACTAATATATGCCAAGAACGAATTGAAATTTGAAGCTGCAATAGTTAACACAAAGGGAGTAGAAACAATACATGGACAACTAAAGCACGGGAAAAATAAAACTCATATTTTTGCGATTTACCGACCACCTGCCAATAATAAAATAATGTTTATCCAACAATTAAAGACATTAATAAAGTCTATTCCAGCATGTGACAACGTAATTGTGATTGGTGACACCAACATTAACACCTTAAATGACACCTCGAACCCCGCCGTAACAAGGTACAAAAACGCCCTGTGTGAATGCGGCCTGCTGTGTGCAATACCTAGCGAAGAGGTAACGCGCGAAGCGATCGTGGACGGCCGGCTCGAGACTTCGTGTTTGGATCACATCTGGGTGCGAGCGAGACGGAGCGAGTGCGACGCGAGCGCGTACGTCCTTGAGACGCGCATTGCGGACCATCATGCAGTGGGTGTATCGTTAAACTTATGTGTGAGTGGTAAAGAAAATGAGTGTGTGAGTGTCAATAGCAAAAGTATTAGTGTGCGCGAAGTGATTTGTAACAAAAATGTGAGACAAAAACTGAGCGAATATGATTGGAAACAGTTACTTGATATATCATGTCCGACAGTATTGTATAAGACTATGTGTAGTGTATTTGAACAGATTTACAGAGAAAGTACAATTAAAGTTAAAGTAGGTAATAAGAAAACAATAAGACAGCCATGGGTAAATAGAGAATTGTATACAATGTTATTACGCAAAGATAGTTTATTTAGAATATGGAAAGCGGATCCTCAGAATATGAATAAGCGATTAGATTACACAAAATTTAGAAATAAAGTAAATAAACAAATTAATGATGCAAAAATAAATACAGACAGGAACAAATTACAAAATGTAATGGAGATTATAGGAAGATATGGGCGAATATAAATACATGGTTAGGTCGAAATAAAAATAGCTTAGATGATGTTATATTAAAGCATTTAGGAAAGACGGACAGCATAGAACAAATTTGTACACAGTTTTCTAAAACATTTACGGAGGAAATAAAGACAATTAAACATACCTGTAACTCAAAATTCTAAGATAGAAATAAATATGTAAAACCGAGTGAGGTGAGTTACAGATATAAAAAAATCACTCCAAGAGATGTAGAAAAGGTCATAGAGAATATGTCTTCTGAAAAAGCCCCCGGTCCAGATACAATAAGAGCGCAGGACATTATATGTATAAAAAAGAGAATAAGTCCGGTTTTAGCTTTATTTATAAACAATTCACTAACTACTGGTACCTATCCCGACATGTTAAAAAAGGCAATTATCCGTCCTATTTACAAATCAGGTAGCCATCTGGAATTTGTAAATTACAGACCAATCGCAATTCTATCAGTTATTGATAAAATTACTGAAAAAATAATTGTAGGTCAGATTAGTGGGTTTTTAGAACAACATAAAATATTATGTGACACACAACATGGTTTCCGCAGAGGACGGAACACTGTCTCTGCTTTAGTAGGTTTTTCTGATTACATCAATGGTTCGCTAGACTCGGGGAAACAGGTTATAGCTCTTTTTATTGATTACAAAAAGGCATTTGACACATTAGACCATGATATCTTATTACAGGCGATGGACGATTGTGGAATACGTGGGCCCACAAATAATTGGTTTAAAGACTATCTAACCAATAGAAAAATAAGTACAATGATAACTGGCAAGACAGGGGAAGAGGCGGGTGTCGACCTAGGTGTGCCGACTGGATCGGTGTTCGGGCCAGTGGGATACATAATGCATGTGAATAGTGCGTCAAATGTCGTCAACAGATGTAGAGTGTTCATGTACGCTGATGACATGTGCCTTATCTATATCCAAAAATATAGTGGAAGCCCAAACGTTTATACAGGAGGACTTTGAAAATATTAGCAAGTGGGCACACGATAACGGAATTATCTTAAACACTACAAAAACTAAAGTTATGCATATACATTCCCCGTACAATCATATTGCCAGATCAGTAGACAATGGACATATCACACTAATAGGGCACACTTATGAATGTCTACATAGAAATAAAAACAACTGCAAATGTAATAAACTAGATAATGTACTTCAATTCAAATACCTAGGCCTAACAATAGATAAAAATTTTAACTGGAAATTTCATGTTAACGACGTTTGTAATAGACTAAGATCTGTATTAAGTAAGATTTATCAATTAAAAAGTGTACTGAACAAAAAGACTCTCAGATTAGTTTACTTTACTCTTGCAGATTCGTTAATAAGTTATGGCCTCCTGGTGTATGGTCGAACATTTATTACATATATAAAAGACATTAAAGATATACAAATAAGACTGATAAAGTTCCTAGTAAGTAAAAATGTTAAAGATAGTTGCAAAAAAGAGTATGATAAGTTATTTTCTATTTGTAAAATTTTACCCATAGACAAAAAAGTAGATTATTTAGTAGGTTTGCAATACTATTTTAATGACGATTATAAAGTTAATGTAAAGAACAAATATAATACGCGTAGGGTTAGAGAAAAAAAACTAATATTACCAGAGATAAAAAATTATTATGGCAAGAGAACATCCGCATACTTAGTTCCTAATATATTTAATAAAATAGAGATGCTAAGAGAAGAAGGGAAAAAGTTACCCAAAGGATCTCTTAAGTCAAAATTAAAAAGCTTTATATTAGATTATTAATAAGAAGTAAGAATGTTATGTTTGTGTGTGTTTTTATGTTTTGTTTGTTATGTTAGTCAATAATTATTATTATATAAACTGTGTCATACCTAGCTATAAGTACATAGTATGCATAAAATAGGGATATTTAAATAAATAAAAAAAAAACCTAAGTAATTGCACCTAGGTACTAAATTCACTATTATGTATAAATATGTTATTGTATAAAGAGCGCCTCTCGCCATCAAACGTTAAAGTTTGGCGAGTTTAGATGATAAGGACACTTTTCTGTAACTTTACTGAATAAAAATTATTTAAAAAAAAAAAAAAAATTAATCACCACGCTTGCTCAATGCGGGTTGGCGATTTCAAACTTATAATTAGAAATTATAAGTCCAGGTTTCCTCACGATATTTACCTTAACCGTATGTCAGTGGTTTCAAAATAATCATAGAAAGTACATATAACTCGGAAAAAGTCACATTGGTACTTGCCAGGTTTCGAACCCACCCCTCCATGCATGCGAAGCGGGCTCCTTAACCTCCGGGCCACCACGACATGATCTTTTTGAATGGTAACTATTAATGTAGTCAGATTTAGTCGGCTATATACAGTCGGCTATGCGACATCGTCGCGACGGGCGGTCTGCTAACAAGGTCCCGATATGACTTGAAACTAGTAGAGCTTTTCTTAGTTAATTCACTTGACTTTCAATATCTATAGTCTTTTTAATTTCTCTTAAAACTTCTAAACTCCCGCTTCGCACTTCGCACACAAATTTTGTCACTATTTAAGTGATGTTATTTGATATCAATGTCTTTATCTATTAAAAAAAGCGCATTATGCATACATAGGGATATAAAGGGACTGAGAAACCGACTTTGTTTTATACTATGTTGTAATGATGAAAATGATGATAAAATCGAAACTAACTTGAGGATCGAAAGCAGATTCCATATCCCATGCAGACCTAAATGTCATTTTCCTCGACAGTGGATTTATGCCTTTGGTTGATCTGGTGAAGCCAGCTGTCTTGCCCATAGTGCTGGATCCACTGTGGGTAAGACAGATGACCGATTAATAAATTTCGAAAAAAAAATTGACGCGGGTCAGATTCGGATTTGCTGACTCATCTTGGGAATGGCCAAAAAGCGACTGTTGGAACTAAGCTTGCAAATACTTACATAATTTTATGAGACTTACACCCGGTTACCGGAAGGCCGATCAATGTTAAAATCAATTTAATCTCTTGTCAAGTCATCTGATTGGTTGACTGAATTATCAATAACCTATCAGATGACTTGATAAGAGATTTAACAGGAGATTAGTTAATTTCAGAAACCGGGTGTTAATTTGGATAAAACGAAAGATATTTGATCATAAATCAGTCAACTTTAATAATCTCTGCCAACATCTGTCGCAGTCAACTAGCATATTAGAAGTTCGACTAAGGGCTTTACGTGTGGAAGGGTCATGCTTCGGAGCCAATGGGCCGGCCCCACTCGAGTAATACCACAGTCTCACAGAAAACCGGCATGAAACACGACATACTCGTCGAGATTTCAATAAGACAGTTGCCAATTTAAAAAAAAATCAAAGTTTTCACATCAAAAATTACAAATGACAAAAAATAAAATACACTCACGTACTCCGCGCGTAAGGTGACGTCCGGTTTTTCTGAGAAATACGGATTACAAATTCAATTAGAGAATTTTTAAGCAACTCGTATAAGCGGTGCTAATGGGAAAGTCGCGATCGCTGACTTTTGGAGAACTGGTGCACTGACAGTCTTTTCCCGAGACTAATTTCCTATACTTTGAAATATTACTTCGTTCAAGACCGCTGCTGTTCCGCTTTGCTGCGGCATGGGTACAAAGTCAATGAGTCAGCATTGTTTAGCTGTGTAAGTAAGGTTCTTGGAGGCCCAATCCTTCTACCCTTTCTACGATCCCTCCCCAATCCCTAAATCTCCGAAACCCTAAGCCCCACAAGGCCGGCAACGCACCCGTAACTCCTCTATCCACGATACCATCTCCATCAGGTAATCAGCTAACTCGTTTATCGTCCATTGGAAACGTAAAGAAAATTAATTGCCAAATAACACAATGATTTCAAATTAGAATAGAATTTGCCAATTCTACCCTTTTCTGGGTCCATTCACCCCTCAAACTCTATTCACCCCATTTTATGGTACTTGATATCCGAAACTTACAACCGGTTTCTGAAATGCCGATCAATGTTAAAATCAATTTAATCTCTTGTCAAGTCATCTGATTGGTTGACTGCATTGTCAACAACCAATCAGATGACTTGACAAGATATTTGACACCTAGTTAGGTAATTTTAGCATTGATCGGGCTTTCGGAAACCGGGCATTGGTCGATGGTGGTTTAATATTCAAATATGTTCAAAAAAACTTTTAACTGCACGGTTGGTGCGGTGGCTGGGCAATGTGTGACCACTTTTATTCCCGCACGGAACAACTCTTTGTGCGATCCATAAATTGTTGTTCCGGGTCTGGGTGTCATGTGTATGTGAAATTGTATGTTTGTAAACGCACCCATGACGCTGGAGAAAATCCTAATGTGGGGCAAGGAAAAAAACAACCATAATTGTAATTTACATAAATTGTTTTCACAGACTTGTGTGGACTTCACAGGAATGACGTGGTATCACTCCGGTCGAATACCTCACAAAAAACCGGCGTGAAACACTGACAGCATTGTTTTTCGCCATGCGTGTGAGGTGACCGGAGGTCCGATCGTTCCCTCCCACCAATTCATTCTCAAAATCTGTAATGCCCAAAACGCTGACAACGCCCTCTTAACTCCTCTGTTATTGCGGGTGTCTATGGGCGTCGCTGACTGCTTACCATCAAGTAATCCATCTGCTCGTTTGCCAAGCTATCATACTACATAAAAACGAATCGCAACGCACGGCTTGATAGAAAACAATAACCAAGAAAAATATGCATATCCCGCTACCTCTAAGAGACACAGACCTCTTTTCAAATACGCCAAATGTTTAGAAACCTCTCGTAAAAAAGCTTCTTACCAAACGTAATTAATAAAATGCAAATTAAACAATTTAACACATTCAGTGCCTCCGACTCGCCCAGAGAGTCCACGTAAATTTTATTCCAGCGCCGTAGACTCGCCCGGCGATTTCAACGTAAAAATGTACGAGAAATGTAGGTGGCATCACAGATAAGATTGTGAAAATCGTAGTGGTACCTAAAGAAAGTGTTAAACACACGAGTAATAAAAAAGTATCACTTACATTGATACCAGCTTTCTCGGCCGCTTTACCAATGGCTGCATTCTCACCGCGAGGTCCCATCATAATGGCGGCCGTGCCTTTATTGATCCATTCAAAGGCTTTACTCTGAAAGAAAACAATAATTACGTCACAAAAATAACTTATATTGTAGGTATCATATGGTGCACTATTTTTGGATAGTAACTATCGTGTGAGACATACAAAATTTTATTAAAAATTAGCAAACTCGGCGAAATCCGTTTCGCAACCACTTTGTGTAGAAAAAAGATTTTCCCGCTATTCTGTTCATTTTTTCCCTAAATTTTCTTTGCTATAAACCTCACGGAGCCCGAGATCTTTCCAACGAATGAAAAACCGTGGAAATCGGTTCGTGCGTTCTGGAGTTATAACGTCAGGAAGGAAAACCCGACTTATTATTATACTAGCTTTTGCCCGCGAATCCGTACGCGTGGAATAGTGTCATCCTGCAGATTTTTGCTATAAAAACTATTCTATATTCTTTCTCGAGTTCCAAACTATGTCTGTACCAAATTTCACACAAATCGGTTCAGTAGTTTAGGCGTGGAGAAAAGACAGACAAACAGACAGACAAAGTTACTTTCGCATTTATAATATTAGTTTGGATAACGAATTACTCAAATGAATTAACAGAAAAAAGGTCTACTAGATTTCAAGTCACGACGTCGACAACGTAAGTGCTATTTTACGGCGGTTTCCTGTGAAGCCTTCGATACATACAAGCATGACTCTCACAGACACCTGGGCGTCATCAAGGCCCGAAAGGTCTTCCATTCGGCCAACGGTCAAATGCCTGCCAATTACGAAATAAAAACCGGCATAACACGCCACAGCGTTGTGTTTTGACGTTTAAGTGAAATTTTACCAGAGGCCCAATCCTTCCACTCCCCGAATCCCTCCCCAATCCCAAAGTCTCTAAATCCCTAATCCCCAAAAGGTCGGCAACGGACTCGTAATCTCTTTGGTGTTGCGGGTGTTCATGGGCGACGCTGATTGTTTACTTCCTTATGTCCTATAACATAAAAAATAAAATCTAGCTACTTTGACTTTAATTTTGATACTTACTTCTAGTTTAGTTTCCGGAGCTCCAATTTCAGCGTTCAATTTAGTAGCTGTGATGGCGACTGGGGATATGTTGAAGCTGTCGTCACTACCGGGCGCCAGGTTGCTCAGTAGAACATTGGCTAGATCACTCTCCTTGCCTTTTATACGGACAAGGCAAGCTGAAGCACGAGGCTCGTCTGATGGCAGACCTGTAAAAAACTTCATATTACAAACTCGATTTTTCTTGTGCGTAAATGTATTGAATTGAAATTTGGTCTAAAGGTTATAAATGACAATAGTAAATCTTTTATATGAGACCCTCATTGGCTTTTTATGATCATTTTTAAACACTGTGCCTAGGACTCAGAATTAGCAAAGTCTATCTAATTAAACTAGACCATTACGCAGGAGATTTATTATATTGCACAAATGTGTGCACAAACACATGTAAATTCTCTGTTCTCTCACTCTCTACCTCCGATGGGACGGCAGACCGACACGATCATATTATATACCACCACAGACGGGGCCCTACAAGGCTGATGGTTCAGCCGGGTTTGCGGGGCAAGCGCAATGTGGCACCGCAACCTCGGCCCAGAGCATGAGAAGGAACAGGGGGGTTTTTAGTCAGTAAGAGTCTGACATTCCCTTTGATGATTTTACCGTCCAAACCCGTCTTATATGCTTTATATGCCGACCGAGGAAGAAAACAAATTTAATCAGAAAACCCACCAGCTCCAGCAGCAGTATATCACTAGTTGACGAGCCACTGCCTCAACAGTTCAGTCAAAATTAGAATAGTCCAGAAACTCGCCATTCTCAAGAAGACTTACCATTCTCATCACACCCATGAGGATCGAAGAAGTAGAAATGTCCATCGTGCTTCCAAATGGCTGTGGAACCTCCACGAGCTGTGAAAACTCCATGAGTATGTTCCTTGAAGAACTGCTTCAAAACATTCTTCAGTGTTGGTGCACCAAGGTTAACTTCAGGGTTTAGAGTACCTGGAATGAGGGCATGGGAATTATACATGAATACTAGCTAAAACGCCAAACGTCTTCAAGCCATACAATTGAATTCGATAAAAAATTTAAGGACGAACAACCATCATTTAGGGGTATGAAAAAATTGCTAGTAACCGATTCTCAGACCTACTGAATATAATTATATAAATAACTTTAAAATCGCCGATGCGCCATGAGCAGGTGTGATGATTAATGCTCATTACTTTTCCTTGTGGGAAGAGGCCTTTGTTCTGCAGTGGATACTTATAGGCTGATGATGATGATGATGAATAATATTTTGCTTACCATTATAAGTGCTATCCATAACTTCAGTCTCTATACAGTCGTATTCTGATACTTTGAATCTGAAATGGAAAAAAATATAAAAATAGTTCAATTATAGAGTCAGGGTGTGTCATAGATAAGTATGGGAGAGCTATGCTTCGGCACGAATGGGTCGGCTCAACCGGAGCGATGCCATAGCGTTGTGTATCGCTGTGTGAGTGAGGTTACCGGAGGCCCAATCTTTCCTCTCCCCCAATCCCAAAATCTCCAAATCCCTTACCACCAAATCATTCCTTACCTACTGCATCTAATTGGAAAACAAAATTTTGACTTCCATTGGTAAAATATAGGAAGGCTCAATGCTGACCATCCAAAAGACCGGTATGCCCTTATAATTGCACTACCATAGCGATGAAAATTGCATTCCACAAAGTAATCGATATGATGGCTGGTTACCTAATTATTCCAAGACCCAAATATACAGTACAAAAAATCACCTGTTAAGCACATCAGCTGCAGCCAAGGTACCAGCATTTGGGGAGGATTCTCCTGGTAACCGAATCTCGTCTTCCTCAGAGCCACCTTCCTCAAAGGTCTTCGGCGAATCCAAGCTGATGCCCATCCTCTCAAGATGTTCCATCGTGCTTTGATACAAGATATCTCCACGAACGAGGGTCTGCAGAATTAAACATCATCATCATCATCATCATAACAGCCAAGAACATCCTCTAATTAATCGACTTAACGGATGGCGTGGTGGTACGGCTGCCGTGCAACGTGTCGCGGTTTCAATTTCCGCACGGAACCACTCCCTGTGTTGATAGATCTAGAAGTTGATAGATCAAGTGTGGGAGAGCCATGCTTCGGCACGAATGGGTCGGCTCGATCGGAGTGATACCACGGCCTCACAGAAAACCGGCGTGAAATAACCACTGCGTTGTGTATCGCCCTGTGAGTGACGTTACCGGAGGCCCAATCCTTCCCCTTCCCCAATCCCTCCTCAATCCCTAAATCTCCAAATCCCTAATCCCTAAATCTCCAAATCCCTTATCCCTAAAAGGTCGGCAACGCACTCGTTGCGAGTGGCCATGGGCGGCTCTGATTGCTTACCATCAAGTAATCCGTCTGCTCGCTTGCCGACTTATAACATAAAAAAAAAAAATGTTGTTCCGGGTCTAGGTGTGATGTGTATGTGAAATTGTAGAGTTTACAGTCACCATGACTCACATTTTATACACTTTTATTAAATGGCTGATTTTTCAATGGTTAGATAAAAGATACATGGGGAATAATTATGATGCTGTCGCGTCACAATGTTTGTATAAGACAGTGACAGCAACAATTTTATTCCACATATAACATTTATCTGAATTCCTATCAGGCGACCCAACCCACGGAGTAAGAACAAAGACCCAACCTATACTATTTACATTATACTAGTTAATCGTTATTTCAAAGACCTCTTACCTCATCAACTTCCTCGGAGGTCCAGTCAGCCGGGTCGACAACCTGCGTCATTGCTAGGGCAGCTATCGATACAGGAGTGGCCTGCCTTCCGCGGTGTTCCTCAGGGAAGCGAGCGTCTGCTTCGTGGAAACTGCCCCGAATAATCCAACGGCCTGGTGCTACGGCTGTAGCAAAAAAAACATTTTATGCTTTAGGGCCAGATACAATCATTTGATGATAAGCAACACCCGAGAAATTCCTTAAGCACTTATTGGTCTTTTTTCAAACGAGCAGAGGATTACCTGATGGTAAGCAAACGGCGCCGCCCATGGACACTCGCAATACCAAAGGAGTAACGTCGAATGCGTTGCCAGAATTGCGGGAAGGGATGGGGGGAAGGAGAGGGATTGGGCTCTTTGGTCTTTTGGGGGGGGGGGGGGGGACAACACATAGAGCCTCCAGCATCATCCATTACGTTGTGCAAGCGTTGTTTCACTCCGGTTTTCTATAAGATCGTGGTATTACTCCGGTGAAGTCGGCCCATTCCCAGAAGACCGGCGTAAACCAATACGTATAATGTTTGAGTAAGGTTACCGGAGGCCCAAAATCAATCTGATCCTCAAATTCCCTATCCGTAAACCCCTAACAACCCACGAGAGGCTGGCAACGCACTAGTAGTAACTCTTTTAGCTGCCAGCCTGCCAGTGTCCACGGGCGGCGCTGATTGCTTACCATCAGGTAATCCGCTCGTTTGCCGACCTATGTCATAAAAAACATTTGGCACTAACGCTTCATTTTATTGACAGGTTCGGGCATATCAATGCTCAGCTGTGTGACGGCGACATCGCTGATGCTGAAAGGTTTCCTCTTCATGTTGGAAACGTTGTCCATGAAGTACTCGCAGAGGCGAGACACCTTCGGGAAGTACATCACGCATCCCTTGCCTCCGTCTTGAAGTCCAACCTAGATAGTTGCATGATTACATTAAATAACATTACCGACCTCGTTTACCTCTTAAAAACAAGACACCAAATACCAGTGGCTGCAGCAGTTTTGTTCCGCGACTTATTTTAATACAAGATGTAAAACGAAAAAAAAAATGCCGAGGTTCTATTTATTTGTGTCTAAGGCATAAGGGTTTATATAATAAGATTATATTATGTAACTTTTTCGTTCAATCGCATTTAAAAAATACTAGACCTTAAATCACCGTCGTCGTGGTCCGGAAGTTAAGGCGCCCGCTTCTCATACATGAATGAGTGACTTTTTCCGAGTTATATTTTCTATTCAGACCCCACTGACATATGGTGACGGAAAACATCGAGTAAAAACCTGGACTTATAATTTCTATTCATGAGTTTAAAATCTCCAATCCGCCTTGAGCAAGCGTGGTGGTTAATGCTCAAACCTTGTCCATGTGAAAAGCCTTTGCTCAGCAGTGGGCACTTGCTAATGAGGGTGATGATGAAACCAAAATAAACAATTGCCATACAAATATTTTTCGCAACCTTGGAATTGTGGGCACTCATAGCGCTTATGATCATTGGAGATCAGAGGATTGGAGGAACCTTGAAACATGCTGCTTATTACTTATAACAACGATGATGATAATGATGATAATGACGAAATTCCACTCCAGCAAAAGACAGATGGAGATGATGAGAAACCTCCCATGGATAAACATCACTGTAGTGGTTGTATCTCCTAAAAGGTCATACTAAAACTGTCTCATGTATAAGTCGAAGTAAAGCTGTCAATCTGTTACTTTTGCACATTGATTCTATAAAATTTGTTTGATTTTGAATCTTGTTCGAGTGTAAAGTGAGCGTCGAAGTGACGGGGAAATTACATTATAGAATGCCACTTTTAACGTCATCTCATACACTTTATCTATCAAAATGTTGTTGAATTTAGTTCAACTCGCAAGATTAGCGCTAGTGTACTACTGCTCACAGCGGATTCAGATTCGAAGTTTAGAATGAAGTCTTACAGAATCACACTGCTGTCAGTCCGTCACTGATACTGGTCAAGGATGGACGAGTACTACTTGCGATACAAGAGTAGTAGTGAGCCATTGAATGACCGGTTTTACTGTAAAGACATGGGTCCTTACAATTACTTACCCTGTTGCCATATCTATCAGCTGGCCAGGGATGGTACAAATAATACTTGCCACCCTCGTACCAGACAGCTACCTCATATTCTCCTGGGACCTGGAAACCAGAAGAATGGTCAGTAAACGCAGAAGAAGAAGGTACTTGTATACAAAACCGGCTTATTTTTAGGTTAAATAAAAGGAAATAAAGATCGACTTTGGGCACGCAAGCTCGAGTAGTCGCTGCATATGCTGAGCGAGGGCCATTTCGCGCGCTTGGACGCATATTTTTTTCTTACCTTGCTTTTTTGTCTTTATTATTTTTATGTTTATTCACTTGTTTGATCTGTGTCCTGTTTGCGTTCAAGACACGAATAAATACTTTTTTTTGCTTGTTTGTTTAGCAGTCATTTGGCTGTGCGACGCAGCCGTTCTCATGAATAAGGTCCCGTTCTTTTTTTGTGAGGGGAACATCATCAAGTTACTTCTCCCACTCAGGGTGAGGCGAGAGGGAGTGTCAGACTCTTACTGACTAACCCCTCTGATTAGAAGAACGAGGAAGAAAAAAAGAAGACTTGAGAAAGAACGGGGTCCTTCTCCTGCTCTTGCTCTAGGCCGAAGCTAAATCGGCTGAACATCAGCCCTATAGGGTCCCGTCTGTGGTGGTCTATTGGTCCTTTCTCTCTCGATCCCCGATACCCGGAGTGTCGACTAGGCGTTACCTAAGACTTGAAGTTGCAATGAACTGGATCTAAACCGCGTGAAAGCAACTATAGTCAGACTTTTAATTCGATTCCTGATTTGACATTGACCACTGTCATTTTGTGAAATAATGATACCACATATAACAGTGTAGTGATGAACACAAAAATCGATAAACAATCAGTGAATCAGTTTCAGGAAGGCATTCAAAAAATTACGGCTACCGAATGGTCTAAATGTGTAAACAATGAAACAATGAATGAAACAATGAAACAATGAATTTATTTTTGCAAATAGGCCATAAAACGGCACTTTTACACGTCAATTTATATGTGAAAAACTAGATGAAGCCGGCATTTCCTATCTGACTACTCTGAGAAGAAATGCCGAAACAAACTCAGAGGTCAGTCTCTTTTCAAGTCCAGACAATGTAAAAATAACATAATGTGAGAGAATCGTGCAAGTTCATTCTGTAGTGGTCTTTTGAGGAAAGAACCACACCAGTTTAAGTGGACCCGTTCTGAAGACAGGCACGCAAGTGTCAGTTTGCAACCAGTATAGCTAGTGCTGCTGAGTTGTCCGACGAACAATACCGATCTAAAGAACATTTGGGTGGGTCGCGCAAGTACTCAAACTGTCAGAACGCAGATAACTGGTAATCAAAAAGCACGGCAAGTCTCACACGGTCCTTACACTAACAATAATATAAAATAATAAAAATGTCAATAAATAAATAAAAAAAAATGTCAAAAAAAATAAAAAATAAAATGTCACAATAGGTGATTATGTCATTGTATAAAAAATAAAAAATAAACGTAATGTCAAATTGTATATAAAATTGTAACTTATGTTACAAACATGTCAACATGACCTGTGCAGACATTACAGCGGCTCATTCCCATGCCTGACTATCCTCTAAGTAGTCTTTTATTTTATAAAATGCTTTACAGCAAAGTTTAGCCTTTATTACACTTTTAAATTTATTGAGGCTCAAATTTTGAATATCGCTAGGAATTTTATTGTAAAAGCGTATACATTGACATCTAAACGAACTAGTTATTTTCTGAAGCCTGGAGGCAGGGACAACATATTTGTTTTTCCCCCTCGTGTTAATATTATGTATATCACTATGCTTCTTAAATAAGCTTTTGTTTTTATGAGCGTGAATTACATTTTCATAAATATATTGTGAGGCAACCGTCATTATCTTAGTTTCCTTAAATAATTCTCTGAGCGAATGCCTCGGACTAAGATTATAGATTGATCGAATAGCCCTTTTCTGCAGAACAAAAATAGACTGAATGTCAGCAGCATTCCCCCACAACAAAATACCGTATGACATGATGCTGTGGAAATAACTAAAATAAACTAACCGCGCTGTATCTACATCTGTTAAATTTCTAATTTTTTTAACGGCATATGCTGCAGAACTGAGCTTCTTCGACAAGCCATCTATATGAGGGCCCCACTGGAGCTTAGCGTCCAGGGTTATACCTAAAAAGACAGTTGTATCTACAGGACTCAACTCCTCGCCCTTGACAAGCACACTGGTTTTTACCTGTTTAACATTTGGTGTTGTGAATTTAATACATTTAGTTTTAGTTTCGTTTAGTAATAAGTTATTAACACCAAACCAGTGAACTATTTCTGAGAGAGCACTGTTTACATTGTCAATAACTAATTGTCGTCGTCTGAGTTTGAATAATAGTGAGGTATCATCAGCAAACAGCACTATCTCGTGTTTATCCCTTACAAGGTAAGGCAAGTCATTAATATAGATAAGAAATAAAAACGGGCCGAGAATAGAACCCTGCGGAACACCCATCTTCACAACAGACCCGGCAGAAACCACTCCGTTTACTTCAACTCTCTGAACCCTATTACTCAGGTATGAGGTAAGAAGGTCCAGAGATGCACCTCTTATTCCGTAATGGGATAGCTTCCTGATCAGTGTATCATGAAGCACACAATCGAACGCCTTGGATAAATCACAAAATATTCCCAAAGCGTCGCTTGAGTCCTCCCACGCGTCGTAAATGTGATTAAGAAGTTCAACACCGGCATCAGTTGTTGAACGACCCCTTGTAAATCCGAACTGTTTCGCATGTAATAATTTATTTCTATTAAAAAATCTTTGCATTTGATCTAAAATAATTTTTTCAAAAATTTTACTGAACGTAGGTAGCACTGAAATAGGTCTAAAGTTAGTGGGGTCAGAAGTACTACCTGATTTAAATAATGGAATTATTTTACTACATTTCATAAGATCAGGAAACACACCACAGTCAATACAGTTATTAAAGATTTGAGCTAATACAGGTGCTACAATAGTTATTACAGAGCTTGTAATATACACAGAATTGCCCCATAGATCTGCAGTCTTTTTGTTATTCAAAGTATTAAAGATTTTAACAATTTCCTTGTTATCTATGTGCTCGAAGGAAAACCCTGAATCGCAAGCTACAACATGTTTTTTGAGTAAAGACTCTGCAACAGTGGGAGATGAATTCAGTGACTTAGTAGTGGATACAGGAATGTCGGAAAAGAAATTTTCAAAAGCAGTTGCAATTTCTACATCCGCTTTTATTAACTTATTATCAATTACAAGACTATGTTGATTTATTCTCTTTTTAGACCTTCCTGCCTCACTGTTGATAATATTCCAAGTGTCTTTGATAACATTGGTACTGTTCTTTATCTTAGAGCTTAAGAATAATGATTTAGCAATAGAGCAAACCTTTTTGAATAATTTAGAATAGTTTTTTACATATTCACTGAATTCAACAGTGTTAATATATGTCCGCTCATTATAAAGCTCATAGAGGCGCTTTCTACTCTTATAGATACCAGTGGTTGCCCAATCACCGAAAGACGCATTGCTATTAGCTGGTATAGTTTTATCTGAAAAAGTAGACTTAAACTCTGTTAGGTACATTTTAAAAAACTTATCATATAAAGTGCTAGAATTCTTATAATTCAACAACAAAGGCAATTTGTTGCTGAGTTTAGCTTTGAAAAATTCAATGCGTCTTTTAGTCTTCGGATTAACTGTGATAAATTGTTTTGATACTATATTTATTTCTTTTGTTAAAGAAATTAACTGACCACAGTGATCGGAATCAAGTACTGAAATTATTTCTTTGTTAACTGGCACAATGTCAGTATAAATATTGTCCAGGCAAGTGGCACTAGTGGGTGTTATCCTAGTTGGCTCCAGAAACAAATTCGCAAGGTTGTATGAAGAAAATAAACTTACAATTTTTGTGCTTAAACTACATTTTTCTAATAAATTTATATTAAAATCACCACATGTAATGATGGATTTCTTTGAATTTGTAAGTTTACTTAGAACTTCATCCATTACTGTTTCAAAACAGTCATACAAACCAGAAGGTGGTCTATACACGCTTAATACAATAAACCGCTCCAATTCCACACAGGCTATTTCAACAGTACGCTCAACAGAGTAACTAACTATATCTTTACGATCTTTGAATTTGAGCTGGTTACTTATCAGTATAAGTGACCCACCATGTATAGCGTTTTCTCTGCTGAACGAGCTACCAATCTGGTGCTTACCAAAATTGAACATGAGCTGATGGGGTTTTAGCCTGTATCCCATGTTTTCAAAGAAGAGGAAAAAATTAGTAAGCTAGATATGTTAATTGACAATAAATATCAAAGACACAATTCATAATAAATGTTACATAGAGTAACGGTGATAGCGATAGCGATGACGGCGACAATTTATAAAATGTCTGTTTTATTTGTCACGTTCCTTCATGATCACATTTTTTATTAATTTCACACACAATTACAAAAGAAAAGTCTCAGATCGTTAATTAATTGTCAAAACTAAATTATCGGTTCAGAAATATTTTATTTCCTGATAAACTTAGTTTACGAGAGTAAATTTATAAACGAGAGGAATCGATTCAGAAATATTCGATTTCCATATCGAATAATTTCGCAACGTCACTATTTATTACGTGTCATAACGTTGCAACACTGAAAATGTCAAATCTGGAATGGAATTAAAATTCCGAGTATAGTTTAAATATAAGGTCTTATTAATATTTATAACTGACTTACTTGTAGAATTCCCGAGTCAGATTCTTTGAAGAAATGTTCGAGTCCTCGGCAGAGGTCAAACACTTTTGGATTGTTGGATATCAACTTTCCCCAAACTGCTATTCCTCGCACCTAAACCAAACATTTAAAAGCTTCAGTAAAGTCTTAAAAAATTGCCACGTTAACAAAATTGAAGGTTACTGGAAGTACAATATGTATATACGTGTGAGTGAGGTTACCGGAGGCCCAATCCTTCCATTACCCCAATCCGTTCCCTTTCTCAAAATCTCCAAATCCATAATCTTCAAAAGGTCGACAACGTACTCGTACCTCTACCGTCGTTGCGGGTGTCCATGGGCGACGCTGATTGCTTACCATCAGGTAATCCGTTTGCTTGTTTGTTGACTTATCACATAAAAAAGAATAGGTTGACTGGTGATTAGTGACCGATATTTAAACACGTTATTATACAAACAACATTCCCAAAGAAACTATTTTTCTATACTCAATACTTTTATTTTCGACATTATACAATTATGATCATTCCTCTTTAATCACTCTATCTATTAAAAAGACTGCATCAAAATCCGTTGCGTATTTTTAAAGATTTAAGCATACATAGCGATACAGGGCCAGAGGAAGCGACTTTGTTTTATACTATGCTGTGACGAATGTAGCCACCACCACCTAAAAGATGACAAACTCTCAACAAATACTGGTACCTTATGTTTGTACTCCCGATCTCTGATCCTGAAGGTTTCCTTAAGCTCGCCAAGTACCAATCTTCGGATAGGACCACCTCGTTCCACTAAGGACTCCTAAAGAAACAAAACCACAGCATCTCATCACTACCAGCTATTACGCTTCAGCACAAATAAATTAGCTCCATTGGAGTGACTCCACGGCCTTAGAGAAAACCGGCGTGAAACATCCAAGCTGTTGTGTTTCGCCATGTGAGTGAGGTTACCGGAAGCTCAATCCCTCCCCATTCCCAAAATCTCCAAATACTTATGCCCGGTTTCCGAAAACCCAATAAATGTTAAAATCAACTAACTAGGTGTCACATCTCTTGTCAAGACATCTGATTGGTTGTTGATAATTCAGTCAACCAATCAGATGACTTGACAAGAGATTAAATTGATTTTAACATTGATCGGCCTTTCGGAAACCGGGTTTTTATCCCCAAAAAGTCGGCAACGCACTCGTAACCCCTCCGTCGTTGTGGGCGTCCATGGGCGGCGCTGATTGCTTACCATCAGGTAATCCGTATGCTCGTTTGCTGACCTATCATAAAAAATCTCCTCCTCCACAATATCCCTATAAAGCTACCAATGATCTTGTTATTGATTATTGGTATTCAAGGTGTCCATTGGACCATAAAGTAAACGGAGTGATCGATTTCCATTCTTCCTTTTTTCCCTTTTAAAAGGCTTTTAGATAGGGAGGCCCCAATGATATTATAAGTAAAAAGGTGTAGATAGGTCACAAGCGCTCAGCAAGTGATACATTAAAATGTGGCTAACTAGCCACAATTTTTCATATTTGTCTCTTTTTCACTCGCGGTTATTGAATCATGCCATCCCGCTTTAACGTGCATCATACGATTTATTCATGTGTGCATAAGTGTGCCGTTTTTGAAAAGGAAATGTTGTTTATGTAACCTATCTATACCATTTTACTTATAATATAATTGGTCGGTCCATTGATGCCGAATCTTGGCTCACTACAAGATCAGCCATCTTGTACGTACCCTGAACAAGTTGTATCCAATATCGAGCGTTTCATCAAACATATCCTCGTTCCAAGCCCTGGCACGGTACCGTCTCAACATGCCCAAAGCAGCTACACAGCATGGTATAGCAGTGTAGGTCTTGAATATTTGGTACCTATTGGGAAGAAATTAATACCTACATATAAATTGTCAGCCGGGGTTGTGGATCAAGCACAATAGTGTACCAAGGCCTTGGCCTTAAACAGGAGAAGGAACAGGGAGCGTTTTTAGACAGCCTTATTACTAAACAAGGTCTTTCTAGACCATCGAGCCAGTTTTTTAATTTCGTTTTTTATTACGTTGCTCCACACTAGAATTGTCTCTTGTGTCTTTGGAGCGGTTTCAAGCATACAATCTCACATACACATGACACTCAGACCCGGAACAACAATTTGTGGATCACACAAAGAGTTGTTCCATGCGGCGGCAATCGAAAACGCGACACGTTGCACGGCAGCCAGTTGCCCAGCCATCGCACTGACCGTGCAGTCAACACAGATTTGAAGGTAGAAAACCTGACTCATTGGTATAAACCTAGACTCGAGATAAATCTTGTTTATAATAAGGAGGTAAGAGTCTCACTCCCCATCCTGGACGGAAGCCATTTGATGATTTTACCCCTCACAAAAAGAAAAAAATACATGCAAATTGTGCTTTTAGCAGTAAAAATCTGACCTAATGGAGTAAATTAATGATTTCCTCTCAACAAAAACGTATAATTACAAGAAGTGTGGGAAAGCCATGCTGTGGCACGAATAAGACGACTCGAGTAATACCATGGCTTTACAGGAAACCGGCGTGAAGCCGCGTGAGGTTTCCGGAGGCCCAATCCTTCCCCCACCCCCATCCTCAATTCTCAAATCCTTAATAACCACAAGAGGCCAGCAACAAACTTGTAGAAAAACCTTTGGTATTACGAGTGTCCATGGGCGGCGCTGATTGCTTACCATCAGGTAATCACTTCACTTGCAGCGAAATCCTCGGCTATAAGACTTATAAATGAACATCAACTCACCTATGACTGGCCATATGCCTGGTTCCTCTTAGGATCCACTTCTCCACATCGAGCTGAACATACTGGGAGTGGTAGTTCTGATCAGCAATTTCCACTGGACTGTGGAGAATTATCTCCGACTTCGGTAGGGGTATTAGATCGTCTCTGAAGATATAAGACCATTTTTTTTTATAGAGTAACCATGGAGTTTCTTCTTTCTTCTCCATCGGAATCTACAGTTTGGAACGAGCAACTAGCTCACTGACCGACAGACTGACACTTTTCATCCTTTAGCTTTGTTTAACGTTCAAAAGTGCCTGTAAGGGTCTAATTGGAATAAATGGTTTTGACTTTGATTTTGGATGGAGACTATGCAAAAAAGCTTTTCGTGGTAATTGTAAGGGATTCGAAACCTGGTAAGTGACAATGTGACTTTCTTAAAGTTTTAGGTATGTACCACTAACCACCCGAAGGTAAATATCACACACGACATTTTCACTGCACAGTATAAAACAAAGTCGCTTTCTCTGTCCCTATATCCCTATGTATGCTTAAATCTTTCAAACTACGTTAGGCGATTTTTGTGCAATGCAGTTTTTTATAGATAAAGTAGTTGGAGAGGGAGGTTTATATAATATGTATAATAACATCCATTAAGTAGTGGAGAAATTTAGCATCAGCATTACATGCGTGCGAAGTCAGCCAAAATTCCACATTATTTTTACATTTGTCTTGACTTAAAAAGAGACCTCTGAGTTTCGGCATTTCTTTTCAGAAATTTCTTCTGTATATTTCCAAAAACTAATTTTTTTCGTTTCGTTGTTTCATCGTGAGCAAACCAGTCCAAACGTTTTAATACTAATTATAAATTTGATATCGCCAATCCCTAGGGCAAGCGTAGTGATTAATGCCCATTTCATCTCCGTCTGAGTAGAGGCCTTTGCCCACCAATAGGTACTTTAAAGCAAGATAATGATGATGATGAAAATAACATGGTGTAAGGAAGACCCTTACCTTCCGAAGGTATGTCCATCCAGCCTTGGCGAGTAGAGGAAGAAGTTTTCACCTCGGAGAGCCATAATCTGCTCGTTGGTGGGGTTTACTGGGACTTTATCTGGACTCACAGGTAACACAGGAGGCGGCTGGCAGAAAGACAGGAGTTGTGAACCATGATATTTTTAAGAATAACTTTTACGGTTTCGCCCGTTGCTCAGGTCCTATTGGTGTAGGGTGATGTTTTATAGCCAGTACTCAGGAACATTGTAGCTATCCATCAATTGCAAGCAAGTTGGTTCCAAAGATTACCCCCTACATCCTACAACCTTACAAATTTTACCTCCATGTAATATTAGTATAGATGTACACGCACAAATCACTGGAGTAAAAACACTTTTTTTACGTTTTGGATCTTCACATCAAATTAACTTAAACTAACGATGTCAATACCAGCACTCTAAAATTAACAGTACTGTCGATTAAAACACAAATAATGATTTTACTAAATTAAATCGCACCACTGCTTACAAGCAATCCATTTAATTTATTGGTAAACTATAGCATTTCCATAATTATCATGTCTACTAGTCCATAGCCACCTATAGCCATACCTTGTCAATTTTTTCCACATTTCATAATAGTCTAGTTTATTAAGAGCCTATTCACTCTAGCCTTGAAAGAACCTTAATCTGATGTATTCCACTTACTTCTTTGGGCATTTTCTGGTAGAAGTCCCTGACTTTCTTGCGCGATGTCGCCCTAGAGGTGGCCAGGCTGACTGCACTCAGCGATCCGAGTGGATACTGACCCTGATTTGAAAGAAAGCAACTATTTTAATTCGGAAGTGTAGGAGGACCAAGCTTTGGCACGAATGGGTCAGTTCGACCGGAATGACACGACAGCCTCACAGAAAACCGGTGTGAAACAACCACATCGTTGTGTTTCGCCGTGTGAGTGAAGACTCTCCATTGTTTTCCAATCTATAAATATCCGAAACCCAAAAGCCTAGCTACACACTCATATCATTACGGGTGTCCATGGGTAGCGCTGATTGCTTACCATGAGGTAATCTAAAAAAAATTACATTTGCTGCCATCTTGTTTTGTTTTAATTCTTTAAGTATTTTTATGTTTTCATTATCTGCTTAATTTGCTCTTTTATTGAATTTGCTCTTTTATTGAATTTGCTCTTTTATTTGCAATTTTATTTCTTTAATATTTTTTGTAGCTTTTTGTCGTCCTGATGAATCTTTTTATACGTAATCTTTAGTATAAATATAATAATATAGTGGCTTGCCGCATAGTACCGACGCCAACTAAATGTGTAGATCTCACCTCTTTTTTCTTCTTCTCAATCAGAGCGTTGATGTTCAGACTGTCCCATTCACTTCTACAGTGGACCTTCAGAGCCTTCAGATCAAGGTCATAGGTTGGCTCGCGGATCAACGGCTCTTTTTGGACCACCTGAGGCAAGAAATTCCTGTGTAAATCTTAAAAATGGGTGATTTAAAAATAACAATTACCGTCTTTATCCACAACCAAAATTAAATGAATTGTAATGGTCAAAACACAAATTATAGAATGGAAAAATTAAACAGTGTTACTGAATTCAAGGATTCTAATAAAGTCTACTACGATTATAAGTTAGGATACCTATCCAGGTGAACCACTACATGAGCTGCTGTTTACATGTGAACATTAGCTCATGACGATACCTAAGTACGTGTGTCGCCTGGACAGTCACCCTCGCTACATCCTTGTTGACTGGACATCTACACTACATGAGCTGCTGTTTACATGTGAACATTAGCTCATGACGATACCTAAGTACGTGTGTCGCCTGGACAGTCACCCTCGCTACATCCTTGTTGACTGGACATCTACACTACATGAGCTGCTTTAACTAACCTCAACACTGGTGAGCGTGATGGGCGGCTTGGGGTTTCCCTGTTTGGCCGCATCCAAATCCCCATAGTTAGATAAAAAGTCTAGAACGAAGGATGTTATGCCTGCGTAACGAAGGAAGGCTCCGGCTCCAGACCTGTTTATGAAAGTTAGTATTGAAAATGAGGTGATAGAAGAGCAGAATACATTAATCACAACAGCTCTTCGCAAGAGCTGCCCGACCAGAACCAGACCCGACCGTAAGGCATGTAGTGTTCCGAGCGCGTCTCAAAGAGCCAATAGACTACTATAGATGGAGCCTAAAAGGGTCAATGTTCAGCCGGGGCTGCGGGGTAAGTGCAATAAGAGATGCCTTAGCCTCGTCTCAGGGCAGAAGAAATGAAAAAAGAGTATTTTAGTCCGTAAAGGTCTTACCGCCGTAAAGGTCCGAACGGGGTGATACCACGGCCTCACATAGTAACTGGCGTAAAACAACCAAATCCAATGATGAAATAATAATGTCGAAATACAAGTATTTCGCCGCGTGATAAGGTTGCCGGAGGGCCAATCCTTCCCCACCCTCAAATAATCCCTCTCAAATCCTCAAAAGGTCGGCAACGCACTCGTTACTCCTCGCAAGTGTCCATGGGCGATGCTGATTGCTTTCCATCAGGTAATACGTTTGCTTGTTTTTCATAAAAACACAGAAACTAGGCAGCAGCGCTGTCTGATAAACCTGAACCTTTTAAACTGCGCTTCCATAGTCTAGCAGTGGGCACTGCCCCTGGCTATTATGGGATTGTAGGCATTAAAGCAATTTAAGGTTTCTTTAACGGTCAATTTACGTTACAATAAGTTAAAGCCCCAATTATATTAGTGTGCCGAAACAACTGCTTGCAAAAAACAAGCTGTTTATCGTGTGTTTTTCCTAGGGAGTGTAGCAAATAACAGAGAAGAAAATTGAAAATTTCACAAAACCTTTTAAAAATAATATCTTTCTTTAAAATCTAGTATTTCCTCTCTTTCAACTTATGTAGGTAATTTATGTTCAAAAACATTTATTTTTCATGTGTATACCAAGGTCAGATCCGGAACGAAAAATTTGATCAAGCGGTATTGTTTCGCGCGGAAATCAATTCATTCCAACATCGATCATAATAGTTACCAAAGTGAACCAATTTCTTGGTCTACTCACAGCTTATCCACTTGGCCCAATTCATTCAGCATATGAGGATCGAAGATATAGCAGATAGTCTGAGCTTGGCTGTTGCCATCAGGATCTGGTGGATGTCCCCAAATCAAGAAGTGACGATCTCCACCGATGGACAGGATCAATGTGTACTGGGTTCCTATTCTCTTCTCCATCAACCTAGGAAAGGATGATACACAAATATAAAAGCACTACCAGTAAGACTTTGAATGTAGATAAGGCAATGTATATTGAGTTTGAAACCTTTGTTTAAATACTTTTTGTTTGTTTTGTTTGTTTGAAACCTGCATAGTAACGATTTTACGTTTTCAGAGTCATATGTCTAAGATTACTAAGACAAGACACCACACTGACATACGGCGATGGAAAACATCGTGAGGAAACCTGGACTTAAGTATGATTTCTAATTTAAGTTTTAAATCGACAATCCGCCTCAAAACTGAAGGAGAATGGCGACTCAAGGAGATAAGCGATTTCGATTAACCAAGTTTGCTCAAGAAAGCGTGGTGACCAATTCTCAAACCTTATCCGTGTGAGAAGAGGTCTTTGATTAGCAGTAGAAGTGTAATACCGTGAGTGGCTGAGAGATATTCATTCGAGATTATCTATCCTGAAATCCTCAAAAGACCTAGCAAAACAGTTCTAACACTTCGGTATTGTGATTGTCGATAGGCCGATTGTTTACCACCACTCGATGCATCCATTCCTTAGTCTGATTCGAAAGATAAGGCGTCCGCTTCTCATGCAAGATGGCGCGGTTTCGAAACCTGCCAAGTATCAATGTGACTTTACATACGGCGACACTGACATACGGCGAAGGAGAACATCGTGAGAAATCCTGGACTAAAAATTTCTAATTATAAATATGAAATCGCCAATTCTCCTTGAGCAAGCGTGGTGGTTAATGCTCAAAGCTCCGTATGAGAAGAGGCCTTTGCTCAGCAGTGGGCACTTATAAGCTGATGATGTGATGCGACATGTAAAATTAATTTGTAAAACTTACGCCATAAAGTCTTCATCAGCTTGAATGTTATCAGGGTGTTTCGCCAAAAGACCCTTGTCCGTTTCTAACAATTTGACTGTATACTTGGTGTCGTTGTAATAAAATGACGTCAGGAGCTGGTTCAACTGGAGGGCTGGTTTACCTATAGTGAAGTTCAGAAGGAATTGGTTGGCAACACTAGAAGACAGACTGAGAGACTGACACACAAAGTTGAACTTTTTGAAATTTATTTTTCAGTTGACCTTCAAAATTGCCTATAGTAGTGTATTTGAAATTTATGGTTAGACTCTTTTCAAGTAAATATATACTTGGTGCAATCTGTCTCCTTTGCTGCAGTAAGCAGTGATCGAAAATTGGCCATGCTTTGGCATAACAAGTCCGGCTCAGAAGGAACCATGACCTCACAGAAAACTGGTGTGATCCAGACTTTCCGCCGTCTGAGTGAGGTTACCGGAGCCCCAATCTTCCTAACTAGTCACCTACGCACTTATAACTCAGAGTGAATAGATAGTCTAGAGAGGGTTCTTAGTTGATCTGCCTACGTTTTTGCCTCCCCCAATTCCAGCTATAAAACTGGGAGACACATTGTTGGGACATTTCGCCCAACATCAGAAAACCCAGGTTTTCTTCTAATTACCGAACCAGAACCAGAACCCGGAACGGGATGATTTTAGACAGTAAGTCTGACACTCCCTCCCCCTCCCCACTCGCAACACCCAGGGCACGGAAAAAATCAATGAATCAATCATTTGTCCCAATACTCTCTCGAAATTTCTCTTGTTCATATTGGCCAGTCGTCAAAGAGTAAAGCGTTGCGCGACATCGTGCGGGACATTTTTTTTTTATGTTAGGTCGGCAGACGAGCAGACCGGGTTACCTGATGGTAAGCAATCAGCGCCACCCATGGACACCCGCAACGGAGGAGTTACGAGTGCGTTGCCGACATTTTACGGATTAGGGATTTGGAGATTTATGGATTGAGGAGGGATTGGAGGCGGGGAAGGATTGGGCCTCCGGTAATCTCACTCACACGGCGAAACACAACGCTTTGGTTGTTTCACGCCGGTCTTCTGTGAGGCCGTGGTATCACTCCGGCCGAGCCGACCCATTCGTGCCGTAGCATGGCTCTCCCACACTTGTGAATTTCGTTTCAATTGAAAATAGTTTTTAAACTTTAACTACACACTGCCAAAATTACCTACCTTTGTAACACTTGAGTGCGATCATGCACTGCTTATAATATCTGTCTCCAGTGGCAATCATTTCGTCTACGTCGTTCCTCACAAACTCTGCTGGAGTCTTCTCATCCAGGAGGGCGCGACAGGCCACTGCTATGCATCCCGTTTGAGCACCTAAAGTTAGGAAAATTTTTTATATAGAAACTACTATCGCGAAACATAATTAATTCACTAAGGGCTGATTTTTCAGTGGTTAGATAAACGTTACCTGGGGAATAATTATGATGCTGTCGCGTCAGAATGTTTGTATAACACAGTGACAGCAACAATTTTATTCCACAGATAACCATTTATCTGACTATTGAAAAATCACCCCTAAAACTAGCGATCTGTCCCGGTTTCGCCCGGCAATGATGATACTAAATTTCTCCACTATTTATTTATGTTATTGTACATATGAACCATCCTCTTCAATCAGTCTATCTTTTAAAATACCGCATCAAAATCTGTTGCGTAGTTTTAAAGATTTAAGCATACATAGGGGCACAGATAGGGATAGAAAAAACGACTTGAATTTATACTATGTCTAGCGACTTGCCACTGTTTCACTTTTTTGTTTGGATAACCCGTTTATCGAAGTCCCGCCACGACTAAAAGAAGCTGAACAACGTGCGAAACTACTTAGGTAGCTAGTAATCAATGAAAGAGGAGTTTTTATCTCTATAATATAAAAATGGATCGCAAAATGTGTTGGTAAGCGAATAACTCAACAACGCCTGGACCAATTCGGCCAATTCTTTTTTTAAGATATTCGTTGAAGTCGAGGGATTTTTCCTACGGCGACAAAAAATGGAATAATTGCCGGGAACACACACACACACGGGTTCTGTTCAGGACATTTTTAGCAAAGAATATAAAATAGGTAGGAACTGAACACTGCCACATTACAATTTTGTTTGACAGGACGAAGTCTTTCGGGTCAGCTACCAAGTACCACTAGATATAAAGAGATCTCATATCCGTGACCACGATCCACATTAAAAGCAAAACCGATCCTGATTGTTTTTGACACTTGAGACACACATTTTTATCAAAATCTTTCAAGGTATGATGCGTATGTATCATTGTATGTTTGTAAACGCACTCACGACACAGGAGAAAATCCAAGAGCATGTGTTTTTTTTAATAAGAATTAGTCTTTTACAATTACCTTTGCAAAAACCTCAGTATGGGGTAACGAATAAAACTTCTTTACAATACTGGAATCTCTTTTTTAAAATACCAAGTTGATAAAACTGAATCATCATCATCATCATCATCAGCCGGAAGACGTCCACTGCTGGACAAAGGCCTCCCCCTTAAGGGGGGGAGGGTTGCCATAATCCCCACGCTTGGCAGGCGGCTTGGGGATCGCAGTTGGGTCACCGATATATTAATGGAATGCTGCTGCCCACTCCTCGGTGTCGGGTCGCAGTTTAAGGACGTACCCGGGTCCACTGATAAAACTGGATGACATACCACAATGAGTCGAGGAGTACTTCTTAGAGTTGCATGCAATATGCCCTTGCAGAATCATCTTATTCTTGTCCACCTGACTGAAGTTGTGCCAGATCTGTATTTGAAAGTAGGATTCCCATTATTTACACGTTCCTGACGTAACGCCATACTCGGAGACACATAATGCTGATACTAAATACCTCCACTTTATGGTATTAAAAGAGCTCATAAAAATCCGTTGTGCAGTTTTAAGGTTTTAAGCATATGTACATAGGGATATAGGAACAGAGAAAACGACTTTTTTAATACTGTGTACTAACTAAAACTAATCCTTATTGTTACAATTTCAGAACACCTTAGAAAACAATTGCTGCTCTTTTTCTTCTCTTTTTAAAGGGGAAAATCATCAAAAATTACTTGTCCCACTCTGAGTGAGACAACAGAGTGTGAAATTTCTTCTAAAAACTAAAAACTATTCGGTTCTCCTGTCGGGGCCGCGGTTCGTAATTGCGCTTGTATCCATGACTGGAAGAATATCGTGTATGAGAGTCCACTGAAAGACCATAGGTCTCTTCGTCGTATTTTCCAATCTAAACGTTTTGAACGCGAATTGGATAAAAATTTAAAAATTTCAGGTTTTTAAGGAAGCGCTACTGCTGATCTTTTGTAAAAGCTAAACCTTCGAGAAGACCAGAGCTGATGATAAATGCATTTCTATCTGCTACTATCAAATTTCTTAGAAAAATACAAAAAAGACCAGTGTCTCAGAACTCACCTTTTTCAATTTCGAAGGCATTAGAGGTAAAGGTTGATTCACTTGCTCTGGAGGTATTCTTGGCAACTTCGGTCTGGACAGTTTTTTCTTCGCATAAGGCGGTACCCAAGGACGAGTAGCGAAACTAGGGCGATCTACTACCTAGAATTAAGAAATTTATTCTTTTTTTGACATCTGCACTACATGAGCTGCTGTTTACATGTGAACATTAGCTCATGACGATACCTAAGTACGTGTGTCGCCTGGACAGTCAACCTCGCTACATCCGTGTTGACTGGACATCTACACTATATGAGCTGCTGTTTACGAAGACCAGAGAACGAGAGCTGGTGGTGTACTCACAATTGGAGGAGGTCTCTGAGGCGGTGGAGGTGGATGCCAGGGTTTCGTCCTTATCTTAACCTTCGTGATCTCAGGCCAACGACGCTTAAAGCGTTGTCTTCTAAGCATAGCCCTGTACTCGGCTTCCCTATTCAAGGAAAGGAAAATATCGTTACGGCTACATTATAAATTGAGCGCGGCAAAAATAGCTATTCTTTGACTGGTCTCTGAATATAAGGGCTAAAAAATAAATGTTTTTTGTGCTGTCTTTGTAAATATGTTAAACCCATTATGGAACTGAAGTGAAGAACCAATAGCTATAAGATGTTTTTTGGGCACAAGTGCCTAGTGAGTTGATTCTTTTTTGTGATCTACTCGAGTTCTGTTCTGAATTAGTGTACCTGTTTAAGAGTATTTCACAGTGTGTGGAGAACCACTATGTAGCAGATTAATTAAAATATAGGGTGTCTTTGGTATAAACTTTGATGCACATACGTTTATCAGAAACTTGGGAGCAAGCAGGTCATGAAGTAGGTGCCTATAGTAAAACTTTATCCCTCTAATTACAAAACTCTTGGCTCGACCGGAGTGATACGGAGTCACAGAAAACCGGCGCGAAATTACCACTGCGTCGTGTTTCGCCGTGTGTGTGAGGTTACCGGAGGCCTAATCATTCCCCTCCCCCAATCCCTCCTCATTCCCTAAATCTCCAAATCCCTAATCCCTAAAAGGTCGGCAACACACTCGTAACTTCTCCGTTATGGGTGTCCATGGGCGGCGCTGATTGCTTACCATCAGGTGATACAACTGCTCGTTTGCAGGCCTATAACATTAAATAAAGTAAATTTATTCATTTCTTCATTTAGTCAGATTTTGAAATTTTCAATCTTTTTCTCTCCTACTTTCAATTCGAAATACAAAAACTGGCTCAATGGTTTAGACCTAGACTAAAGAACCCTTGTAGAAACCTTGTTTTGTAAAAGGCCGTTTGGGTTAGAACTAAGTACTAAGTTAAAATAAGGCCCATTTCCTCAACACAATACAACCAAAAACGATGGAAAGCTTATGCGCATTTTAGTTTCTGCAGGGAGAAAAAAGTCCACAACACACTGGGCCCTACAGGGCTGATGTTCAGCCGGGGTTGAGGGGCAAGCGAAATGAGACACCGCGGCCTTGGCCTAAATCAGGAGAAGGAACGAGGGTTTTTAATCAGTAAGAGTCTGACACTCTCTCTCGCCTGACCCTAGGAGGGATAATCCATTTGATGATTTTTCTCTCACTAAAAAAGGGAGAACAAAGACTTGAGTACTTGACTAGTTTGAAACGACTGGTTTATCATTTGATGATTTTCCCCTGACAAAAAACCTGTGTGTGATGTGTATGTGAAATTGTGTGTTCCTAAGAAGCAGAAGTATATATAAATATAAATACAGTAAAAGGGATCCGATATAAAAGGCAAAAAACTTACATCCATAACACCTTTCAATCAGTTGTATCTACTCCTCCCCTTAATCAGTTGTACTCATGCCCGCGCGAAGTAACTTCCAGAAGACCATATGGGTTTTACTTATAAAAATACTCACTCCCTAGCAATCTGCGAAGCAGTCTTGATCAGCTCCACGTCAGACATTTGCTCAGGGGAACCTTCATTTTCCATATTTAAGCTTGACTGTATTTCAATTTTATTTTTAGCATCTTTATCTGCAGATAATATTATCATTAGTGTTTTAGATTTCTATGAAACAATGATTTTTTTGTTGTAAATAGGCCATTAAACATTATCTGGACACGTCAAAACTATATGTAAAAAAAAAACTAGATGAAACCGGCATTTCTTATCCGACTACTCTGAGAAAAAATGCCAAAACAAACTCAGAGGTCCGTTAAAGAGACGGACCTCTTGCCAAGTCCAGACAATGTAAAAAATAATATAATGTGCGAGAACCGTGCAAGTTCATTCCGTAGTGGTCTTTTGAGGAAAGACCATACCAGTTTGAGTGGGCCCGTTCTACGCCAGTGTCAGTTTACAACCAGAAACTTACGGGTGAATTATAATACTCTTGAAAAAGACGTTAGTACGTCTCTCAAGAGAGTCACAGACCTCATTCCTAATGTCCTAACTGGTGTTGCACCGGAGTAAATCTATGAAGAGGATCCAGTGCCCTTATAAGTGCCAATGAAGACTATTCTCCTCACGTGGGGAAGGTTTGAGCATTAATCACAACACTTGTTCAAGGCGGATTGGCTGTCGGAAAGGTTTTGATTTGGTGAGAGACCTGCACTCTCTAGTCTTTCTTCATAAATAGCTAGAGGCTTTTTGAATTGTATCATCATAAGGTAGAAGTTAGGAGTATGTTGCACTCATTCTTTTGACTTGACCTTCGATCTACTGTCTTCCATAGCGGAAGGCAGTAGACCGAAGGTCTATGCCTCCCCTAATGATTACGACCTTCATCAGGGGTTCTTTCCACCTTGTGGACGAAGATACCATTTGTCTGCAGTTTGTCTCATTTTCTTCAAAATCCCTCTCGTCAGCCATTAACACTAGGGCACTAAGTGTGATAGAGCCAAGACGTGTAAGAGAGATTACCAGAGGCCTAATAAATCCCCTCCCCGACCCCTAAGTCTCTGAAACTAAAATCTCCAAAAGGCCGTCAACATGCTCGTAATTATTCCGGTTTGGCGTCAATGGATGGATTGCCGATTGCTTACCATCAGGTAATCCCTACGCCCGTTTCACATAAAAAACCATATTTTATAATCATTTTAACACAAATAAATAATAATGGTCATAATCAGAATTCCTATTTAGGGTATAAAAACGGATGTATTACCTCGTTGATCTGACTCCATTTTCGAATGGTCCTCAAGATTCGTAGATTTGGCTCCTGTAAAGAACAGATCATTGATGAGAACTAGATTCTAAAATTTTATTTACTTTAAACACATCAACAGCATCATAATTTGTAAGTATGGGAAAGCCATGCTTTGGCACGAATGGGTCGGCACCAAAGATGATCTAGATCCCTAATCCCCAAGGTCGGCAACGCACTCGTATCTCCTTCATTGTTGCAGGTGTCCATGGGCGGTGCTGATTGCTTAACATCAGGTAATTCATCCAATCGTTTGCCGACCTATCACATAAAAAAGCCGAAAATACGCCTATAAGCCCGCCGCAACCTTCCGGAACCGCTGCAACTCCTGTGCACCAGGATCTACAGTTGATACAACCATGAAAACACCGGAATATTAAAGTCCAGCTTGGCGCTTGGTACAAGCTGATGATGATGACGAAGTCACTAATAATAGCTCAGTAACATAAAGTTTATCCGCTTTACCTTTTTCCTTCATGTCTTTTTCTTTATCTTTTTCCTTCACTACTTTTTCTTTGTCTTTATCTTTCTCCTTCACATCTTTATGTTCTTTTTCTTTATCCTTTTCCTTCACATCTTTATTTTCTTTTTCCTTCACATCTTTATCTTTTTCTTTATCAGGTGCTTTTTCTTTGTCATGTTTATCTTCTTTCTTTTTACCTTCCGGCCCATCTCCTCCTGCCGCTGCAGATCTGAAAATAGGGAAAAAGTAAAAGGAAACCTTAATCATCACCAAGTTTGGGAGATCCATGAATCGGTCGTCCCGACCGGAGTGATATCACGAACTCACAGAAAGCCGTCGTGAAACACTCACAGCTTTGTGATACGCTGTGTAAATGATGTTACCGAAGGCCCAATGCTTCACCTCCCGCCATCCTCAATCCCCAAATCCCTAACTACCCATCAAAAAACCTGCGACGCATTTTTAACTCCTATGATATTATATACGTTTGTCGATTGCTTACCATCAAGCAATCTGTCTGCTCGTTTTCCAAGTACAAAAAAGGGACTGTCTAAAACGTCTAGTGTGGGAGAGCCAAGCTTCGGCACGAATGGGTCGGCTCGACCGGAGTAATACCACGGCCTCACAGAAAACTTACTTGAAACAACCACAGCGTTGTGTTTCGCCATGTTAGTGAGGTTACCGGAGGCTCCATCCCATCCCCTGCCCCTGTCCTTTCTCAATCCTTAAATATCTGAAACCCTTATCCCTAAAAGCCGGCAACGCACTCCTAACCCCTTTGGTGTTGCGGGTGTTCATGGGCGGCTCTGATTGCTTACCATCAGGTAATCCGTATGATCGTTTGCCGTCCTGCTTAACCTTTCAGATAATGAAAATAGTGTTATTGGTTATTATAAAATACAATGTAACTGACCTTGGTTTGCTTGCACTCATGACTTACATAGATTGAATCAACACACAGGATTATCTTCAAACTGTTTATTCTTAAAACGACATCTACACTTCTTAAAGATATATTTTTGATTTTTCCTACGTTTTTGCAATCTGAGAAAGAACAAAGATTTTGTAAGTAAGTACGTTCCTGCACGTCATCCGAATGCATCCGGAGAGATGGGCCACTATTTTGACCCAGTGGGCACCTCAGGATGGACGATAGAAATGACTTCTCCCGCCCAGGGTGAGGCGGGAGGGAGTGTCAGACTCTTACTGACTAAACCCCCCCCCCCCCCCGTTCCTTCTCCTGCTCTGGGCCGAGGTTACGGTGCCTCATTGCGCTTGCCCCGCAACCCGGCTGAACATCAGCCCTATAGGGCTCCGTCTGCGGTGGTGTATTGGCTCTTTGAGGCGCTCGCGGAACGCTACGTGCCGTACGCTCGGGTCTGGTTCTAGTCGGGCGGCGAGCTACTCTTACTCGCCGTCCGTAGCCGCATGCGTGCCTCGGAAAAGATGGCGTGACGATCTAGACGCCTATCGTCAAGACTGGTGCACACGGTCGAAAGATCGGGAGGTGTGGAAGTGAGATGGGGAGGCCTTTGTCTAGCATTAGGACTCTTTAGGCTTGTTACAACAACAACGTTCTTTACTATTTTATTACTAACTTTTGCCCGCGTGTGAATAGTAACTTCATGCAGATTTTTGGTATAAAAACTATCCTAAGTATGTCCTTTCTGGAGTTCCAAACTCTGTCTGTGCTAAATATCACAGAAATTAGTTCAGTAGTTTAGGCGAGAAGAAAAGGCAGACAGACAGACAGACATAAAGACAGTTACTTTCGCATTTATAATATTAGTTTGGATTTGGATAAAGTACCTGGATGACCGACCCGCCCCGGCTTTGCATCTCCGCATTAAATAGTGGAGAAATTTCTTCACTATTTAATGAATGGATGCTATTATTCATGTTAACCTTCCTCCTGTTTAACAAATCCGCCCCTAAGGCTACTTACTGACCAACCATTAAATTAAAAAACAAAATCCGTTGCGTAGTTTTAAGCATACATAGGGATATAGGGACAGAGAAAGTGACTTTGTTTTATACTATATAGTACTATGCATTGAAGTTTTCAAATCAGTCCCATTTCGTGTTAATAAATATATATTATTAGTATGGTACCTATAACTATAAGTATTTATTTAGCTTACCTTATTTTTTTTATATTTTGTATTTTTTAGCAAAATCTTATTATTTTAACATCACCACATTTCTTTATTTCGTGTCCATGGATTGACGCATATTTTTGTCTTCGTAATATTTTGTTCGATTTTATTTATTTTTTTAGTTTTTTTTTTTTAAATAAATGTGCCAAACAATTTTTGTACCATAAACTTTTTTGTAAGAAACCTAACATATCTGTAGATTATTTACTATTATTTTAAATTAAGTTATGTTATCGTTATTTAGTTAAAGTAGTAATTTAAGATCAATTTTCTCTTCATTAAAATTTTATCTTCATAAAATATTTAAACTGGAAAATCACTCTGATCAATAACGAAACGTAAAATCACCTGACCTTCATTCATAAATTTAATGTTGCCAATATTTAAATTTTACGAATAAAAGTGGTAAAGTGTATTTTAAGAAATCTACTATAATAAAGAAAGAAGTTACATCCATAGCTAAATACCAAAAATTCATTCAATTTCAAATCAATTGTTTTATAAAAACTTTCTTTGTTTTCACCATCACCTTTTCTTATATACAAATTCGGCTATCTACCGAACATAATGTGTTACTTACTACTTTATTACCTACAAACACATAATAGTGATTTGTCTTTAGTAGTAGTACTACTACTACAACAGGTTATTTTTGTTTCGTTAAATAGCAACACCGCTACTTTGCTGTCATGCGCTTCATTCATAGATCAAAGAATAGAAATTCCTAAAACGCATGACAGTTTGACAGTACTGTCATAAAAAAAATATTCTTTAATTAAAAACGTGATATTTAATTGTAAATAATCCTAAATTTAACAAATTAAACATGTCGGATAACAAGGAAGTTGATAAATCTAATGTCGACCCCGAATTGGACGATTTGCTTGAGAGTAAGTTGGTTTATTTTCGTATTTTTAACCATGGTCGTATTACACAACATTATAACCTGAGTTCTTATTAAAAATGTAAATAAAATGGTATTTATTGTCTTCAAGGACGAAGCGGAATATTAACTATGCGTGTTCTTTGAACTATGAGGTCTTTATTAACGTGCAATTAGAAATTTAAAACTGACGCAATTGACAATATTATTTTAAGACTGATAGAAAAAATATTTTATTTCTTGTTTTTTTTTAATATTTTCATGTTCATTGTATTGTAGAATTAATTGAAATTGATGTTTTTAACTTATGAATTGAAATATTATCGCAAAATTGTATAAGTACTTATTTGACACAGAAATCATTTTTTTCTTATCTAAGCCTGAACTTTTTGGTGTGTCTGAGACTTAAAACCTACCAATTACACTGTCTACTGAACATGACAATGTCAACATCATCAATCATGATGTAAAAAATGTTCCAATTATCGATGTCTGAGTGTGTGACAGACAGGACACAGCTGTAGCTACTTCGTGTAGCAAGCTTTGTGACATGTAATTCATAATTCATTTATTCACTTTTAAATAGAGTACATACAATTGATGACTTACATGTTATGTTATTTGTTCTTATATTCTATTTAGCCAGGTTTTGGCATGTGAACTTTAAATGGAAACATAATCTTCTATCTACTTTAGTCTAAAAAATACAAAAATTTAAAGTCAGTTTATTACTAATTAAAATGTCCAAACAATATTATTAAAGTCATATTACATTTTATAGAATCTATTTTATCTACTGAAACCATTCATTTATCGAATATAACATTTTCTTTAACAGCAGGTCTTTAAGGATTTTCTTAAATTTCGATAATGGAAGATTTTGGATATCATGTAGTAGTGGTAGAGGGCTGTATTAAAGGTACAGTAGGTAATAAAAACTATGCAAGCACTCTACTAAGATGGGAATGTTCTTATCAGAGTGTTTAACACAATCTTTTTGCCAGGTAGACAACAAATTTATTTTTGTAAATTCCATATCATAGGATAGACGGTCTTATAGTAAGTAGGCTCTTAATAATATAATAGGTAGCTTTTTTTTTATTAATTTACTAGCTTTTGCCCGCAACTTCGTTCGCGTAGACTTCAGGTTCGTCCCGTCTAGTCTAGTAATAAGTAAGAAATACGGTAACTAAGTACTGCAGGGCCCTAACCATAGGTCTATAGGTAGCTACTCCAGCGTTTATAAACCTCAAAAATTGTAGCCTATGTGTTATTCTGATGTATAAGCTATAATGTGGTAAAGTTTCATTCAAATCCATTCTGTAGTTTTTACGTGAAAGAGTAACAAACATCCATACATCCATACTTACAAACTTTCGCCTTTATAATAGTAGTAGGATTATAATAGTAGTAGGATTAAAAACAGTTACATAATAAAACTTATCGAATAAAGTATTAAAACTAAATTAACAATCATGCAACCCATACCATTATCCACAAATTAACAAAAGAAAAGAAAAAGAAAGTATGAAAATTGTTATACTGAAAAAATAAAATAATAATAATTAAATATGTAAAGGTACTTAGGAGATTGGCGGTTGATTGATTAGCCCATAATTACAATTTCAGACAGAAGTTTAACAGCTTCTAACTTTTGATTTTCTTTCTGAACTGTAAAACACAAAGCATGCTGTGTTTACCTTTAATTATATGTGTAATAACATTCTTCTAAGCTTACCAAACATAAGCAATGATTAGCTGTCACATCTATTGGTTAACACATCCAGTGCCCCCGACGCGTATGTGCGTTTCCTTACGCTAACGTGTGTGCCCTCGACGCACCTGTGCGTTCTATACATTAATGGATGTGTTAACCATATATAAATAAACATTCTAATACAGAAGGCTCAATCCTACTGGAGGCCAAATCCTACTACAGGACCAATACTTTCCCTCCCCCAATCCGAATTCTCCAAAATCCTCATCCATTAGTGTCAAGGACTTGTCACCTTATGACAATCTCTCCCAGTCAATCTTATGGTATTTTAGAGAGCAGAGAAAAGTTGATAGGTGGGTAAACAAGTAAATGATGGTGAAACCTGATGGTAAGCAATTAGCGCTGCCCATGGACACCTGCAATGATAGAGGAATTATGAGTGTGTCCGAACTTTTGGAGATTTTGGGATTGGGGAGGGTTTGGGTCTCTGGTAACCTCACCAACATGGCGAAATATAATGCTGTGGCTGTTTCACGCCGGTTTTCTGTGAGGCCGTGGTATCACTCCGGTCAAGCCAACATATTCGTACCAAAGCATGGCTCTCCCACTCCCACAGTTATCATTTCTTTTATTACTTATAGGCTGGCTTTTGCCAGTAGTTTTAAAGTGAATTAGTCACAAACATCCATCCTTACATACTCACTCTCGCATTTACATAACAAGTGGGATTGAGTCTTCATGACCTTTGAACTGTGTCTCCATTGTGTATAATTTACATTCAAATAGGTGCAACATTGACTACATATTTTATTTAGAGGTCATTATGTTAATTGCCTACTATTATTTGTGCTTTAAAGTGTCATTAAATAGGAAATAAGTCAAGTTTGCGAACGGCGAGCTAGCCTCAAACAGCGAATAGACCACCATAGACGGGACCCAACATTGCCAATGCTTAGCCTAGGCCGCGGGTCGAGCGTGATAAGGTACCCGGCCTGGAGCAGGAGAAGGAGGGACACTCCCTCTCGCCATACCCTAGTCGAGAGGAGTCCTCCATAAAAAGAAGTAGCAATAAAAGTTTAGGTAATGAATCTATTGAAAACTAGCTACCCACTTATCGACAGGTATTCACCTATTTTCAGAGTTCCTTTTTCTTGATTTTTTCCTCTACGTATCTAAAATATTCTTTCATAGAAGTATTTTCGTGACGATATGGAACACAACATAAAAAGAATACGGTAGTTTCCAACTAGTCAAATTCAATACTTTTATCCAAATGTCAAAAACTATACTTTTCTATGAATTTTGTATGAAAAACTGAGTTATAAAACGTCATAGTATTTTTGCGTCAAATAGCTTACTTATTTCTTAATAATTAGCTACAAAATCTAAAACTCACAACCGGTTTCCGAAAGGCCGATCAATGTTAAAATCAATTTAATCTCTTGTCAAGTCATCTGATTGGTTGACTGAATTATATCAACAAGAATCATGAACAGCGCGCGTTTTGCGGCGCCTGCGAATTCGGGCAGCCGAAAGTTACTGTTAAGTGTTAACTGAGATATTATAATTAAGTTATACAATTCAATAACATATTTATTTTCTGTAAGGCCGTGCTATCACTCCGGTCGAGCCGACCCATTCGTGCTTCGGCACGGCTCTCCCACACTTATATTAGTCCTTATACTGATGCTAATCAATTATATTTTCCAGGTGCTCTCCAGGACATGACCAAGAAGCCAGCCGGTACAGTGGCTGAGGGGTCCAGCGATGTTCCATCAAACATGTGGAGCGAAGAATTCATAAAGGAGGCAGCGGCGCAATTTGAAAGCAACATGTCAGCTATTCTTAGCAGCTTTAGCGGCGTACCAGGTGAGAACTGGTGACTGTACCGTTGGTGCTGTGGCTGGGCAACTGGTTGCAACGCAATTTATTTATTTTAGTAATAACATTTAGTTCTTATAATTAAAGATCCTCGCCAAACATAACGCTTAACGGCGAGAAGCGCTCATTTGTTTTACTTACTAGCTAATTAAGTACTTTATATAACATTAAAAAACAAAACTAAAATCAAAACAAAAATAAAAAATACACATTATAAAGGATAATCATTAAAGAATGCATTGCCTATGCTCTCTTGAGCAATTCTCCCCTTAGCTTCTTCTTCAACATAAACAAACTCACTTTATTTTCCTCTCTCAATATATCTATTTTATCGAATATTTTTGGCACTATCTATGTGTGATACAAAAACTGTTGTACCAGGTGTAAGTGTAGTGTGTATGTGAAACTGTATGTTTGCAAACGCGCCCATGTCACTGGAGAAATTCCTAGAGTGGGGCAAGTTTTTTTAAAAAAAGAAGAAAGAATTTTTGTAATTAACTAGCTTTCCCCTACGACTTGGCCCCTGGTATGTTGATAAAAAGCCTATGTGTTAATCCAGGGTATAACCTGTCTACATACCCTGTCACCTGTATCAGTTTACAAATCGTATAGATATCACCTGTCTACAAATCGGTCCAGCCGTTTTTGAGTAAAAAGTTAACAAACACATTAGTAGGGTTTTTTTTTTGTGAGTGGAAAATCATCAAACGACTTCTCCCGCCCAGGGCCGGGCAGGAGGGAGTGTCAGACTCTTACTGACTAAAAACCCCTGTTCCTTCTCCTGCTCTGTGCCGAGGTCGCGGTACCTCATTGCGCTTACCCCGCAACCCCGGCTGAACATCAGCCCTTTAGGGCCTCGTCTGTGGTGGTCTAATGGCTCTTTGAGGCGCGCGCGGAACGCTACGCGCCGTACGCTCGGGCCTGGTTCTGGTCGGGCGGCGAGCTGCCCTTACTCGCCGACCGCAGGCCCGTGCTTACAGTGGCCGGAGATCGTCCCTCGATCCCCGACGCCCGTAGTGTCGCCAGTTGCGGCTGCTGGGGCGTGAGGAGGAGGATTGCTCCCTCACGCGGGCCGCCTCTCTCTTTGCGAGCATGACTGCTTCACAAAAGGAGGAGACGGCGTCCCAGTTCCTCTCACTCCGCACCATGGCCTCGACTAAGGCCGGGCGCGAGAGGTCGCCGCCGCCGATCACTTCCCTGAGGATACGGCGCTGAAACACATTAGTAGGATAATAAAGGCTACCGTATGTTTACTTGACAGATGGCGTTAATGGCGTCGTTAACGCAACAGGTGATATTGTCCCATCACTGCATCTGTCAAAATTCTACATCTTATTGAGTAGTTTCCTAGGTCAAAAAAAAATCGACGTTTCAAAATTTTATTTTCGATATTTAGCAATTTTTTTAGAAATAAGTTAACAAGCTATAGCTATCGTTTCATACAAATCTCATAGAAAAGTATCGTATTTAACATTTGGAAGAAAGTATTGAATTTGACTAGTTGGAAACTACCGTATTGTGTGAAACTAGCTTATTTCCTGTTGCACGAAAAGACTGCAGACACTGGCGCCATCTGGTGAATTACAAAATTTATATGTCATATAGGTTGATGATGTGATATTTTTAGAGTAGTCTCATCTGATTTTTTTATATAGTTGATGCTTAAAAGTTCTTTCTCCCAACCAATTGACAAAAAGGGAATCTAAAATTTTGTTTCTTTATTTTTTCAGAGGACCAAATAACACAGGAGCAGATTGCGCAGACATTTACAAAAATGGCCGGTATGTATATTCACCTAACCCAATCCTTCCCCCCTCCCACCTCATCCAAAATCCTCTATGTCTAAATCAACCAAATGACGGCAACCTTTTATACTTAACTACAAACTTGACTTCCATGAGTATGGTTAACTTGTAAAGTTAATTTTGATCCCAAAAACCCTGTATACATCTTTTTTTGTGAGGGGAAAATCATTGAATGTCATGAATCAGTGTCAGACTCTTACTGATTAAAAACCCCCCCTGTTCCTTCTCCTGCTCTGGGCCGAGGTCGCGGTGCCTCATTGCGCTTACCACGCAACCCCGGCTGAACATCAGCCCTATAGGGCCCCGTCTGTGGTGGTCTATTGGCTATTTGTGGCGCGCGCGAAACGCTACGCGCCTATCGCTTGGGACCCTGTATACAGCTGGGGTTGCGAATCAACCGTAATAAGGTACCGCGGCCTCGGCCTAGAGCAGGAGAAGGAACAGGGGGGTTTTTAGTCAGTAAGAGTCTGACACTCCTTCTCGCCGTGCCCAGGGCGACAGGAGTCATTTTGATGATATTGATCGTCCCCAAATATAAACAGTTTTAAACAATTTTCGTTGTGGTTTTTTAAAACTAATTAATGTTGCTATACCTGACGATAGTTATCTATACTAGTATTATAAAGAGGTAAAATTTGTAAGTTTGTATGTAGGGGGTAATCTTTGGAACCGCTGGTCGGATTGCCAAAATTCTTTCACTGATAGATACATAGTTACAATATTCCTGAGTTCTACAGGCTATAAAACATCACGCTACGATTAAATAGAGCCAAGCAGCGAGTGCAACCGCGCGGGAGTAGCTAGTTTTACATAAAAATGATGTGCGTTTTATTACTTTCAGAGGCAGCAGCTCATGTTTTAAAACCTGAAGGGTCTACCGAGGAAGCTGGTGTTCCCTCGCCGCCGACAGTCGACCCTGAAGTGCAAGGAAATATAGATGAGGTGAGGAACCCTAATTAAGGATGCAGGAAACCGCTGGATGGTGATCAATCTGGTTGTTATCAGGGGTGGTGATGGAAGACCATCGTCTCCCTAATCCCTAGGTGACCATTTTTGAGTATAGGCACAGCTGAGCGGCTCAGCGGCTTACCTGATGGTAAGCAAACGTCGAGGACAGACTTTCAGCTAGGTGAACCGACGACATCATCAGAGTCGCAACTAGTGGCAACTGGTCGATCGACGTGGAGGACTAATAAGGAGGCGTTTGTCCAGCAGTGGACGTCTTTCGGCTGATGATGATGTGATGATTATAAAGCAATTGGCAAAGCACGTCCAAAGGAGTTACTAGTGCGTTGTCGATCTTTTCGGAGATATCGGATTTGGGAAGGGATTGGGCCATCGTTAACCTCACCCACACGGCGAAACACTACGCTGTCGTTGTTTCACGCCAGTTTTCTGTAAGGCCGTGGTATCACTCCGGTCGAGCCGACCCATTCGTGCCGAAGCTTGGCTCTCCCACACTTAACGTATGATGCATATCTTGTTTCAGGTATCGGCAGCAATATCACAGACTCTGAAAAATTTGAACACAAACTCTGAAACACTGAATACTCCTTTCTCTGACCAGGACCTAGCCAGTATGTTCAATAATATCACTCTCGGTGAAGGCCAGGTAAGAAAAGGATATTTTAAATCTTAATAATGAATGATCAAAACTAATATTATAAATGCGAAAGTAACTCTGTCTGTCTGTTTTTTCTTCACGCCTAAAACAAACATAGTTTGGAACTCGAGAAAGGACATAGGATAGTTTTTATACCTAAAATCTGCAGGAAGTCACTATTCCACGCGAACGAGAGTCGCGAGCAAAAGCTAGTACTATATAATTAGGGTTTATTAAAAAAAATCATATAAGTATTTTTTTTTTATGTGATAGGTCGGAAAACGAGCAGACGGATTACCTGATGGTAAGCAATCAGCGCCGCCCATTGACACCCGCAACGGAGGATTTACGAGTGCGTTGCCAACATTTTAGGGATTAGGGATTTGGAGATTTATTGAGGAGGGATTGGGGAGGGGAAGGATTGGGCCTCCGGTAACCTCACTCATACGGCGAATTGCAATTGTGTGCGCAGCGCAAAATGCGCTGTGTAATTCACGCCGGTTTTCTGTGAGGCACCGACACCGGTCGAGCTGACCCATTCGTGCCGAATCATGGCTCTCCCACACTTTTGGTGTGAGCGCCGACACGAAAATCTCTTGTTTCAGATCCTTGATATATATTTATTTAATTGTATAAACATTTTTTATGTGATAGTTCGTTAAACGCGCGAACGGATCACCTGATGGTAAGCAATCAGCGTCGCCCATGGACACCCGCAACAACGGAGAAGTTAAGAGTGCGTTGCCGACCTATACAAAACTTTGTCTGACTTTCTTTATAACTTCATTCTTATTCTATTTCAGCAAGAAGGCAATATGTTTGTACCTTTCATGCAAGGAATGATGCAGTCACTCCTCTCAAAAGAGGTCTTGTACCCCTCACTGAAGGACCTCGTCGATAAATACCCGGCGTGGCTCGCCGAAAACAAGGGAAAGATCGAACAGAGTGAATATGAAAGGTGAGAAATTTTATATAATTTTTAACCGACTTCCAAAAAGGAGGAGGGATTCGACCGTATATATGGTTTTTTATATTATATATACCATAGGTAGCACATAGAATTGATAGTCTTTTATTATTAATATTAAAAGTATTAGCTTACTTTTTGTAGATACTTTTTTGTTTTTGAAGTCGGTTTTTTTAAAAGTAGTTTTTTTTTATATAGGTATAATACCTATGAAATTGCCGTTTTGCATGAAAAAATTTAAACGAATTTTTTTATTTGAAATGCGATGAAAATGTAACACTAATCAATAAACAAATGACTACTTTTGGAAAAAGAATCCCATGTTTTTGAAACAAAGTTAATTAGCCTTAGCCTAACAAAAACTATTTTGATTTGAAATGGCCAGTACTGCAGAACGGCAATTTCATAGGTAAAGACTTATTATTAAGTATTACTAGCTACTCTCGCGCGGTTTCACCCGCTGCTCGGCTTCTACAGATCGTAGCGTGATGTTTTATAGCCTAAAGCCTTCCTCTATAAATGCTCTATATAAACACAAAAAGATTTTATCAATTCGGACCAGTAGTTTCTGAGATAAGCGCGTTCAAAAACTCTTGAGCTTTATAATATTAGTATCGATTAGGTTTGTTTTTTCCTCTCATGGGACCACAAGATCCCGGACCTTTGGAAGGCGTACGAGGGGCCGAAGCTAACTCACAGAGTCCCGTTGAATAACTTTAATATTAGTGAAATGGGACATCAGCCGGCAATACGGTAGTTTCCAACTAGTCAAATTCAATACTTTTATCCAAATGTCAAAAACTATACTTTTCTATGAAATTTGTATGAAATACTGAGTTATGACGTCATAGTATTTTTACGTCAAATAGCTTACTTATTTTTTAGTGTACTGATCGATCGATGAATGAAAGTATACTTCATTTTCAATATTTTATTGCATTGAAACGTCGAATTAATTTATTTTTGACCTAGGAAACTACCCAATTGTCCCTGTATGCACTATGAAAGTGCACCCAAGGACAATTCCCGGCTGATGCAGGACTATTGTGCAATATGGCAGAAATAAAATCCTCATTCCTCTTCCAGGTTCGAGAAGCAACAGAAGTTAATGGAACTGGTGTGCGCTGAACTGGAACCTGAACAAGAGTCAGATCCAGATGATGTGAAGAGAAAGAGATTTGAAATCGTACTTGATTTAATGCAGAAAGTAAGTACCTATATTTGACATTAAATTTGCATGATGAACAGATTTTTTTGAAGTGAAAACTTCTTTAGCGGCGCTGAGCACTTTTTGTATGGGTAAAAACTTTCAAACTCGCGTCAGGGTCACGTGATGCTAGCTCGCCGCCCGACCAGAACCAGACCCGAGCGTACGGCGCGTAGCGTTCCGCGCGCGCCTCAAAGAGCCAATACACCACCACAGACGGGGCCCTATAGGGCTGATGTTCAGCCGGGGTTGCGGGGTAAGCGCAATGAGGCACCGCGACCTCGGCCCGGAGCAGGAGAAGGAACAGGGGGGTTTTTTAGTCAGTAAGAGTCTGACACTCCCTCCCGCCCGGCCCGGGGCGGGAGAAGTCATTGGATGATTTTCCCCTCACAAAAAAAAGGGTCACGTGATGCTGATCGAAAAAGCGTAAGATCGAGGGGAAGGGAGAGGAACTAATATCTCCCACTCTTTCTACCGTGCCTGAGTGTACTGCACCGTTTAGGCGGCACAGGGCGCATGCGCGACAGTCCGCGTGTGTACAGCGTGCCACGCGTATCCAAGTGTGGGAGTGCCATACTTCGGCACGAATGGGTCGGCTCGACCGGAGTGATACCACGGCCACACAGAAAACCGGCGTGAAACAACCAGTCTTGTGTTTCGCCGTGTGAGTGAGGTTACCGGAGGCCCAATCCTTCCCCTTCCCTAATCCCTCCCCAGTTCCTAAATCTCCAAATCCCTAATCCCTAAAAGGTCGGAAACGCACTCGTAACTCCTCCGTTGCGGGTGTCCATGGGCGGCGCTGATTGCTTACCATCAGGTAATCCGTCCCGTTTGCCGACCTATTACATTAAAAAAAAAGGATACAGGTGACAGCTGATGGCTTGACTATTGTGTATTCGTATATGTGAATTGTTCAAATTATGGAAATTGAAAAATTGCACCTATGAATGAAAAAAAATATGATGAAGTAGTGAAAGAAAATGAGTGCTCGTACTTTATAAATACACTACCTAGATGAAAAACTCTTACTCGGCTTTAGCTCGTAACTGCCGTCAATTACAATTACAATTTTACAATTACAATTTTTTATTTCAATAACTTATATCTACTACAATGACAACTTACATAGGGGTCCCCTTTTAAGTAATAAAATTACCTGTGCTAGGAGACCCCGCTCTTCATAACTAGGAAAAAAAACAGTAAGTAGTAGGTGCGTTATACATTTAAACCTTTTTTATAAGTAATAATTAGAAACTTATAAATAAGTGTAAAGTAGGGAGTGTGGGTAAGTGTGTGTGTGGTGTGTGTGTGTGAGCGTGTGTGTGTGGGTGTGTCTGTATGAATAAATGTATGTTATCTGTATGTGCATGTATGTTGTATTTAGGTTCTTCTTTTATAATATATATGGTCTAAGTAACAGTTTTAAGAAAGTTTTCTATGTCATCATACGTTTTTGTTTTCAGCCAGCATATAATAGATTTTTTACATTCATGATAAGTTTTAGGAAATATATTTAGTATTTTATTTAATTTATTATAGAGTTCAGCGGATTGTCTAGTGTACTGTCTCTTTGCGAATGCTGTTTTAACAGGGGCTAAAGTTGCAACAAGGTATTTTCTTCTTTTTTTGTTATGATCTGGGTTAAAGGTAAGTGTTTTATGGAGTTTTAGAATAATGTGAAGTATGTATAATTTCCTAACGCTGAGAAGACCGCTCAGTGAATAAAGATCTTCCGTAGGATATCTGTATGGCTTAAAATACATGACTTTCACCAGAGATCTTTGTGCTCTCTCTAGTTCAAGAAATTTTGTTTTTGTACAACCTCCCCAAACAGGTAAACAGTACATCAGTATTGACTGAGCGAGTGAAATATATATTTGATTTAGAAGAGAACTAGTGGTTAAATGTCTTAATTTCTTAAAGAGCCAGATTAGTTTTCTAATACGAGAGGTAATTGCTTCTATGTGAAAGTGCCATGATAGTCTTTGATCCACTATAACTCCCAGATATTTAATGTTCGATACTTTTGTGATTTTAGGACAGGAACAATCTTTGCTGAAAATATTATTACAACTATGAATCTTTAAGAAATAATTAGGTCCCGGTTGAGTATTGTTGTATTTTGTAAAAGCAATATATTTTGTTTTATCAGTGTTTAGAGTGAGTGAATGTGAGTTTAACCATATTGCAATTTTTTCGAGACCCATTTCAGCAGACTGATATGTAGATTCCCGTGTATCATTTGAGAAAATAACTGCTGTGTCATCAGCATATGATAGTAGGCGCCCACCCTCAAGTTTCATGTCACAAAGGCTATTAATGTAGACCAGAAAGAGGGTTGGGCCTAACACGCTGCCCTGCGGAACACCAAAACTCACATCCAACTCACCACTGACATAATTTCCTACCTTAACACATTGCTTTCGACCCTGAAGGTAGTCTATTAGTAATTTCAATGGGATTCCTCTTATGCCAATATTTTGTAAGCTATTTACAAGAATGGGAACAGACACGGTATCAAAAGCTTTTTTTAGATCCAGGAAAACAGCTAGACATCGTTTTCCTGAATCCACTTGATCAGCAATATAAGAGGACAGTGCTAAAATTGCATCCTCCGTTGATAAACCATGCCTAAAGCCGTATTGAGATCGTGATAAAATATTAAATTTAGTAGTGTAGTTGATAAGTTGGGTATTTAACAGTTTTTCCAAAATTTTTGACATAGCTGGTAGAACCGAGATAGGTCTATAATTACTAACGTCGTCTCTGTTACCACTCTTGAACACAGGTGTGATAATACCTTTTTTTAATGAAGCTGGAAAAATGCCCTTAGTGAAGCATAGGTTTACAAGATGTGTGATTATAGGCACAATTATTTCATGAGCATATTTAAGGAATTTAGTAGATATATTGTCCCAACCAGGGGCACTTTCTGATTTAAGGCTCATTAACACACTGTACACCTCTCTTTGGTCAGTCTCTAATAATACGAATGATGACAGTTGTGCATTACCCTGTTCGGTGCAACTTTGTAGTGGATTTTTATCTAATATCTCTTGAGCTAGAGTTTTACCAACATTTGAAAAGTACTCATTAACCTTATTTACAGATTCAAGTGGGTTTTGTTTAATACTTAGTAGTTCTAGATTGGTAGTTTTAATTGGTTTACGATTTGTAATATTATTTATAGCATTCCATGTCTTCTTTGTATTTTTATTTGCATTTTCTATTAGTTCTTTATTGTATTTTCTTTTCAGTTTCTTAATTATGTTATTACAGTGGTTTCTGTACCTCTTATACGTGATTTTTAAAGTTACATTGTTTGGATCAAGGCGTAATTTCCTCTGCATGTTATTTCTGTTATAGATACAACGTAGTACTCCCAAAGTAATCCACGGCTTAATTATACGACAATTCCGTGGGACTATTTTAGTGATAGTGTTCTGTAAAAGACAGTATTGAAGTTTATCTGTAAGGGTATTAGTTAATAACAATGGGTCGTGAATAGAAAGTAATTCAATGACTTGACTTTCTTTTAGGGAAGTCAGAGCTCCCTCCATATCAATGAGTGATTTGATCTTTGAGCAATTTTGAGGTATAATATTATTTGATAATTTTAAAAAGATCATGAAATGGTCAGTTATCGTTGTGTCCAGAACAAAAATAGCTGCAGTTTTCTTTATTTTATCCATCTTTAAGACGAAGTGATCTAAGCAATTTTCACCTCGAGTTGGTAACGAATGTCCAGGTAAGTAACCTTGCATAGCCAGCATGTTAAGATATGAGTTTCGATTTGTACGCTCATTTGATTGTTCATTTGTTTTGCTAATAATATTTATATTTATGTCGCCTGTTATAACTACATTGCCGTGTGATTTTATGGAATCAAGGTGAATATTGAGTGATGTTATGAAGTTATCAGCATTGTTGTGTGAGGGAGAGCGATAGATTCCAAGGACTACGAGGTTTGGCATGATTACTTGGAGGCAAGATGCATGAGTTAAAAATATCTCTTTTACACTTGCTTTATGCGTGTTTTTAATATAAACTACAACCCCATCACAGCGATTTATATGGTTACTGGTAGAATACGACATGTAATTACTCAATGTAGGAATAGGTTTGTTGGGATCTAATCTACACTCCGTTAGAATAATTAGATCGATACTAAATTTAAACTGATTTAAAGTAATTTGGAAGTCATCTAGATTGCTATATATACTTCTGATGTTTTGTGAGACGATTGTGAAATCTGTGTTTCGTACAACAATATGTTTCAAAAAGTCTTCAAAATGAAACTCACTACATTGTGCAATACTAATATCGTCTATTTCTTGCATCATTGTATGTATACTATCCATTGTTATGAGTCATATAAAGTGCAGAAGGCGACAACCATCTAGAGCGACAGTTTACATAAAGTTTTTGAAGTACGTGGATTAAATATACAACAAAAAACTTTAATTTCCCACTATAAGAAAGGTCTGAATTGTTAATTAACTTCCTATTATAATGTAATTTTATATCCTTTACTGTATTTAAACTTACCTTGTTACAAACATAGTGTGAGTATTGGTGTGTGACCAGATATGAGGTGAATGTATTGCGTATGTGTGGAGTGTGAAGAAACATAAAGACAACTAATACAATAATATTATTAATCAAAAAAGTTAGTTTCAATATTCTATAATTAAGGGTTAGAACAGTTTTCGCGGAGACATTCTCTTGTAAACAATTTAGTATGAGTAATAAGTACATCTGTAAATAATATGTATATAATACCTGTAGTCAAATTTTTTGCATCATGCCTTGTATTTGATATTCAGATGTAATAACGGTGGCGGGAGATTCGTCATCCTTTTTAACATAAACCTTCCCGTAAGCCGTCCAACAATACTTATATCTTTTAGCCTTTACGAGATCTCTAGCCAGGAAGTGCAGGCGAGCTCCTTTAGATGTAAGCTGCTCCGAGACAAAGATGGGGGTGTCTTCATTGGTCTTCAAACCCAGATGTTTCGCACATAGCTTTATTTTGTGATTAAAATTATGAGCCTTACACATTTTAATAAATTCAGCTTTCAAAATAGTTGATGAAAATTCTATTATTATTGGAGTGTTTATTGACTTCTGTTTATTTCCCTTTATTCTATATATATCTTTTATATCAGACTTGGAAACTTCACAGTTTATATTTTTGGACAGGCATAATACCATATTAGTAAGGTCCTCTTTATTTTCCTTAATTTGTTTCGGTACATTTTTCAATTCGATATTAGACTTTCGAGTAGTTCTTTGTAGATCTTCGATTTTTTCTTCCAATAAGCTAATATACTCTTTGTCCTTTTTCGCCTCACTTTCCATTTGTTCTATTTTTTTCCTGAAGTCTTCATTCTGCGCAGTGAGACTAGCCACAGCACTCTCTATATTCGAGTTAGTCTGTTTTATTTCTAAGAGAGTTGGAGTTATTCTTTTAAGTTCGTTTTCTTGAGCTAGCAACATTTTTTTCATCGTCAAGAAAACCACCTGTAAGCTATTTTTTAATTTTCTTTACGTATAAACCGTCTCTGGACTTCCACGAATAATTCAAGACGAAATATAGCCAAATGGGTAAAGGCATTGTTGAGTTATAACATTACAACGAAAAGTGACATTGATTGTTATATAAACGGTGAGACAGTATTCAGGGGTGGAGCTGTTCTGAATCCACTCCCAGCAATATGCTCGGTACCGAGCGTTAAGGCGCGTAGCGTTCCGCGCGCGCCTCGAAGAGCCAATCGACCACCACAGACGGGGCCCTAAAGGGCTGATGTTCAGCCGGGGTTGCGGGGTAAGCGCAATGAGGCACCGCGACCTCGGCCCAGAGCAGGAGTAGGAACAGGGGGGTTTTTAGTCAGTAAGAGTCTGACACTCCCTCCCGCCCTACCCTGGGCGGGAGAAGTCATTTGATGATTTCCCTCACAAAAAAAGCAAGCGGTAGAAAGCTATTGTGGATCGACAGGTGTAGATGAGTCAGTTTTCGCCGCATTGGAATATGCGGCGTATGCATAAGATCACATGCTTTTCAACAAATCAGCGCCATCTGCCGGGGTGTTTTGTGAATTTATACCATCCAGAGCGCCACTCTAGGGCATACAGAAAAAATCATTTAAATTGGTCAAGCCGTTTAGGAGAAGTTAAATGACATACACACGTACAATAGAATTATATATCACTAGCACTCTCGCGTGGTTTCACCCGCTGTTCGGCTCCATTTGATCGTAGCGTGATGTTTTATAGCCTATAGCACTCAGGAACATTGTAGCTATCTATCAGTGAAAGAATTTTGGCAATCCGACCCGTGGTTCCAAACATTACCCCCTACATACAAACTTACAAATTTTACCTCTTTATAATATTAGTATAGATAAAGATTGTTGCCAATCAAGCACCAACTTATTAATGTAACAAAGAATCTGTTTATATAACTGATTGAAAAAGAGTAACCATGGAGTTTCTTGCTCGTTCTTCTCCATAGGAATCTACACTTTGGAACGAGCAAATAGCTTCACTAGAGGACTGACCGACAGACTAACACTTTATATATTTTAAGCTTTATTTGATGTTCAAAAGTGCCTGTCAGGGTCTAATTTATTAAATAAATTGTTTTGACTGTGATTACCTGATGGTAAGCAATCAGCGCTGAACATGGACACCCGCAACATAGAAGAAGTTACGAGTGCGTTGCTGACTTTTTGGGGATTAGGGATTTGGAGATTTAGGGATTAGGGAGGGGAGTATGTACACAACGCTGTAATTGTGGTTTAGTTTTTTATGGTATAAAAAATTCGTTTATTCGCTATTATTTATGACATTTAAAGCATATAAATATATTTCTTTGTCCCTTTCTTCCACAGATGCAAGATCTAGGTCAGCCCCCCACTGAGCTGGTTGGAGATATGGGCCCCCCTCAGGGATTTGCTGCCCCGGCCGTCCCAGACGCGGCGCAGTGCAGTATTATGTAGTAAAACAAATACTGGTAACATAACATTGAACTAATCAATTATATTACAATTATAATGTTAACCACATGCATTTTTTCTTTTCAAAATATTTTGAAAAATTTAGCTACGGCAGTGTGCAGGATCGTTGGTCTCGTCTTTACTCGTATCCCAAATTCCCAATAAAATACGTCTTGTGCTTTACAAAAATTATAATTCGACTTTTTTACATGGTTACAAAAACTTATTACAACGACGACGATAAGGGAAGAGACAGTTCGGAAGTAGATGGCGCCGGAAACGATCGGGCTGTCAAACGATTTGATTTCGCGCACATTTGGTCACTAGATGGCGACACATATTTGTCACTCCACAATTGGGTAGTTTCCTAGGTCAAAAATAAATTATTTCTACGTTTCAATACAATAAAATATTTGAAAAATAACTATACTTTTATTCATCGATCGATCGATAAACTAATTTTTAGATTTTTTAACTAATTATTAAGAAATAAGTAAGCTATTTGACGTAAAAAAGTTATGACGTCATAGCTCAGTTTTTCATAGAAAATTATAGTTTTTGACGTTTGGATAAAAGTATTGAATTTGACTAGTTGGAAACTACCGTATGCCCAAAACACAGTATGACGATAGATGGCGCGAACAGGCAGCTAAATGTTTCTGTTTTACGAAAAAAATCAAATCAAATTCTTTATTTCAAATAGACTACAACAGGCATTTTTTAACGTCAAGCTAGAAAATATCATGTATAATTTTAGTGACTTCTTGCAGATTTTTTATGTCTATGTCCTTTCTCGAGTTCCAAACTATGTCTGTACCAAATATCACAGATATCGGTTCAGTAGTTTAGGCGTGAAGAAAAGACAGACAGACAGACAGAGTTGCTTTCGTATTTATAAGTTTGGATTTGGATTAGCGTACGGTAATAGACTACTAGCTTCAGCCCTCGGCTTCGCCCGCGTGGTATGTTTATACGTCCTCTAGTGAAGCTATTTGATCGTTATTAAAGATTATTTATTATTTATTAAAGATTATCCCCTACATACAAACTTACAAAGAGAGAGACTAGCTTTTGCCCGCGACTCTGTTCGCGTAGAATAGTGACTTCCTGCAGATTTTTGGTATAGAAACTATCCTATATCATTTCTCGAGTTCCAAACTATGTCTGTACCAAATATCACAGAAATCGGTTCAGTAGTTTAAGCGTGAAGAAAAGACAGACAGACAGAGTTTAGATTACCTTCGCATTTATAATATTAGTTTGGATTTTAATTTTGAATTTAATTTCTCAACTATCTACATACCAAATTTCAACCAAATCGTTCCAGTAGTTTTGCATATAAGAATTACATACATAGATCCATATGAAGGCACCGGGGGGTTGGTACAAACATCAAAATCCCGATCATCGTCTTCACAGTACATCGCAGGGCGTAGGATTTTATAATCAGACCGAATAAATTACAAAAATAACGGACGTAGCCGATCCGTCTCCTATGACAGTCGCAGCGCTCGCTCTCCACCATAATGCGCACGCAGAACTGTCTGTTTGACGTTCCGCCAGAGTACGATTCATTGTACCCTCGTCCGATGAATTGTGATAAAACCTCCTTCAAAATTCAATTTAAATAATCGACGCGCCGTCACATACAGGATGTCCGGTAAAGAATGGATAACCTTGAAATGCCTTTTAGTATATCCTTTGGCCATTCGGAAAAAAGGAAAATAAACTTAGTAGTAAATAAGTTATTATGTCTTGAAGTAGAAGAACTGGTACTGATCCTACGATATTAACGTACATTACATTATTGCATAACCATGATGATTAAACATTGCTGCAAAATTAATTATGCACAATTTTTTTGTTTTATATAAAAACGTTGCCCCACATTAGGATTTTCTCCTGTTTCGTAGGTACGGTTACAAACATACAATTTCACATACACATGACACCCAGACCCGGAACAACAATTTGTGGATCACACAAAGAGTTGTTCCGTGCGGGAATCGAACCCGCGACACGTTGCACGGCAGCCAGTTGCCCAGCCACCGCACCAACTATGCATTCAATCAAAAATTGGTCGAAAATAAAATTATTTGCAATATTTTTATAAAAAATTCTTTTCGTTAATTTTTAGTTTTCGCTAATATTCTGAATGGCCATAAGATATACTTAAAGACATTGTAAGGTTATGCATTATTTACCGGACACCCTGTTTATTATCACAAACATTCACATCTATAATATTCTTTAGTTGGTTTTGTAAGAATTTGATTTGTTCAATGTATTGTTGACGCCTACATCTAGTTTTTAGAATATTAGTATACAATATATACATAGTAGCATTGTATTATATAGATTTTTTAAAATAAAACTATAAACTGATATTGTTAATTGATATAATCAACAAGGATGTAGCGAGGTTGACTGTCCATGCGACACACGTACTTAGGTATCGTCATGAGCTAATGTTCACATGTAAACAGCAGCTCATGTAGTGTAGATGTCCAGTCAACAAGCAATTGTTTCAGAAGACATTTTTATTATTGCATTACCTGTATTTATTTATTTTTAACACGTTAAAAACTGACTTTAAAATTGTATAATGTACCTAATTAAAAAAACTTAATTTTGTCAATTGATACTTTTATATGTAGGTAATAAAAGAATGATCGAATGAATTTTAATAAAACAATCAGTGTCGTCGTAAGGGCCACTGACACTCCGGGCGAAAATGTTGTGGTGCCCAATTGAGGAAAGCAATATCAATTATTCGTTTTTTGCTGATCGTATTGGTCAATGTTTAAAGTCACTCCTCGACCACAAACGCTCAAAAAATCGATCTAAAAAAAACTCAATAAAAAATATGCACATGCACAGAGCGTAGAGCACAGTCTGAGGGTTTGCCAGGAGAGGCAAGAGACTCCAACTTCAGACCTTGGCGCCCCCCAGAATTTGTCGCCCTGGAACATCACCCCATCACGACCTCGAAAAACTGTACTTGTCTTACAGTATAGAGAAACTACAGAGCGCTTTCTATTGCGATCTTTATATATATAACTCTTTAGCGCATATCACATACATATGTCTATACATGCACCCAGCTCAAAATGTCCAAATTGACATAATTAAGTTTTTTTGGAACAACCAAATGACATTAATTATTTTATTTTCGGCTTACTCACGCAATTGTTTGATTGCTACTGCCAGTAGCAGCGCGACAGTCGCCGCGGAATGCTGCTCATGAATATGGGCCTCTAGCATGGCTTGAAACTATTCGAGAGTCTCGTCGAACAATTACGTGAGTAAGTCGAAACCATGATATTTAATTTAGTATGTCTCACGAAAGTTATAATAAAAAAAACATTATATACACTATAGTGTTTTAAAATATATGAATAATATCCATTCGAAAGGGAAAAAGAAAACTTATGCATTTTTTATACTGTGTGTGTATTAAAATTGGGTGATTAAGGTAACTATAATATTAGACATTATGAAAATAATAATATCAATCAAAACAATTTTTTATCGGCTCTTTCGAACGCCAAAATTTTTATTTGACTCATATAGTACCTATTTGATTTATCAATATTTGTGAGTTTTTCCGAGTTATATGTACTTTCTATGATTATTTAGACACCACTGACATAGCGTGAAGGTAAACATCGTGAGGAAACCTGGGACTTATAATTTCTAATTATAGCCTACGAAAAGCGTAAAAAAATATGTTTTTTCTGTAAAATCTAAAATCTATAGTGGGTTTTTTTTATTTATATGATTATAATGTTAAAAGTATTGTTAGACCAATCCAAGTATGATTTTGAAAATGACGTCCAAGTTTTGACCTCTTAAAAAAAATGTTTCTAACTTGCTTAATTACTTGCTGTTATTGATATCTGGTAAACAGTTGTTAGTTATTTTTAATAAATTAATTAATGACGTCACTACACACATTTTCGTACAAGATAGGTAGGTACCTAGGAAAACTTAAAATTTTGACAATTCCAAAAATGTATTGTATTTGGTTTAAAATTGTCAATTGATTATATTATTGTCACACAAGAGTTGTAATATACAAAGGTATATAAATAAATATGTAATTTTAGTTCCTAAAACATTATTATTGAAACAATGTATAGAAGTATGAAAAATAATAAATATTCTGGTATTTGTTTTTTAATTATTTATATTATTTATTTTTTAAATATGGTGTTTACACAACCTGAATGGTCATCTGATGGTATGCAATCGGCGCCGCCCATGGACACCCGTACCATTAGCTACAATTGCGTTGCCGGTCTTTTAGAGATACGGGCTTTTGGGGATTGATTGAGATGGGGGAGAGGGATTGGATCTCCGTAAATCTCACTCATACGGCTAAACAACGCTGAGAATCATAAATTATAAATTTCCAGTCAATTATCTGACTTTAGGTCCGCTGTACGTCGATAGACTTACCCCAAAAAGGCTGGCAAAGCACTTGTAATTATTCATCTGGTGTTGTGTCAATCCATGGGCGGCGCCGACTGCTTACCATCAGGTAATTTGAAGAAATCAGCTTATTATTTGAAAGGTTATTAAAACCGGTTAATTACACTAAATGCTTCTTCTCATCAAGTGCCACTGACAGTCCAATACGGGTCTTTAGGTTTCTTAAAAGACCACTAAGCCATCTAAAAAGACCAAAAGACCACTATGATTCATACTTCTATACTTACTCAAATTTGAAAATGTTGCACAAGAAAATGTTATTTGTAAAAGCTCTGCTTAACTCGTGGAAGAATACATAATTAATGTAATTATTGTTCGATTATTTATTGTTTTTTTTTTAGTTATTAAAAACTTGAGTTATTTATTACTGGTTTTTATTTTTACGTTGGGTTCGCGGTCTGCTGGGACATGGGTCTTCTCTAAGAATGGTTCGCCATATTCTCGCAGCTAGGCGTATTGGGATGCCTCAAGGCACTAACACCACCCTAGGTCGAATGCCATTACAGACGGGCCCCTATAGGGCTGATGTTCAGCCGCGGTTCCTCGGCCTAGAACAGGAGATGGAACGGGGGGGGGGGGGGTTAGTCAGTAAGAGTCTGACACTCCCTCCCGCCCGAAAGTAATTTGATGATAATCCCCTCACAAAAGAATTAGGTCTAATAGAACTAGGGACACGGGGTTGTGGGCTGGATCAAGAGTTAAAATGTTACGAAAAGGAACAAAGTGGGTTTTAGTCAGTAAGAGTCTGACACTCTCTCGTTCCACCCGGCTGAGAGAAGTTATTTGATGATTTATCGTTCCTCAAACGTACAGGCGCAGGATTACCTGATGGTAAGCAATCAGCGCCGCCCATGGACACTCATATCAAAGTAGTTACTGCAAGTGCGTTACTGGCCTCTTGTGGGATATTAAGAATTGATGAATGGGGAAGGATAATGTTTTTTTTTGTGTGGGGAAAATAATCCAATGACTTCTCCCGCCCAGGGCCGGGCGGGTGGGAGTGTCAGACTCTTACTGACTAAAAACCCCCCTGTTCCTTCTCCTGCTCTGGGCCGAGGTCGCGGTGCCTCATTGCGCTTACCCTGCAGTGACGTATTATGTCCTAAGACCTAATTTAGAAGGTTCAGGTGTATCACAGGACGCTGCTACTGCTACATGAAGTGTGGAATAGCCTTGCTGTGGTATTAATATCTCAGCCAGATCAACCGAACTACGACTTAACAGAAAACCTGCGTGAAACGAACCTTCTACTCGCTCCCCCCTCCCCTCCTGTCTTTCCGCAAATCTGCTCTGCTTTCCATCAGCAGAGCCGTCGACTATACTGGGTAGAAAAGCATTTTGTTACCCCATCAATAAAAAAATATCAATTCATTTGTTTCCAAAACGTTTTATTTGCAAAATGTTTTATTGTATTAGTGCGTCGGCTACAGTGAAATAATAAAAAGTATTTAGCATGACTTGGAATCCGATCACGACTATTTTTAAAGGTAGATATTTAAGTAAAACGTAAACTGTTCGCGGCCTACTTAAAACTAAGTAGAGAATCTCGTTATACCAAAAACGCGGCAACACCAACATAATTTTTAAATGGCAACCCAGTGTCGCAAGGTCAGAGCAAACATCTTTCTATAATTCATTTAGGTAACAATTCGAAAATTTTGAATTTAGCGCAAAAAAACTTCTGAAACAAGATTCGAATATTTCTTGGTACTTGCGCTAAATTGGCGCATCTTGCGCAAACGTTGTAACCTGCAAATCAGTTAAGATAAACATTCTGTACGACTTCAGAATTTTGCGCAACATGTTTTTTCATTAGCGCAAAATGTCTACTGGTCTTCGGCGTTACCTAAATCCATATTAAAGTCTTCTTTTGCTTCATGTTATTTGATCATTGGTTTTCCTTTAATATTATCCTGAAACGGAGGGAGTCCAAAATATTCAGGTCTAAAATCCTGCAGCGATTTCAAGACGAGGGTAGCTTTGCGGGTTTGCTGTGGCGGTATATGCTTCGGTGGCGTCATCACAACCTGTTGGATGAAAGTAAGTAAAAGTAAAAAAGTAAAAGAATCAATAAAATGTTGATTTTTAATTTAATAAATAATATAATGTCAGTAGTATTAATGTCTCTGTTATTTAACCTATCGTATTAATTTGTTTTTAGTTGACTAGTTCATTGTAGTAGAGCCAATCAGTGCGAATAGGCCGGCGCGAGAAAAAAAAGAAACTACCCTTTTTTCATCGGAAAAAACTCGTTACTAGGGAGCAGTCGAAGTAATCAAGTCTCTAAGGATGATTGTAATTTGTAAGATAAAATCAATTTACCGCGGGCAACATTTTATTTGTATAAAATGGCCGGGGTTGCGGATACAAACACGATAATGTATGTACCGCACCTCGGGCTTAGAGGATGGAGAACAGGAGGATGAAAAAGATGGTTTTTAGTCAGTAAGAGTCTGACAATGCCTCTCGCCTCACCCAGAACCGGCGAATGCATATGATGATATTTCAAAAAAAAGTTAAAAAAAGGTTACCGGAGGCCCAATCTTTCCCCTACCCCAATCCGTTCCCTTTCCCAAAATCTCCAAATCCCTAATCCCCAAAAGGTCGACAACGCACTCGTAACTCCTCCGTCGTTGCAGGTGTCCTTGGGCGACGCTGATTGCTTACCATCAGGTAATCCGTTTGCTCGTTTGCTGACGTATCACATAAACAATTTAAAATTGAACCCATAGTAGATCATAGTATCTAATAGCAGTACAGATGCTACACATTATTTTATGAGGGAAAAATCATCAGGGATCTCCAAATCCTTAAATATCCTTAACCCTCATCCCGGCCGACAGCGCGCTCGTAACTCCTTTGGTGTTGCGGGTTTCCATGATCGGTAGATACCGATTGCTTACCATCAGGTAATCTGTCTGCTCGTTTACCGAACTATCCTATATAAAAATCATCATCAAATGACTTGGCAAATGACAAGCAGAAAGGGAGTGTCAGCCTCTGACTAAAATCACCACCGTTCCTTCTCCTGCTCTAGTCCGAGGCCGCGGTACCTTATTCCGCTTAACCTACAACTCTGGCTGAACATCTATATTATACCTGCATTCCAGCTGCAAGCCCTGCTTCCATGCCGACCAATGAATCTTCGAATACAAGACACTGAAAAACAAAAGTTATAAAAAAAATTGTGTTAGACTTGGCTACGGTTAGATTTTTCATCTGCCTATATTAGATAACCACTGCTGACCAAAGGCCTCTTCCCACACGGAGAAGGCTTAAGCATTAACCACAACGACGGTGCCACATTGCGCTTACCCCGCAACCCTGGCTGAACATCAGCCCTATAGTGTCCCGTCTGTGGTTGTCTATTGGCTCTCTGAGGCGCGCGCGGAACGCTACGCGCCGTACGCTCGGGCCTGGTTCTGGTCGGGCGGCGAGCAACCCTTACTCGCCGTCCGCAGATCCGCGCTTACGGTGGCCGCAGATCATATCTAGACTCTCGTTTACCTATGAGAAGCAAGTGCTGGGCGTGGAATGCAAAAAGGGTTTTAAATTCTGTAGATGATATATACCTTAACCGGCTTTGGTTTATCAGGAAACTTGGCTGCAGCCATTAGGTAGATGTCAGGGTGTGGCTTCCCGCGATCCACATCAGGATCACCCGCACAAACCTGAAGAAATTTACATATTCCTTTAGATTTCATTTCATTAACTTGTTAGCATACATTGGATTATTAAATTAGACCTCTTTTACTGTATTGCTACCTATGTTTGTGTCACTGCCTCAAGGCCTTAATCCTTAATAGCTAAATAACCTAAGCAAGCGCAATAATGAACCGCGGCCTAGGCAAGAGAGAGTGTCAGACTCTTACTGACTAAAAACCCCCCCGTTCCTTCTCCTGCTCTGGGCCGAGGTCGCGGTGCCTCATTGCGCTTACCCCACGTGGCCTCGGCCTGGAGCATGAAAAGGAACGAGGTGGTTTTTAGTCAGTAAGAGTCTGACACTCTCTCTCGCCCCATCCAGGGTGAAAAGAATCATTTGATGCTTTTTCCCCTCAAAAAAAAAGCATCAAACTGTCGACTACCACTGCTGCAGAGCTGTAGCTCTGTAAGCTGTAGAGTTCAATTCTTTTTCTTCGATACAATTGTTTTATATACAACAATATATTTATGTAGTCTTAAGTGTTTGTTTTGCTAGTCGATTTATCATGGAACCCTATTAGGCTATAAAACATCACGCTACAAAGGTAATCATCATCTTCCTGCCCTTGTCCCGTTTTATTTGGGGTCGGCGCAATATGTTTTTTTCTTCCATTCTGTCCTGTCACTCGTCACGCTATCACTAACTCCTCTGTCTTCCATATCACTTCTCACACAATCCATCCATATTTTCTTTGGTCTCCCTCTCCATCCATCTACATTTATACTCATGGCTTATACGCTACAAAGGTATTAGTAGCTAAAATATAAAATAAGAGTTCCTAAATAAGTGTTTCTAGGCTTTCTTTACCAGCAGAGGGCACGTTTGGCGCACAAGCTTTATGAACGCGACGTCGACGACACCGCGCTCATGAATATGAATCCCAGTACGACTCGAAACTTATAGAGCTATCCTTACGCGTCTCACGATAGTTAGTAAACAAGTACATACCATATGATGAAATAAAGCGAAAATTTTTGGTTTAGCAGCAATGTGTAGGCGGACAGCTCTTCTTGTAGAGTTGGTAGCTAAAGCAAAGGATACGCCGGTAGCGTGCAGATGTTTTAGCAGCCTTTCAGCTCCTGGAAACGTTAAATATACGGACTAGATCTCTTGTGACGTGTGATTGACGGCAAATACATTTTGTCACCAACCAAGGCAATGGCAATTTGGACCACCATTTTAAAAATTTTCCGCGACTGCCCGTTCCATCTCCTGCTCTAGTCCAGACTAGAGCAGGAGATGGAACGGGCGGTTTTTAGTCAGTAAGAGTTTGAGATAGTCCCTCTCGTCTCCACCCAGAATGGGACAAAAATATGGTGATTCTTCCTCATAAAAATTAAGGAGACGCGTGAGACTAGTAAATCTAAATAAGGAAAGCGCCGCAGCATCTTCACAAAAGTTTCAAACCGCCTGTCACATTTTCTAACCTTAAGAAGATGCCCGGTTTTTAGGAAGAATAACTAGAGATTAGGTGAGAGTGCCATACTTTGGTACGAAAGGCCGGTTCAACCGGACTGATACCATCACGCAAAAACAGGAGCAAAACGTTGTTTATTCGTCGTTTGAGTGAAGTTTTTGAAGGACCAATCTCCCCCACTACCTCCAATTCCTAATTACCCTAATCCTCAAACCCGTAACCCCAAAAATACCAAAAAAGCACTTGATTGTCCTTTTGTACGCTGCCCTAACCCATTAAAACTGATAACCTCACTTACTCAGCGAAACGCAACGCTGTGGTGGGTACACGCCAGTTTTTGTTGAGGACGTGGTATCACCATACACATTCGTGCCGAAGCTTGGCTCTGCCACATTATAAAAAATTCTCTCCATTACAATTTACACTTTGGAATGATCATCTTTCTTCTCAGACGAACAGACTGACTGACTATTAGTATGTATTGAAGTTCCAAAAGTACCTACCTGTTTATGGTTTAGTTAACCTCCGGGCCACTACGACCCATTCAAAATAATAATCGATCCAAATCCAATGAAGATATTAAAGCCATACCTTTCTGCAATGGCGCATGAGGCAGCTTCACTCGAGACAGCTCACGTAGTTCAGCCTCCAGCTTATCTGCTGAGCAATTCATGTGCAGTTCCTTCACCAAGTTTGTGCAGATCTCCTTGTCTGTTCCTCCTGTGTACTGGAATTGGGATCCCGTAGGTTAATGTTAAGGAAATGTGGACCAAGCTCGACCGGAGAGATACCATGGCCTCATAAAAAATGGGCTTGTGTGAAAAGTGAGGTCACCGATCTACATCTCCAAAACCCTTATCCCAAATAGCCGAAAGTCTAAGTCCAAATAGAACGCACTTGTAACGCCTCGGTGTTGCTTTTGTCCATATACGGCACCTATTGCTTTACATCAGATAATCCGTCTGCCAAGAAGTTTCCCGCCCCATGCCATAAAAAAGAAAATCCCACCACAAATTACTTCACCAAAAATACTTTTAGAAGGTTCGACTTCTTCGGTACTAATTGCTGTGTGGTCAATCCGAAACTAGAAAGAAGAAAAGGTGAACTGATCAACACTCACTTTGGCTTCCAAATCTGCCGTGTACCTTTTGCCATGTCTCGCACAGATCTCTTTCAGCATTCGATGGTACTGTGACTCCGAATCTGCGACCAAGATAAACAGGTTCAGTGCCAACGCGTATTGTACTTGAAAGAGCCACAATTGACTGTCCAGGCGACACACGTACTTAGGTATCGTCATGAGCTAATATTCATATGTAAACACATCTCATGTAGTGTAGACGTCCAGTCAACAAGGATGTAGCGAGGTTGACTGTCCAGGCGACACACGTACTTAGGTATCGTCATGAGCTAATATTCATATGTAAACACATCTCATGTAGTGTAGATGTCCAGTCAACAAGGATGTAGCGAGGTTGACTGTCCAGGCGACACACGTACTTAGGTATCGTCATGAGCTAATGTTCACATGTAAACAGCAGCTCATGTAGTGTAGATGTCCAGTCAACAAGGATGTAGCGAGCTTGACTGTCCAGGCGACACACGTACTTAGGTATCGTCATGAGCTAATGTTCACATGTAAACAGCAGCTCATGTAGTGTAGATGTCCAGTCAACAAGGATGTAGCGAGGTTGACTGTCCAGGCGACACACGTACTTAGGTATCGTCATAAGCTAATGTTCACATGTAAACAGCAGCTCATGTAGTGTAGATGTCCAGTCAACAAGGATGTAGCGAGGTTGACTGTCCAGGCGACACACGTACTTAGATATCGTCATGAGCTAAAGTTCACATGTAAACAGCAGCTCATGTAGTGTAGATGTCCAGTCAACAAGGATGTAGCGAGGTTGACTGTCCAGGCGACACACGTACTTAGGTATCGTCATGAGTTAATGTTTACATGTAAACAGCAGCTCATGTAGTGTAGATGTCCAGTCAACAAGGATGTAGCGAGGTTGACTGTCCAGGCGACACACGTACTTAGGTATCGCCATGAGCTAATGTTCACATGTAAACAGCAGCTCATGTAGTGTAGCTGTCCAGTCAATGAGGATTTAGCGAGGTAGCTTACCTATTACAGTGCCATCTAGGTCGAATAAGCAATGGGTTACTTTTTTAAAGTTTCTCGGCCGGTATGAAGACCTTGCCGATTGCAAAGAAAAATATTGTCTGTGGCAGTCAAAAAACCGTGGGTCCAGGAACGGAACATCATTGCAACGGTACCGCAAAGAATAGATTTTGGACGTAATTTTTAATAAAATAATAATTTTTGAAGAACAAAATACAAGTATATCATAAAGTCACTTGGTTTCAAATTACACTTGTGCGTTTATTCCCTAAATGTTGTAACTTTTGAAATTTTTTCATCGAAATTTTATGATCAAAAATGTTTCGACATTTTTTATTGTAGATACTTAAATTTGACTCTTTTTTCTAACTGTCAAAATATGAAGGATGCTGTCAGTTATTTAAAAAAAAAATACATTTATGGTCTTTTTTGAGTGAGTTTGTTTTTAAATCTATTTAAAATAACGACTTACTCACGTTAATTAAATGAGAAAAGCTTGACTAGTTTCGAGTCACAACGGGACTCTTATTCGTGAGCAGCGTGCGCGTCGCGGCGACGTCGCTCAACCGACCGAGTTTGTTTTTAAGTCTTATTTTCTTTTTATGGAATAGGAGGTAAACGAGCAGACGGATTACCTGATGGTAAGCGACCGGCGCCGTCCATAGACATCCGCAACGCCAGAGGAGTCACAGGCAGGCGTTGCCGGCCATAGGGCCATTACGATTCTGGCACTCCTTCTTGCCCCACTCTGGGTGACAAAAATCATTCGATCATTTGCCCCTCAAAAAAGGGATATGGAGAAGGTTATATGGCCATGACTCCTAGTCATATTTTTTTTATGGTATAAGTCGGCAAACGAGCTGACGAATTACCTGATGGTATGCAATCGGCGCCGCCCATGTACATCCGCAACACCAAAGGAGTTACGAGTGCCGTGCTAGCCTTTGGGGTATAGGGGTTGCGGATATAAGAATCGGGAAGGGATAGGGGAAGGGAAGGGATTGGGCCTCCGGTAACCTCACTCACACTGCGAAACACAAAACTGTGGGTTGTTTCACGCTGATATTCAGTGAGGCCGTGGTATCACTCCGGTCGAGCCGACCCATTCGTAATTCAGCTACAATCATTATCGTGATTGAAATCCCCTATCTAAAAGGTCGGCAACGCAGTTATAGTCTCTGCTATTGTGTCCATGGGCGGCTTTGATTGCTTACCATCAATGAATCTATTGGCTCGTTTACCGATCTATCACATAAAAATACTATCAATAACAAAAAACCGCATCAAAATCCGACACGTAGTTTTAAAGATCTAAGCATACATAGGAACAGACAGCGGGAAGCGACTATGTTTTATTATTTTATATTCTGTGGGTACATTAGACCTTTTTTAAAAAGGTCTGGGTAATACACAAATGCACTTTTCATATCACGTTTTTAATATTAATTTATTTAAGCAGGTTTTGAATTAAATTTTATTTTAAAAATACGTGATTTTGTTGAATTATGTTACTCGACTGGACTGAAGCCATTTTCAGACGGCCCAAAGGTTAAGTTATGTAAAGTAATACATAAAAGCCGAAAAATTTAGGGGCAGAAGCATCCATTTTTTACAAAACCTTTTAATAACAGTATAAGTGTGGGAGAGCCATGCTTCGGCAAGAATGGGTCGGCTCGATCGGAGTGATACCACGGCCTCACAGAAAACCAGTGTGAAACAACCACAGCATTGTGTTTCGCTGTGTGATTGAGGTTACCAGCGGTTCAATCCTTATAAACCTCTTTCGATGCTTGCCCGATCCAAAAATCTAAATATTCTAAATACCTTATGAAATCTGTCTGCGGACTCTAGCGGTAGCTCGCCGCCCGACCAGAACCAGGCCCGAGCGTACGGCGCGTAGCGTTCTGAGCACGTCTCAAAGAGCCAAAAGACCACCACAGACGGGGCCCTATAGCCCAGAGAGGGGCCCAGAGCAGAAGAAGGAACGGGGGGGTTTTTAGTCAGTAAGAGACTGACACTCCCTCCCGCCCGGCCGTGGGCGGGAGAAGTAATGTGATTATTTTACCCTCACAAAAAAAATATAAGAAAGAACAAGGCCTGTACAAGTATCAACTTCGTGACGGACGGAAGCAAGATTTTCGCGCGGTCTTTCAAGAGCTTGCAGAGAACCGTTCACTTTTTTTTTGCAAACGCTCGCTTGTGACTTTTTTATCCGTTTTTTTAAATAAATGACGTAAGAAAAGTATATAATAGAAAAAGAAAATAGGTAATCAAGTATTGTATAAGTATTATTTACTACTACAGTACAATAATAGTTACGTAATGACGTCATAACTTAAAACATGTATATATGTACTTTTACATACATATATAGAAATAGATCAATGTTGTTTTTTAACTACAATTACAATTGCGTTTTGGTTATAAGGAATATCTGAGGATACTTTTTTTCTCACATAATTGAACCAACTGTTTGTAAAAGGAATCTGTATATGAAACTGATTTAAAAAGAGTAACCATAGAGTTTCTTGCTCGTTCTTCTCCATAGGAATCTACACTTTGGAACGAGCAAATAGCTTCACTAAGAGGACTGACCGACAGACTGACACTATATCTTCAAAATTTTGCCTGCCTGTAATGGTCTAATTGGAATAAATGATTTATGACTTTTTTTTACTTTGGAGAGGGAATGATCCAGTTATCTCAATCACAAGGCAAAATACAACTTAGGTATGTGTTATTTCACACACAGTTTCCGATAGGTCTCAGTTCTCCTATACAAACTAATATTATAAATGCGAAAGTAACTCTGTCTGTCTGTCTTTTCTTCACGCCTTAACTACTGAACCGATGTCTGTGAAATTTGGTACAGACATAGTTCGCAACTCGAGAAAGGATGTAGGATAGTTTTTAAACAAAAAAATCTGCAGGAAGACACTATTCCACCCGTAGCGGACGCGGGTAAAAGCTAGTCCTAGTAATTAAAATAATTACTCTATAATACGCGTATGTAACATTATTCTTAATTTATGAATGCTAGCCCGTCCCGATTTCTTTTTTTATTTAGATTTATATAACCACCACGCTTGCTCAATTACAAGTCCAGGTTTCCTCACGATGTTTTCCTTCACCGTATGTAGATGGACGGACGAAATGCGCAGGGTGGCTGGACGTGGTTGGATGAGAAGAGGCTGAACATCGAGCTCAGTGACGTGCAATTGGGAAGGCTTATGTCCAGCAGTGGACGAAATCAGGCTGATGATGTTGATGATATCAGTGGAGTGAATCTCCGAATGCCTCCTCATAACACCTCTGGCGTTGCAATGATCGGCACTGATTGCTTACCATCACAGCATAAACAACACACTTCAAATAACAATTTCGTTGGCAAATTTTACGTAGGTAAATCGACAAGTCATCTATATATATAAAAGAAAGTCACTGTTAGTTACTCCACTTATAACTCAAGAACGGCTGAACCGATTTAGCTGAAAATTGGCAGGGAGGTAGTTTAGAGCCAGGAGAAGGACATAGGATTGGATAGAGTAGGTTAGGTAGAGTAGGGGAGGTAGAGTAGGGTAGGTAGAGTAGGGTAGATAGAGTAGGGTAGGTAGAGTAGGGTATGTAGAGTAGGGTAGGTAGAGTAGGGTAGGAAGAGTAGGGTAGGTAGAGTAGAGTAGGTAGAGTAGGGTAGGAAGAGTAGGGTAGGTAGTGTAGGGTAGTTATAGTAGGGTTGGTAAAGTAGGGTAGGTAGGGTAAGTAAAGTAGGGTAGGTAGTCAAATGACGGGAGCGACGCCGCGGGTAAGAGCTAGTTTGTTATAATGTTAATTCGCTATTACGTCAGCTTTGTAATACATATTATATGGACGACTGTTATACATATGTATGTACATATGCAAGTACATATAGGTAACATGACCTGACGAACTTCAAAACATTAGGTAATTAAAACCAATACTTTTTGTCATCAGTGACTGGTCTACTCCAAGTGTTAGAGAGCCATGCTTCGGCACGAATGGGTCGGCTCGACCGGAGTGATACCACGGCCTCACAGAAATCCGGTGTGACACAGCCACAACGTGTGAGTGAGGTTACCGGCTTAATCCCAAAATCTCTAATCGCCAAAAGGTCGGCAACGCACTCGAAACTCCTCCGTTCTTAGAGGTGTCCATGGGCGGCTGATTGCTTACCATCAGGTAACCCGTCTGCTCGTTTGCCGACCAAATACATAAAAAAGCTATACAGTCTCTTAGTGCCTTCAAGGTATATGTCATTCTTTCTCCTGCATCAAATTCACATAGTTATATGCAAAATTGTTTTGTTTCACAAAGAAATCACTTGTTTCCTATTTCCTTGTACAAGTTGAAGTGATATTTGTTTTATAAATGTCTTCTTTCAATATTATGTAAGTACTAAAGCTAGTATCGAGGTTAACGAATTTGTTTCCTGGTCAAGAAATAATTTAGCACCAGTCGTTTTTTAAAGTATTGCCAGACATTTTTTCACTGAAGTAATAAATGAATGAAAGAATATTTAGACAGTTCTTTATATGAGAAAGGGTAGCAAACGGGTTTAATCACCTGATGGTAAGTTGATTGCTTACCATATATTATTGAATATAATAAAATATAATATAATAAAGAATATTGACATATTCCTGATACTTTTTATACAGAGTATTATGTCCTAATTAACGTAAGTCTGTCGGTGATTCAGATTGCATGCTTGCTACGTGCTCCTACTTATATTTATCTATGCCATAGAAATGGCCATGGCATTAAGACCACGTAATGTACAACATTTTCGTTCATGAAGCGTATAAATTCAAACTAATATTATGAATGCGAATCAAATGCGCTCTGTCTGTCTGTCTTTTCTTCACGCCTAAACTACTGAACCGATTTGTGTGAAATTTAGTACAGACATAGTTTGGAACTCGAGAAAAGACATAGGATAGTTTTTAAACCAAAAATCTGCACGAAGTCACTATTAAAAAGCAAAAGCTACTAAATAAATAAGTATTAAATTATATTTTTTGTGCTTACCTTTTTATCGAAAAATAGACTTTGTTCTCATAAATTTAGATTTCAAAACGCACTAACCGGTTAATCACCTTCATTATTTTTTTTCGAAAAAAAGTTATTAGTTAACACATTTTGTTTTGTTCCTATTTATTAACTAGCATAATATGTTTGTACATATGCTTACTTTTTCTAGACTTGACTATAATAGGAAAGTACGTAAATATAATTGTAAACAGATTTTTCGGAAACCGTTACAAATAAAAATAAGGTCAAGTTGGGACATTCCGTAACAATCAATTCGAATAAATTTTGTTTTATTTTTTTCGGTTAGCTAATTAATTATAATTTATTATTGACTACCTATGCTACTATAATTGTTTTCGTCTTTTCAATGCAATTGTATATTTGTATTAAATAATTCATTTCGTAAATTCAAAATATTATTTATGTATTTACTATAGTTTGTAGGTTAATTAGGTTAGTTATGGTTATAAAAACTATCCTATGTCCTTTCTCGAGTTCCAAACTATGTCTGTACCAAATTTATATAATTTTGATGCAAAACTTACAGTAAATATGAAACAAATAAGTGTGGGAGAGCCATGCTTTGTCTCGGCCGGAGTGATACCACGGCCTCACATAAAACCGGCGTGAAACAAACACAGCGTTGTGTTTCGCAAGTGAGGTTAGCGGAGATCCAATTCTACCCCTCCCCGAATCCCAAAATCTCCAAAGTCAAAATCATTTATTACAATTAGGCCATAGTAGGCACTTTTGAACGTCAAGCCAAATAAAAAGAAAATATGTTTTAAAAGATTTTAAATTTACGCGTGTCAGTCTGTCCGTCTGTCCTCTAGTGAAGCTATTTGCTGCTATTCCTAATCTTCAAAAGGTCGGCAATGCACTCGTGACTTCGTCGCGTCGGTCCGTGGTCGGCGCTGATTGTTTACCATTAGGTAATCCGTCTCATCTAAATATATCGACTAATCAGTCTTCTTCCTGAAGTCCTTCGAAAGCAGAAATGTAAACAACACAAAATATTGTGTGATACAAAATTAAACAAAAAAATTAAGTGAGTCATGCTTCGTCACGAATGGGTCGGCTCGACCGGAGTGATACCACGGCCTCACAGAAAACCGGCGTGAAATAACCAAAGAGTTGTGTTTCGCCGTGTGAGTGAGGTTACCGGAGGCCCAATCTTTCCCCTCCCCCGATCCCTCCCCAATTCCTTAATTTCCAAAAACCAAATCCCTAAAAGATCGACAACGCACTTGTAACTCCTCCGTTGCGGGTGTCCATGGGGGGCGCTGATTACTTACCATCAGGTAATCCGTCTGCTCGTTTGCCGAACATACATAAAAAAAATTGCAAAAACTTGCTCGATTTAGTTGCGGAATAGACCGAATTGTCTAAGCATGAATACACATGATTTGTAACCGATTAAAAATTTATATATTTTGTTGTATGTCAAGTTATATTTTCATTCGACTAGTTTGAGTTGTGACGGTACGTTAAATAGGTGAGTTAAATTTTTATTGTTACCTTTTAAATCTTCCTTTTAAGTTAACTGTACCAGAAACATACCTTTTAATATATATATATATATATATATATACCTACTTTCTATGATTATTTAGACACCACTGACATACGGTGAAGGTAAACATCGCGAGGAAACCTGGACTTATAATTTCTAATTATGAGTTTGAAATCGCTAATCCGCCTTGAGCAAGCGTGGTGATTAATGCTCAAACCTTCTCCGTGTGAGAAGAGGCCTTTGCTCAGAAGTGGACACTTATAGGCTGATAATATGATGTGATGTGAATTGAACTTTAAGATGTTGAATAAGTTGTGTTTATTTAAAAGTGCTTCTAGAATTTTCTATTGTAAATTCACTCGGGATCTAGTAAGGCGTTTGTCTATAGAGATTGTAGTTACGAATTAACTATATTAATAAAGGATAATAAAGAATTATTTTATTCTTTTAATATTATAAAGAGGTAAAATTTGTAAGTTTGTATGTAGGGGGTAATCTTTGGAACCGCTGGTCGGATTGCGAAAATTCTTTCACTTATAGGTAGCTACAATGTTCCTGAGTGCTATAGGCTATAAAACATCACGCTACGATTAAATGGAGTCGAGCAGCGGGTGACCAAAAGTAGCTAGTTATATAATACATTAGTATTATTTTAAAGTATCTTCTGTGAGTGATATTTATGATTTAATTGTTTCCAAAGAAACTTCTTTTTGTTTTTTTTTTCATTTAGTCTTCGTACCTACAATCTCTTTGGTCTTGCGGACAAAACTTATTTTTTTCTGTTATTGTGTCTTTAATATGAAGTCGACAATATTTATTGATAACTATATATTTATCAAAGAGCTTCTTTTTTTAATTTTATTTAAATTACTAAGTACTCTTTATCCACTTTTTTGATTTTTGCTAACCTGCCTCGTTCTTTCCTGAATTTTATTTTATTTTTAAATCTCTCAGAATACAGAACAAACCAGAATCCGCGTTCACTCATAATTACATGTCGTCAAATGTGTCCAAAAACAATACGTCAATCCCCCCGCCAGTCGCACTTCCCACCCGCGTAGTGTTGCCAACAGTGGAACAATTCCCTTGGTTTGGGGTAATTTTACAACAGGAGGGTAAGATATGGGTAAACCCAACAAAATAGGTAAATTTACGAAAAATGCAACTGACTAGTTGTTCACACATTTCATAGAGGTATCATAAAAGTTAACGATTTCTGACTGTGTTAATTTTAGTTACACCTACTATACACAACAAGTAAAACAAAGCTTCAATAAGTACAAAGGTTTTATTGCGTTTTTTGCTGGTTTAGTTTTTTATTATGTATTGTCATAATTTAAATTAATATTGTCATAAATAATTTTTCATAAATATATGTCTTCAAGGTGAATTGAGCAAACTATGCTCTGGCTAGATGGTTTCCGAAATTAATCTAACCGTGCCCTTTGTAAGATTTTTTTTTTAGTCGTCAGGCAAACTATTATGACATAGGCTCTAAAATGGACAAAAATATAACCCACAACAAATTAATAAGTGTGTAAAATTTTCACCAAAAATGACAACACTCACAATATGGGCGCATCATTTACATAGAAAAATAAATCGATAAAAAAAATTCAATAATTAATTAAATATACTATTGCAGTCGATGCTTGCAGATGAAATGTAATCTTATCCACTTTTTTCGTAATTCCAGCCGTATTTTTACTCGTAGTAATAAGACAAGACGGCATAATGAAATTAAAATTGATACTCGTAAATACGTCACGATATGCCACGTGCCAAAATTGACTGATCGTAGAAATTTCATACTACTCTAGTTATGAGTGGTTTTAGTTACTTCAGTTTGAAGCGCGATGACGCCTTCTGGTTTGTTCTGTATTCTGAGTTAAATCTCTAAATTCCAAGTTTTTTTTTGGATTTGTTGTTGATTTACCATTAACTAGCTGGCACGGCAAACATCGTAGCGCCTTAAACATAACTATTTTTTTTGTATTTAGTTGTTTTTTCAATATCTCACCTTTTAAATCTTCTGTGGACTTCAACGAACATTTTAAGATCATATTGGCAATCCGACCAGCGGTTCCAAAGATTACCCCCTACATACTGTTACGTGCCTGACGTCACGTTCCTGAATATGCGGGCTTGGGTTACGGGATTGGATGAAATGAAACACTTATACCGGTTTTCAGACTTTCTATTGCACTTAAGTTACAGCATCCACGGAGTTAAGTTATCGGCGTTCTTCTGCAGCAGAGTCCGGCCGACTGACACAACTTTGCCGTTCACGCTGATTTAACTCACTTAACTGACTGCACTTCACTATTTCACTGCACTTCACTATTTCACTGCACTTCACTATTTCACTCACTTTTCTTCTTTTCCACTTCTTCCTTTTCTTCCGAATCGCTTTAGACTTAGAACTCAACTGCCAGCGGTGAGCCGCAGTTCCGCTTATATACCCCCGGTCAGGTTCTAGAACATTCAATTTCGTTATTCTTTTTGATCGTCATGCCTCCAGAACCTTCCAATAATTTCGTTATTCATTTTTATTTATTCTCCTTCTCGCTCCTTAATTTTTCATTTCTTTCACTCAAATAATTCCAGAAAGTTCGACAAAACTTCCATCAACTAAAAAACTTCATGTTTACGGCGGGACTCGAACTCGGGGTCTCTGTGGTGTAATCCACACGCCTTACCGATTACACCAACTCGTGTTGACAATTCACGACGAAATTTACAATCTCTAGGCAACGTTTGACAACCATCCCTTGACGTCATGATGTCAAAGAGTTTTCCGTCACACTGCCCCCCTCTTAGATTCGCTCGTCCCGAGCATCGTTGCTGCCGTAATACCTCGCCAACCTGTCTATATGGACAACTTTCAAAGGGCTCCTTGAAGTCTTCCGAATTCTGTAAGTAATGTCATTGATCTTCGTGACTATCTCATAAGGACCTTCCCAACTCGGTTGCAGCTTCGGAGATTTTCCCTTCCTTCTGACTGGATTATGAAGCCAGACCAATGACCCTTCTTCAAACCCAACAGAATTGGCTCGTCGATCATAGCGCGTCTTTGCGCGATCACTAGCTTGAAGACCGGCCTCCCTGATCTGCTCATAAATGTCCAACATTTTTGCCCTTAACTCGCTTATGTAATCGCTAAATTCGGTGCGAGAGTCGCCAGGTGGACAGCCCGATACAAGATCTGCCGGTAATCTCAATTCCCTTCCAAAATTTGCAAATGCAGGCGTCTTTGCGGTACTTTCATGTACAGCAGTCCGATAGGCAAGCAAGAAGAGAGGTATGTAAGTGTCCCAATCTCTCTGATGGCTGTCAACCACCTTTGCTAAGTGTCGTTCCAATGTTTGGTTGAAACGTTCGACCATTCCATCTGACTGTGGATGATAAGGAGTCGTTCGAGTCTTATGGATTCCCAAAAGTTTACAAGTTTCCTGAAAAACTTGGGACTCAAAGTTCCGTCCTTGATCACTGTGCATCTCCAAGGGTACTCCGAATCGGGTGAATACCTCATTTACCAACTTCGTGGCTACAGTTACTGCCTCTTGATTCGGTATGGCAAAGACCTCCGGCCATTTTGTAAAATAATCCATAACCACTAAAACGTAGCG